AATGAATTTTCCAGATTTTTATGTTAGCTAAGAGGATGGAACTTTAAAGTTGTCCATGTCATTTGAACTTTTTGTTGTGTTGTTTTTGAAATAAAATTTAACAGTTAGAGTTTAACCTATCTGACTCTGTTCTATTTTCCTCTTGCATTTCAGTTGATATAGATTTGCATTTTAGTGGTTTCCTGCAGTGAACGCTAAAATTATGGATATTTCTGAGGTTGAAGAGAACCTATTTGCAGCTAGTGATGCCAAGGTACGAATTTGATAGCATTTGGATATGTTAACTTTGAAGAATTGGAACTGCCATTTTCTTCACGTGCTGTTTTTTTAATTCTAGTTAACTTCACAAAAATGGGGATATGCCCACTGGTTACTTCTTTTATTTTGTGAATGTACTTTTTACATAATCCTTTTGTTGGCATCAATCCATCTCTTAAGTTTATATTTTTTAACTTGTTTTCTTAAAATCAAAGGCCTTTTGTTTTGGGCCGCAGTAATGGTTGAATCTTGTTTCATTTGTTATTTTAGGAGAAAGAAGGCAAACTGTGCTTAATGTTCACAGTTTTCTTACTTCTATTCTGAATTTCTTCTTATGCAGTTACATGGAGATATGTGCAAGACACTTTCAGCAATTTATTGCAAAGCCTTGTCCATATTCCCTTCCTTGGAAGCAGCACGGCCTAGGAGCAAATCTGGCATTCAGGCTTTATGCTCATTGCATATAGCCCTAGAGAAGGCCAAAAATGTTCTTCAACACTGTTCAACTTGTAGTAAACTTTACTTGGTAAATGTTTCTTTTGTGCACACAAAAACACACACAGAGGATATATACATGCATAATTGTGTATGTACTCGTGTATTCTTACAGTATTGGTTTTTACTTTTGTTCGATACATTCACAAAATGATTTTTCAATGTTATAGTTGTTTTCCACCATGTTTTTTCTCTCATAGATAATGGTTACTAATGGTATTGTTCTTCTCATGTAGGCTATTACTGGAGATTCTGTTCTTGTAAAATTTGAGAAGGCAAAATATGCTCTTATTGATAGTCTTAAGCGCGTAGAAGATATAGTTCCAGAGTCCATTGGATGTCAGGTAATGATTCCCCCTTCCTGGTTTGAGACTGCAAAGATTATTTAATTTTTTGAGTATTTAAAAAAATAAGCAAGCAGTTTCATTACTTGTTGTTTGCCCGCTGGTGTTTTATCCCAATTATCTCAGTGCATTTTATAACTCCTAATTCTTATTCAAATTAAGAAGATCTTTTTTTTTAAGGAAATATGCTGTGTCATGGTTGTATTGCAGTTACCTGCAATATGATCCTTCCTATGTGACACCCTGTAGTAGCTGTTGCTCTTGTCTGTATACTCACAGTATTCCTGATTACTTGATTGGCTTCAGATTTTAGAGATTGTCAGTGAACTTGAGGGGACTCTTTTCTCACTTGATCCATCTGAGAAGCAAGTTGGTGATGAAATAATTGCATTACTCCAGCATGGGAGAAAATTTGATGACTGTAATGACAACCATGAGCTTGAGTCTTTTCACCAGGCTGCTACTAGACTTGGTATCACTTCTTCTAGAGCAGCCCTAACTGAAAGAAGGTCTCTCAAGAAGCTGATAGAAAGAGCTCGTGCAGAGGAAGACAAGAGGAAGGAATCTATTGTGGCTTATCTTTTACATCTCATGAGAAAATACTCGAAGTTATTTCGAAGTGAGGTTTCAGATGATAATGATTCGCAGGGTTCAACACCTTGTTCCCCCACTGTCCTGGGTTCTCTTGAGGATGGAGGGGCTGGTGGTAATGGCCAGGCATTTGAGCGGCATCTATCAAAGCTCAGTTCTTTCAGTTTCAAGCCAAATATTAGGAGATCTGCCCAGATATCCCTTCCACCTGAAGAATTACGATGTCCAATATCATTGCAGCTTATGCATGACCCAGTCATAATTGCTTCTGGACAGACATATGAAAGGATCTGCATTGAGAAATGGTTTTATGATGGGCACAACACCTGCCCAAAGACTCAACAGAAGCTCCCACATCTCTCTTTGACTCCTAATTACTGTGTTAAGGGTCTCATTGCTAGCTGGTGTGAACAGAATGGAGTTCCTATTCCCAATGGTCCCCCAGAGTCTCTTGATCTTAACTACTGGAGACTGGCCTTGTCTGAGTCTGAGACTGCAAATTCAAGATCAATGGATAGTGTTGGTTCATGCAACTTAAAGGGGGCTAAGGTTGTTCCTTTAGAGGAGAGTGGTACCATTGAGGAAGTGGAAGGAAATGAAGCTGAAAATGAATCTCCATGTCCACAGGAGGAGGTTTCTGAGCTTAATGTGATAGAAAGATATCAGGATGTCCTATCTGTCCTGAATGAAGAAGAGAACTTGAGAAAAAGGTGCAAAGTTGTGGAACAAATAAGGCTTTTGCTGAAAGATGATGAGGAGGCCAGGATTTTTATGGGGGCCAATGGCTTTGTTGAGGGATTATTGCGATTTCTAGAGTCAGCTGTGCATGAAGGGGACACAATGGCTCAGGATAGTGGTGCAATGGCTCTCTTTAACCTTGCTGTCAACAATAACAGGTTTGTTACTTGTGCTTTATGCCTTTGCTTAGTTAGATCCAGACATGGATATTTGCACGCAATACAGGTTTTCTTTTCCTCCTAGGCTTAGCCTTTGGCAAACTGCTGTTACTCTTTGATTCATTGATGTAGGGTAAAGGATCCTAATGAATACGAGGGGGAAAGAACATTGTCATGTATTTCATTTTAAACACTGTTATTCCTTATGATTGATTGAAATTATATATATAATTATTAAGCTGAATCTTATTTAGTTTTCTTTCTCCTTTTTTTTTTTAAATAAAAAAAATCAGGAACAAGGAATTGATGTTAGCAGCTGGAGTGATTCAATTGCTGGAGAATATGCTTTGCAACTCCAATGCCCATGAATCAGCAACTGCTCTCTATCTTAATATGTCTTGCCTTGAGCAAGCCAAGTCTATCATAGGCTCAAGTAAGGCTGTCCCATTCTTTGTTCAGCTACTTGAAGGTGAAACTGATCCACAATGCAAGCTTGATGCCCTTCACACTCTTTATAACCTCTCTACCTTGCACTCCAATATTCCGAGCCTTCTTTCTGCTGGCATAGTCAATGGCCTCCAGTCGCTTCTGGTCTCAGGTGACCATGCCTGGACAGAGAAATCCATTGCAGTTTTGCTAAATTTAGCTTCAAGTCAAGCAGGAAAAGATGAGATGGTATCAGCCTCTGGTCTCATAAGTGGTCTGGCATCAGTTCTGGATGCTGGGGAACCGATTGAGCAAGAGCAAGCTGTTTCATGCGTTCTACTTCTTTGTAATGGAAATGAGAAATGTAGTCAAATAGTCCTACAAGAAGGTGTGATTCCTGCATTGGTGTCAATTTCAGTAAATGGGACAACAAGAGGGAAGGAGAAAGCGCAAAAACTTCTGATGCTCTTTCGGGAGCAGCGGCAACGAGATCATCCGCCTGCAGACATAAACCAGCAAGTAGAAAGCACTCAAGATCCCATGCCTGCTCCAGCCTCAGCTCCCGAATCCAAGCCATTCTGTAAATCGGTATCAAGAAGAAAAATGGGGAAAGCCTGGAGCTTTCTGTGGAAAAGCAAGAGCTACTCTGTTTGCCAGCATTAAAGTGTGACAAGCTATTGTAAATTTGCCTTGTATCTTCTTTTCTATTTCTCATGTCCTGTTCAAATGGACATAATTTATCTTTTTCTTTTTTTCCTTGTTGGTTATCATAGAGAAGCAGAAATGTACAGGTCCTCTGTAATTTATGGATTTTTGCGTCTTCTCCATTTCTGGATAGGAATACATGTATTATGATGTGATAATGTAGGGTTCGATATGCCTTCCAAAAACGTGGCAATTGCTTCAAGGAATATAATAGAAAATATTAGGCAAGAACCTCAAGCTGCCCGTCTAGCTCAGTCGGTAGAGCGCAAGGCTCTTAACCTTGTGGTCGTGGGTTCGAGCCCCACGGTGGGCGTGGATTTGGATTTTAAAACCTTTACCGGTCTGTGATATCAGAACTTTGCTCAAATGGCGTCTCTAGTTCAGTTTGATTCCATCAAAGCAATGAGTGGAGTTGTGTTTGTTGTTTTTCATATAGGAAGAATAAAAAGTAGCAAGTCATATGTTAATTCAATACGAAGTATCTTTTGCACCGGTTATATTAGTTGTAGAGAATGCATATAAGCATGCATTAAGAATCAAAGCACTAGACATTATCAAAGAGTTTTCAGTTATATTTAGGATATGTTTGTTTTTGTGAAAAATAATTTTTAAAAAATAATTTTTATATTTTCAGATATTTATTTAACGAAAAATTAATTGAATGAACAAAAAATATGACTTCATGATCAATGATAACTGAGATCATTTTTTAAAAAATTATCTTACAGATTTGAAAATAAAAATATATTTTATAAAATAAATTTATTTATGAGTTGAACTATTTATCAATATTTTTCAGCATAATTTTATTTATAAATAATATTATATAAATAAATAATATACTATTAATATAATATATTAATAAATATATAAAATAAATATTATTAATTTAATTAATGAATATTATAATAATATTATTAATAAATAATATATCATTAATATAATATATTAATATATATTATTCATAAATAATATATTAATAAATAATATAAAAATAAATAAATAATTTTATTTTAAGTATTTTTATATTTAACATAATATTTTAATATTATTATTATTAAATATAAATTATTTTTATATTAATAATTTTAATATATTTTAATAATAAATAATTTTTAATATTTTAATAGTTATATTAATAATATTTGAATAAAAATTTTTCAAAAAACAACCAAACCACAAAAAACATTTTTTTATTAACTCATTCAAATAACAAAAAATCTTTTTCAATTTAAAAAATGTAAACATTTTTTAAAAATTATTTTTGAAAAGTTATTTTTTGCGAAACAAAAAAAGCCTTAGCTTCTAACCATTTATAAAAAGCAGTAAATGCGGAACAGGAATGTAAAAGGTTCAACCAGAATACAAAAATTGAATAATTTAGTGAACGTTATATCAACATCATAAGCTCACGTTCAAGAAAGCAGCGAAATCTGTACTGCAACTTATGAACTAGGTTAGACGACTTAGGGAAATTAGAGCGCCAAGAACGATCACTTCTCGTAGAGGTTTTTCATTGTTTGAACTATGCGCGTAGCATCACCACCAACAACTTCATCCTCTTTTTTGCTTTCTTTAAAGAAATGGAAAGTCGGCTGCAGCCAAAGATGAAAATTTAGTGAAGTAGGAAAGAATTGTGTTTGTGTTCATTAAAGAATAGAAAAGACTCTTAAAAACTTAATATACCATGCTAAAAAGTATCTTATCTGAATATTAAAATTGCAATGGCAGGTAGAGAACAAGTGTCATGGGTCAAGACTCAACCTTCAAGTTGCGCACAACTCTAGGATCCGAATATGGATTCATCCAGCGTCTCAGATCAACTTAATTGTCACGGTTCACACCTTTGTGAGGTGTTGTCCGCTTCAACCCACTTGACTTCACAATTTTATCCCACAAAGGGACATCACAAAGAGAAGGTGGTGTGAATCCTTATATCCCATGACCTACTCTAGTGCACAGTTGATGTGAGATTCATGGCTCTTCCTTAAGACCATAACATCCTCTCCATTCCAACGAGAACCCACCATCCTCAATGGCATATCTCTAGTACCCTAGAGCTGGCTTTGATACCCTTGTCACAGGTCAAGACTCAACCTCCAGGCCTGCGTGACTTCAAGATCCGGGTATAGACTCATCCAGCATCCCAAATTAGCCTAACTATTACGATTCACACCTTTATGAAGTATTATCTGCTTCAATCCTTAGAGCTGGTCTGATACCAATTATCATAGATCGAGACTTAACCTCCAAGCCGCGCAACTTTAGAACTCAAGCATGGACTCATCCGGTGTCCCAGATCAGCCTAATTATTACGGTTTACACCCTTGTGAGGTATTATCCGCTTCGATCCCCTTGACCTCACGATTTTGTCCTAAAAAAGACACCTTACAAAGAATGTGGTGTAACCCTTATATCCCATGATCAACTCGAGTATACAGACTGTGACACAAGTACTTGCAATAATTTCTCAATTGATATACTCAAAATGCTTCATAAAGTTAAGAAAATGAAACTTATATATGACCGCTGATATAACCAATAATTATAATGCATACAGACATCTTATACAATTACTAACTACTATACTAATCATAACTATAAAAAGAACTTAAACTTACTGCAAAACCAAAACTAAGATTTTAAACTGAAACTAGAAATAGAAATCATACTTATTCAACAACTGCTTAACTAGTTTCTCACCATTTGAAGAACACGAAAATAGTCGCAAAAACTGAATTATTTAACAATCAAAATTCAAATAAATGTCAAATAAAAAGAATGAAATTATTTACCACAGCTGTAACATTTAGAGTTTTCAATTTGCTTGCAAGGGCTTCCTGCATCATGTCAACAATATTAGCTCCAGCTAAGAACACTTATTGTCAGCATAGTGCTTCTCAAATGCACAAAAATAAAGAACAAAAATTTTAGCTTCTAATTATAATCAGCAATAAAAGTAAACCAAAAGTGAAGAGCACAAAATAAATGCATTGTTCATGACATTCAAAAGCTTTCTCAGGTATCACTATGCAATTTACATATAAAAATGACATCAAAAAATTCAGTCAGTAAAATTTATAACTTTTCTCAAGAAAACTTAACATGAAAATCTCTAAGATATGCCCTTGTATTATCAAACATTTCAATCTCAAACATGAAACAGAATCATACTATTTCCTTTCCAAAAAATACTCCCGTATAAATCATCGTGATCAAATAAGTGAAAAGCTGAAATTTATAGATTCACGTTACAACAAGGAAGTCAATTCAAAGTGAAACTACTATGAATGACACACAATGAACCCTACAACCGAAACATTTTCAATTTAAAACCAATGGAAGAATACCCAAATCTAGAACTGATAATACATTATTATTCTAAGTTCCATATAAAAGGCAATCAGTGATGATAAATTCAATCAACATAAAAAAAGAAAGAATCATTTTTGACCTCATCGATATCCAACTTATACGTTGTTACATGAGGGTTTCTCCGAGCCAACTCGTCCACGACCGGAGCGATGAATCGGCCTGCAAAGAGATGGAACACAACAAATGTTAATGAAACAAAGCCAATGCCTTTGTCCTTTGATATTAGAAAATAAAAAATAAAAAATAAAAAATAAAAACTAAGAGTTAGTAAAACTTACAAGGGGCGCACCATGTAGCAGTGAAGTAGAAAACAGCCGGCATGGATTCGCCTTCAGCTTTGCTAAGTGCAGTATCGAACTCTTCTTCTGACTTAACGGGGACAACATTCGGTGGAACTGAAATTAAAGAACCAAATTATATACTAAAAAAACATTTTTTACTCTTTTTTTTTCGATGTTCGAAGCAAAAATCTAACAATGGCAAAAAATAAAATAAAAATTTAGCTAGCGGCGATTCGGATTCGGATGGGGGTGGTGAGTAGAAATCAGCGGGTGAGTCCGAGAAGGGTCTGAAGAGAGTAAGGTTTTGAGAGGTGAAAGAGGTGAAAACTGGAATGGGTTTTATGGGGATTGAAGGATTTGTTTTTGGGTTGAAAGTAGGTAATTCTGGTTCAAAGGAAACCGAGAAAAAGAAGAAGAAATCGATCGGATATTGCAGGCAAGACGAAGAAGAAACGGATGGATAATCGATTTCCCTCTCATTTTTTTTTTCTTTCTCAGTATCTCTTTCGTTTCTAACCGGAAGCGGAAGTCGTAGTTCCCAAGTGAGTCCGGTTTGTAGTTTCTAATTTCCAGATTGGCGTGGGAAGCGACTACGGGGCTTTGTTTTGGGCTTTTTCCGGGCCTTTCTTATAAACTTTAATTGAGAGTTGGAAAGGCCTGGTTTATGCATTTTCAAAGCCCAAACATAATTTGGTCAAGTATAGGGTAATAACGTTGTGGTCTGGATTAAATTCCATTTTTCGGATACTAAATTAAATTATAATTTTAAAATTTTGATTTAAATTTCAATAGAATTTTCATATGATTTTAATTAGATTAGATTTATTAATTTTTAAATTTTAATTTTTTATGCATTATTTTAATATAATTTTTAATATATTTAAATAAATTTGGATTTCTTTTTCCATATGGTTCCTGACACAAGATCGGATGAAGTAACAGGCAGATTGAAATCAGCTTGGGAGCAAAATTCATTGACTGCTCTCAAACTTGTGTGCAACTTGAGAGGTGTAAGAGGAACCGGAAAGTCAGACAGAGACGGGTTTTATGCATCAGCTTTGTGGCTTTTTGAAAATCACCCCAAAACACTAGCTTTTAATGTTGATTCAGTTGCGAAGTTTGGTTCTTTAAGGGACTTTACCGAAATGTTCCATAGACTACAGCATGGTCTTATGTCCGGGAAAATTCGCAGAAAGAGAGGAAGAGATATTTAATTGCACGCATGAAAAGCAAGCTGACGAATGTGCCAAAAACTTCAAGAAAGGAAAATTTACTTGCAGCGGCCAGAAAAGGTATTGATCGGTTCAACAATGAAACAGCTTATCGGTTTCTACATGATAGGATATCAGATATTTTAACAAAGCATTTACTATCTGATATAGAAAACTTAAATTCTGGTAGACTGAATTGAAGAGGGAAACATGACAAAGAAGGGTTCGAGGGCTACCCGGCGAGTGTCAAGAAGGGGAAGGCCAAAATAGCATCTGTTGCATTGCTTCCACACTAGATCATAGAATCGCTGAGAGATGGCACAGGAGGTGAAGTGGCTGTTCTACAATGGAAGAGAATGGTGGACTATCTTTCTGTTAAGGGAAAACTGAAAAATTGCCTTGCTATCTGCGATGTTTTCCGGAATTATGTGTGGTAGATACACCTCTATATGTAAGGATGGCACTTGGACTCCTGGTTTCAGATTTGAGTGAAGAACCTCGGAAGGGGAAACTTATTACATTCAGCGAAGACCCTCAACAACAAATTATTGAGGGTGATGATCTTTGTTCCAAAATTGTATGCATAGCGGAGATGGATTGGATGCTGAACACCGACTTTCAGAAGGTGTTTGACAGAATTTTGGAAGTTGCCAAGCGACAGAATTTTTACAGAAGATCAGATGATTAGGAGGCTATTTGTGTTCAGCGACATGGAATTTGACAAGGCATCCCCTCAAATTCTTGGGAAACTGATTGCCAAGCAATAACAAGAAAGTTTCATGACAGTGGGTACTCATCCGTGCCAGAGATAGTGTTCTGGAACCTTAGAAACTCGAAATCCACCCCAGGTCCAAGCCATCAGAAAGCAGTGACATTAGAAAGTGGCTTCTCCAAGACTTTGCTCAAACTGTTTCTAGAGGAAGGTGGACTCTTGGACCCCGAGGGTACCATGAAATCTGCTAAGCAGGCAAGGAATTCGAGCTACTTCTTCTTGTTGATTGATTCAGGAATATGTTGCCATGTCTTTTTTTATTTTCCAATTCTAGACTCCTAGCCAGACTCAGTAGGAGGTAGTTTGTAAATGGAGATCTAAAATGCCTCCAAATTTATCATTTGCAAGGCCGATGTTTAATGTTAAGACATTGCAAACCTTCCTTCGTTTACCGGTTGAAGAGAGTGATAGACAAATTTCTACCTCATCGCAAGCCCTTAAGACCTTGGTATTTGGCATTGTACCTCTTACTTATTCATCATTTTGAGAAAATAATGAATATTTCTTCATTCTTTTTTTCTCATTTGGCCGATCATAAAATAAACATACACAGCCAAGCTAATGTTTTTATTGTATGTTTAGTATTTCCCAACAAAACACTGTGGTATTCATTGTTCAAGAGACAAACGACGATGCCAAGGAAAAGGCAAATCTGTCGAATGCTTGGAGCTTAAGGCACAAATTTTTCATCACATTGTGACAAGATTCTTGAACAAATGCATGTATGATGTATCCTTTGTACAAAAAACTGTATTCGAATCTTCCTTCCCCCGCCCAAAAGAGAAAAAAAGAAGGGAAAAGGAGAGGCTGGTGGGAATACCTTCTCTTTTGCATTATCTCCATTTTATTTGCAGACAAGACAGATGGCATAGACAACAGGAGTTCTAGTTTCTAATATTTGTATGCCGATTCTTGCTCTACTCCAACAAAACTCAATCACATGATACACCAGCCTATAATCATGTGCATATATACAAAAACATGTTCAGACAAGAAGGGGGGAGGGGGGTCCTACTCACCATCCTTACATATCTCTCTGAGTAGCTGATATCTAACAACTTTCCGGCCTCCCTTTCCCATTCTCATCCAATAGGGAGCTTTTGAAGTGGGAGAATCCCGGGAGGTGTCGATAATGACTGAGTTGATGGGTGAATCCAATTCATCAAGCTCATCATCACTAGTGTATGATTTTCTAAGCACTGATGACCTACTCCATTGCAAGGCTTCACTTCCGACCTCTCTTATGATGCTCGTCAAGGAAGCTGCGGAAGGTGGTGAATAGACTATAGAAGCAGCCATACATGGAAAGTTTGTTATAGACTCTTCCCCAGCCTCAGAAACGCTCTAAATAAGAGAAAACAGATCAGTCAGGAAAACTAAAGATAGGCACCATTAACTTGCACCAGTGCAGTGCAGGGCAATAAGTGAAGTGGAAATTTTATTTCAAGCAAGCTTTGTTGTTTTATGACATGACAAACCTCATTCAATGCTTCAAAAACTGCATTTGAAACAGGGTTAGGGTTGAACTCGTCAGGTACAAAATTGTTAAGAACCCTGCTGATCAGTGGTGCACTAAACGTGGGGCATACCTTCAACAATAAAATTTGAAGCGAAGATGGGATTAACAGACAGGAATACGGAAGATATATATATATATATATATATATATACACGTATATAGATAGCTTATTTTATATATATATATATATATATAGCTTACTGAAATTAAAACAATAATACTAATAATTCCGGAAATATACCTCTTTCCTCGTGGACCTATCCGCAAGCATCTCAGATGGAAGCATCATGAGATCACTCAATTCATTTAGGAGATGGAAAGCCTTGAAGGAAGCCTCACATTCACCATTTTTGTTATCACCAACTTCATTGCTATCTTCAACACCTCCATTATCATCAATACCAAATAGATCTGTTAACCATCTTGACCAGTTCCCAATCTGGTAACACAATGTACACAGAAAAGGATCCTTTTTATTAGATGCTATACACGTAATAAACTTTTGTGTTCTTCTGTCGTTATTGAAGCAACTTCTGTGAAGCAATTTCAAAGCCTAGTCTCAATCTTATATTATCTGTTGACATAACATTTGGGAGAAGAAACCACAAGGTGCAAGGATTTAGCTTCTTTTAGGTGAATTAATTTTCTGTTACTGTCAAACAAAATCAGATATGTTAAAAAGGAAAATCAAAAGGAAGGTAAAGCATATTAATACGCCAAAATTGCAGGTACAGTCAATTGTCTCCAGCAAATCAGTTTTACATCTAAGGTCCCTAAATGCATATTTTGTATGTACATATAAAAGTATTAAAATCGAACCCAGAGCATTGCTCAATTTGTTCATACTGTCATCCTTAAAGGCGGCATCCAGCAGATCTGGGGTTCAAATCCCAGCATTTGCAATCACTTTCTCTGTCCACAGGCCATGGCTCCTTTGTACCAAAAAAATAAAAGTATAACATAAGGTGGGAGGGGTGGGGTTAGGATTTCCCTATGAATTTATGAAAACAGGTTCAGATCTTGCGTATCAGGGAGGCAATTAAGCTTTAAAGTAGCTCAACAGAAAGAGGAACCCATTACTCACAGCATTTTTTAGTTGTAGACCTGCCCCAAAGCTTGATTTGCCTGCAGGAATAGGAAGAACCTTTGAATCTCTTATTGGGTCAGAAACAGAATCTGTTGGCATTTCTTCAGCTGATTCATGAAGAATAGCATTGAACATTGCAACATCTAATCTACCCACCAATTGCTCCATGACCTAATGATGGAACAGGAAACAATGTTTCTGTAAAATTTGCATTTCAACAGCATTATCAATTAGATGATTAAAATCATAGAAATAAGGACATGGCCTGATCATTTTACAAAGAGACATTATGGACATATAGAAGAATAAGATCCAAGGACATGTTTTTTATGCATACATGAAAAGAAACTATAATATATCATAATACCAATTTAGCCAGCACAACTAAGCAGCCACACTCATGCCCACATGCTCGAATGGGGCAAAGCCTGTCACAGATATCTTTAAAAGCCTTCTTCCAAAGCTCAACTGAAAAATTCCCCTGTTCTTGAACACCTAATCCATATCTTCGGGTCAAGGATTTCCTTGAGTTTGAGCTCTTTGCAGCAGCAGACTGCATACGTGGAGTCAAAGTCTGACAAGTATACAGAGGGAAATATTGTCAGGTATAACCTCTGAAGACATTATGCTGTAAGCTTTAAAAGAAAGGATTCACCTGCCACCAGACGGACTCTATTATTCTGGAGAAGATCCAAGCTTCAAACTTTTCCAATGCAAGTAAAAATGTCTGAGGGTCCACCCAGTCATCAAAACTTTCTGTTGAATTGCTTTCCTCTTTATCCTGGGGAGAGGTATCCTCCAACATTATTCCCCCACAACTAAAATTTAAGCACAGTCCAGAAAATAGTTGCATTTCCTCAATAGCGTGGCTAACAATTGCTCTCAGTACAATTGAATTTGACAACCAGAAGGTTAACCTATGAATAATTGGAAAGGCATGATCAAATGTATGTCAGGTAAAAGAAGGGCACATACACAGAGAGAAGCATTTCAATAAATAAAGAGGAAAATTATAAGGAAACAAATAAGCAAATAGGCATGAGAACATGAATACATTTATCTGCAGTCTGAATGTCAACTTAGTGCCACAGATGAGATGACTGATTTTTGTTTTCTACAACATGCAAACCAAATTAACATCTTTGACTATCTGCCAGATTCATTTCCTAAAAAGAAAAAATTACAAAAAGTGTTAGCGCACACCTTGGAACATCACTTCCACATGCTTTAGAGACTAAAACCAATCCTGAAACAGCAGCCCTTGCTGCGCTTGCCCTCTTATCTTGGGTACTTGCTTTACAAGCATGAAGATAGAATCTAGAAAGTCGTCTAGCTGGAGCATGAACCTTGTTTGTAGAACTCCCATGCTCTGCAACAACAGAATAAAGACTAGCCTCAACAACAGCAGCTTCTCTCAATTCTTCTTCAAGCATTTCGATTTTGGATTCTAATTCAACTTTGCCGTTGGAAAAGCTGTTTGCTGATTCTGATCCATTCTGTAGTCAATACCGACTTTCTATTAAACATTCAGAAATACTAGCTTTGCTAGGATGACAGCCACCAAATTAATCAGAACTACTACAGTCCTCCTAGAATAGGATCATGCTGGTAAAGGCCCCAAGCTGAAATCCCCTTCCCCAAATTAAATATACAACGAGAAAACGAAAATAAAGAACAAAGATCCTGGCAATTTTTTAGCTTTAAGTGTTCAAATAGATGCATGTGCATGGTAAATGCAATTTCAAATAACACCACCAACAGCAGCAGATAGGAGTGTGAAAGCATGAATGTTTCTTAGTTGCATTGTGTTGTAGTCCTACAAAACTTTACTTATGGCAATGCATAAAGATCCCAAGTCTGCCAAGTCAATTTCAAAAATCCTAAACCCAACCTAATTGTAAACCCCTAATTCAATGAAAATGGAAACAAAGAACAAAAGAAGAGTGATGAAGTTAAGTACCTTGTCGTGTTGACTATGTGACTCTCTAGGAGGATCAAAAACAGATGAAGAAATAGTCTGGAATGAATATGAGAAAAGATCATCATCAGCAGTAAAAGAGGGAATCTCAGTTTCCTCATCCTTTGCTTCATTTATCGAATCGGAAACAGATTCACCGCCATCCTTGTCTAGTGACACTTCTTTTGACAAGCTGCCTTTTGGTGATGAGCTGGAGCTATCTTTATCAAATGGCTGGATATTAAGATAAAGAACTGGCTGTTCTCTGTTCCTTGAACTCTTCTTCAAGTTAATAGGAGTGATAATGTTTATAGTTTCCTTGATAATCCCATAATCTGCAAGGTTTACAACAGCAGATCCTAAAACTTGACCTTTTGCCACCATGTCTTTCCGAGGTTCATACAAGTAAAACTCTAAACAGTTCTTCTGGAAACTATCACGGTTTATGCTCTTACGGGATGCTTCCTGACATAAAGTTACTGGAAGACTGAAAGATTTGCTGAACTCAATTTTTCCATTCCCAATGCTAGAAGTTAAGGACCCAGAACTCTGATCACCATTCTCCCATTGAAGCAAAACAGATCGAGATGATAGCGAAGAATACAATGGTGTCCAAGGATTAATCTCCTTTACAAAAACAATGTAATCAACCTGAAATGAGTTGCCTTTTTTGTTCTTAGTTCTTAGGCCAAGAACCATTGCTCCAACTTGAAAGAAATACTGGTTTCACTCTTTATCGATATGATCAGTCAAAATGCCTTCATGTTTATGAAAACAAAACAAAATAAGAAATAGTATATATTGAAAGAGATTAAACAAAAACTACAATGTTCCATAACTGGAAAGCAAATGAAATTGAAATGAAAAATCTTTAGACTTTGCCAAGAAACGACTAGTTAACAACCAAAGCAGAAAAAACGAATCAAATTGGAAACAGAAGGTGGGTCCATATATAATCTTTAGAAAATATACCATGCACTATCAAGTTCATGTAACCACTGTAAAACTCAAAATACAAAAATTAAAAACAAAATTTTAAAAAAATCATAAAAAAAGGACAAATAAAACAAGAGTGGAAATTTACTTACAGGAGAAAGAGTAACAGTAGACAAAGTTTAGGCAGTGGGTAGTTTTTACCTATTTCCTTTTAAAGAAATTACTAGTTTTTTTTTTTTTTTTTTTCATTAAAAGCAAATTAATCTCGCGTTAGTTATATTTTATCATTTGCTAAATTTTTTTTATTAAAAGATTTAGGTGAGAACAGCTTATCTCGTTTTAGGTCAGGATATATGTTATAGGTTTTATCAAGAATTTAAATTAGATTTACAGATAATTTATAAATAAGAACTGTTAACAGTAAAAATTTAATCTAAATCTTAAAAACAAAATATCCAATTTTATTAATTTTTTTTAAAAAACAAATTTTTTTAAAAGTACCTGATTTTTATTTGCTCCGTGATTTGAAATTAAACACAATGGACAGACAGACATGACCCTATAAATTGTTGGTATAACAAGTATAGTTTTATTCTCAAAATTTTTGGTTTTTTATATTGATTTAAGAGAATGCTTTCAAATTGTTACCCAAAAATTAAAAAAGAAAGATTTTTTTAATTTAATTAAATTTGGTTTTTAATACCTGTGCTACCTTGTTTAATTACCATGAAACTGGATCTTCTCAAATTGTAATTCTTGTTTATTTAAATCTTCATTACTATATACTTAATCTGTCTAATCACAATTTTCCTATTCAACTTTTCAATTTATATTATAGTTAATTATAAAAAGGAACATTCATTATCAAACAAAAAGGAAGACTCTCTTTTGGGCATAAAATTTCAACAGACTTGAATGAAACTACAGCTTGAGAGCTTGCTCAGGGAGGTTGAGCTCAATCCTGGTCCCAATCTTAGTCCTGATGCACCCATTCAAGCCATTTTGCTGCTGTACATTTTTAGTCTATTCATATCAGTTCCCTAAGCATCTCATGTCAATATCTGCATTGGACAACTTTTATTTCAATTATCTGGTAACATTTTCTATCCTTTTGCTAGGTACCAGAAAAATAACATCTATGACATAGCAAAATACAGATATCATTAACAATATTCCTCAAATGGACCAAAAAAGAAGATGTTGTGGATGCTATGAGAAACAAGCATCCCCGCCAAGACATTAGAGACATTAATTATTTTCTCAAACGGTGAATTGTTGTTAATACAGCTCAGAAAAAAAATAAACAAAACAGTAACAGACAACCAGATGCCTGAGTCACCTATCCTCCGAGTATCAGGTACTTCAATTTTTATTTCCAGAATAGCTACTCGCACAGGAAATTTCCTACATAGCATGAGACAACCCGTCAAAAATCTTTAGATGCTAACCGCATGAGTGCTGTGGAAAGGATTGACATGCCGTAAGAATATGCAAAAGGTATGAGAAAGTGCAAAGCAAATGTTATGCTTGTAAGACTAAAGGATGAACTGCCAAATCTTTAGATACTAACTGAATGGGTGCTGTGGAACCGATTGATATTTAAGAATATGCAAAGGATAAGAACACAGGTGACGCATTTGCTATACTACTTATGTCCATGTGAGAAAGAGCAAAGCCAATGTTATGCATATAAGACTTAAGGATGCACTGCCTCATTACTTGTGTCTCTATAAGCCACTTTCCCCTTGAAAATGACTAAAACAATTGGGGTATCATATGCCTCTTTCCTTTCCCATTTCTTCTAACTCATTTCTTTTACATTCTTTCAACAGAAACATGATCCAGAGAACTAGAAATACCAGAAACTAATTAATAAAGTATTTTATATATATATATAGAGAGAGAGAGAGAGAGAGTTAGTTTTTTATTTTTTTAGGGGAGAAAAAAAGGCAACTAGTGGTTTGGTAGGGTACCAGATGATATGAAGGGAAAAACAAAATAAACATTAGAAGAAATAAGTTAAATCCCAATCCTTCAACTGCATGCATTTTAGAAATACGGCATCATTCTTCCTTCTCATGAAACAATCATGCTTACCTGTGTATACTGTGTGGTACAAGTATGCACATTGTGCATGACAGACTAAGAAGATGGACAGCAGATTACATAAGTCAATAGAAGGCAAACATCTTTACATAACAAAATGGAAATTAATAACTATAAATGCCAAATCAAGATTACTTCATATTTTAGAAGGAAAAAAAAGGCACCAAAAAATCAAAAGCAAAGAAGGTGCCAGAAGCAACCTGAGCAGTAATTAAGCAGAAGCCTCCAGCAACTCCCTTTCTGCACGCTCTCTAATCCTTCTCTCCAGCTCTGGCCTAAAATGCCGTATAAGACCCTGCACAGGCCAAGCTGCTGCATCACCCAAAGCGCAGATTGTGTGCCCTTCAATCTGCTTCGTCACCTCCTGAAGCATGTCAATCTCTTCCAACTTTGCATTCCCAACTTTCAATCTTTCCATGATCATCCATAGCCATCCAGTCCCTTCCCTGCAGGGCGTGCACTGTCCACAACTCTCATGCTTGTAGAAGTAAGAGAGCCTTGCAATTGCATCTACAACATCAGTTGATTTATCCATCACAATAACGGCTGCAGTTCCCAGTCCTGACTGGACAGCCTTAAGTGCATCATAATCCATCAAGACATCATCACATATGTGCTTGGGTAAAAGTGGAACAGATGAACCTCCTGGTATTACTGCAAGTAAATTGTTCCATCCACCTCTCACACCTCCACAGTGCCTCTCTATCAACTCCTTAAGTGGTATACTCATCTCCTCCTCAACTGTGCAAGGCTTGTTGACATGACCTGAGATACAAAACAATTTGGTCCCGGAATTATTCTTCCTCCCAAAACTGGCAAACCACTCTGGACCACGTCTCAATATTGTAGGAGAAACAGCCACTGTTTCCACATTTGTGACAGTGGTGGGACAGCCATACAATCCTGCATTAGCAGGGAAAGGAGGCTTCAATCTAGGTTTCCCTTGTTTCCCTTCAAGGCTCTCCAAAAGTGCTGTTTCTTCACCACAAATATAAGCACCAGCACCATAATGGATGTGAACATCAAAATCATAACCAGAACCACAAGCATTTTTTCCCAACAGTCCAGCTTCATAAGCTTCTTTTCTAGCTCTTTCAAGGTTTATACGTTCATTCACATATTCACCCCTTATGTAGATGTAAGCAGCTGTAGCTCTCATCCCCACCCCAGCAATCAAGCAGCCCTCCAATAATTTGTGTGGATCATGCCGCATGATTTCCCTGTCCTTACAGGTTCCAGGTTCACTTTCATCAGCATTGACAACAAGATAAGAAGGCCGGCCATCAGATACTTTTGGCATGAAAGACCATTTGAGGCCTGATGGAAATCCAGCACCACCGCGTCCACGGAGTCCAGATTTCTTCACTTCATTGACAATCCAATCAGCACCCTTGAGTACTAAATCCTTGGTTCTATACCAGTCACCACGTTTCATGGCACCTTTGAGAAAGGGGTCATGCAACCCATATAAGTTGGTGAAAATACGGTCTTCATCTTTTAGACCACCAAAATGGGTTTTCTCTGGTGGTGGAGGAGGGGGAGGCTGTGGAGCACCGGCAGTTGTTGCTCCTTGAGTACTAAATGATCTAATTCCTAGACTCCACCTCTCACTGCTATTCCTGAACAAAGCAGCCCTTTGCAGGGAAAGAATGCCCTTTATGGGTGCCTATGCAAAGAAAGAACAATTATCAATATCCTCTTTATTCTTTTTCCACTGAATATTTTCCCCAAAGACTTTGGGACAGAAACTAATCAATTTTTTAGCTTCCAAGAAATTATCTACTTATCATAAATAAATCTAACAATAACTCAAAAAAAAAAAAAAGAGAAGAAAACAATAGCAAAGTTTAAGCACCAGTCATGTTTGCATGATGCAACTGGCATCAGAAAAGGCTATAAAAACAGTTCAAGTGGAACACTTAAAGGACCATTGGATGCCCAATTAGTGATAACTCATAACAAATGAAATGACTGGCAATAATATGGGTTAATGTACTGCGGCCAGTGGCAACCAAAAGAAAGGGAAGAAAATAACAAAACACCATCAAATCGTCAGTCTATCTAATCTTAAGTCCACTTCTATCCGAATTCAGAATTAACTAAACCATCCTTCTGAGAATTAAACGTAGAAATCACTTGATGCGAAAATATCAGCCACATCCAATTTTGAAGCAATTAACAAAATTATTGATTCCTCAATAATCGGCTAAAGTGCCTTTCACTGAGGTATTTCAAATGAACGATAACATATTAAAATCTAGCACTCCCAAAAATTAATTTTATAACCCTAAAACAACAATCTAACTTCACTAAGCTTAGTTTATCGCAACTAGAACCAAATCAACACGCACTATCAGAACTAAAATTTTCTTTTCTGTGCACTCAATTTCCGCTAGCTTCATCGCATCCAAACGGAAAATAACGGAGTTAAAAAATCAATAGATTGGATCTAGAACTAAACGCAAAACAACATTTCATGATCAAACAATTGCATGAATCGAAGAGAAACCCTAAGTCAATGAAAAAAGAAAAAAAAATAATATATAGCGAAGTGAAAGAATTAATGAGGTGAGAGAGATGAGAAATGGAGCGTACCATAGCATGAAATGTCGCTGATGAGCCTTGATGCTTCGCGATTCGGCTTGACTACAAAATTCAGACAATACAATGGAGGAGAAAAAGGGAAGAGCAATTCGAAGTTGGGGAATAATTGAGTAAGCGAGCTAATGATCCAGATGTTTTAGAGATTTGTGATGGTTTTGTATGATACGTAGAGATGTTTGAGCCACCAATCAACGGCTATGATTAATCGGCCACGTCTACCATTCCATTTATGGGTTGTGCTGATGGATTGGGGCTTCTTTTTGTTATTCGTAGTTTGAGTCTGCAAAGTTCAGGGTTCAGGGCCAAGTTTAGTTCTGATATAACCTTTTTTTGCCCAAGTGGTATATCTATCGATAAACCAAACCCAAATCCAAGCCCAGCCTATTAGGTATTATTTTAATAATTCTTTAATATTAATTTTTATATTTCATTCATCTTAAAATCAATTTTTAATAAAAATATATTATTTATTAATATCACAAATTATTTTAAAATTCGAACCTAAAAATTAAAATTCCATTTAAAAAACTTTATGTTGAAATATTTTAAAAATATTGGTGGAGTTTTAAAAATATTTTTTAAAATTTTATTTGTCATATCATTTATACATAAGGGTAGAATTTTCATTTATTTGTATAATTGAATGCATATAATGTAAAAAATTATATAATAATGTAGTTTCTAAATTAATAAAAATTTAAATCTTTCATTTTGTTTATATTCTTGCATTTCACTTTATTTAATATATTTTTTTGAATTTATTCTTAATTAGTTGGCATGGTATTAAAATTTGCATTTACATGTTCGATAAATGTCATAAGCGTATAAATCTATGAATTTATTATTAGATATAAACTTAAAGAGTCATCACTAATCTTTTTTATTCATGTGCAATTGGGTACTTAACTGAATTTATTTTATTTTAAAAAGATGTCCTAAAATTGACTTAAATATTTTTAAAAAGTATATTATAGTCTACAAAATCACGATTAGATCCAGAAGTTTGGTTACGTATGAGAAAGATTATAATACCCTCATAATGCCCATCTAATGATGGTAACAATTTAATTTTGCATTATCCATTGAGTCTTAAAAAATTTTACAAAATAATTAATTATTAAAATTTATTTTTAATTAACTTCAATACTTTTAGCAAAAAATTAAGAGAATTCTCTTACCTCAAGAGTATATAAGAAAATTATCATTTCTCTTGTAGAGGCACCATCGTCAGATTATTTAATATTTATTTGAAAATTTTTAATTTCACGAAAAAATTGATACTTTCACTTTTTTCAAATAAATTTTTTATTCATTTTAGGAAAAATTAGTGCTTTATTTAGGTAAAAATTGATATTTTTGATTTTTTCCTTAAATATTTTTAAAATATTTTTTTAAGGAAAATTGATACTTCAACTTTTCTTCAAACATTTTTTATATTATTTTTTTTATTTTAAAAAAATTGATACTTCAATTTTTTTCAAAAACAAAATTGAAATATTTTTTATTATTTAAGAAAAATCGATACTTCAACTTTTTCTTAAAAATATTTTTTGAAATATATTTTTTAAAAGAAATTTGGTACTTCAACTTTTTATTAAAAAATATTTTCTAAAATATATTTTTTTAAAATTGATATTTCAACTTTTCCTCAAAATAAATTTTTGAAATATTTTTATTTAAGAAAATTGGATATTTCAATTTTTCCTCAAAAGTTTTTTTTTTTTGGAAATACCTTTTTTTATTTAAGCAAATTTGATATTTCAACTTTTCCTTAAAATATTTTTGAAATACCCTATTTTATTTAAGAAAAATTAATACTTCAGCTTTTTCTCAAAATATTTTTAAAATATTTTTTATTTGAAAAAATTGATACTTCAACTTTTTCTTAAAAATATATTTTTTAAAAATATTTTTTATTTTAAAAAAAATTGATACTTCAACTTTTCTTCAAATATTTTTTTGAAATATTTTTTTGAAATATTTTTTTATATATTTTTATTTTAAAAAATGATATTTCAACTTTTTCGCAAACATTTTTTGAAATAATTTTTTTAAAATTTTTTAATAGCTCTTCAAATTTTGAAGCTGTTATTTTTCATTTCAAAAAATTAATATTTAAACTTTTTATTAAATTTCTAAACATTTCAAATACTTATTCAAAAATAATCAATAAATTATATTAATTTAACAAATAAATCAAATAAAAGGGGAAAGCAAAAAAACCATAATTAGTTGGCATGATATTAAAATTTTTACTTACACGTTTGATAAGTATCATAACATATAGATATATGAATCTATCACTAAACATAAACTTAAAGAGTCACCATCAATCTTTTTTATTTATGTGCGATTGGGTACTTAACTGAATTTATCCAATTTTTTAAATATGTCATAAAATTAACTTATATATCTTTAAAAAGTAGATTATAATCTACAAAATCACAACGATGTTTGGGAGTTCAGTTACATGTGAATAAGATTATAGCTCTCTCAAAATGCCCATCAAAATAGGATACCAGTTTTATTTCGCATTATCCATTAAGCCTTAAAAATCTTACCAGATAGTTAATTATTATAAACTATTTTTTATTGACTTTAATATTTTTAACAAAAAATTAAAAAAATTCTCTCACCTCAAAAGTATACAAAAAAACTATTGTTTCTCTTGTAGAAGCTTCATTATTAGATTATTTAACATTTATTTGAAAATTTTCAATTTTAAGAAAAAATTAATACTTCAAATTTTTTCAAATAATTCTTTTTTTATTCATTTTAGGAAAATTTGTGCTTTATTTAGGAAAAAATTGATACTTTCGACTATTTTTCTTAAATAGTTTTAAAATATTTTTTTATTAAAAAAATTGATACTTTAACATTTTCTCAAACATTTATATATTATTGTTTGTACTTAAGAAAAATCGATACTTCAATTTTTTCTTAAAAAAAATATTTTTTAAAAATTTTTTATTATTTAAAAAAAATCGATACTTTAACTTTTCTTTAAAAACATTTTTTGAAATATATATATTTTTAGAAGAAAATCAATAGTTCAACTTGTCTTTAAAAAAAAATTTTTGAAATCTTTTTTTTGGAAGAAAATTGATATTTCAACTTTTTTCCTAAATAATTTTTTAAAATATTTTTATTTATGAAAAATTGATACTTTAAATTTTTCTCAAAAATAATATTTTAAAAATACCTTTTTTTATTGAAGAGAAATTGATATTTCAACTTTTTCTTAAAATATGTTTTGAATTACCCTTTTTTTATTTAAGAAAAATTGATACTTCAACTTTTTCTCAAAACATTTTTTAAATATTTTTTTTATTTAAGAAAATTTGATATTTCAACTTTTTCTCAAAATTTTTTTTAAAATATTTTTTATTTAAAGAAAACTGATATTTCAACTTTTCCTCAAATCTTTTTTTGAAATATTTTTTATATATTTTTATTTAAAGAAAATTGATACTTTAGCTTTTCCTTAAACATTTTTTTAAATAATTTTTTTTAACTTTTTAATAGCTCTTCAATTTTTGAAACTGTTATTTTCATTTTAAAAAATTAATATTTTAACTTTTTATTAAATTTCTAAACATTTAAAATACTTATTCAAAAATAAATCAATAAATAAAACAAAATAAGAAAGCAAAAAAAATCAAATATCATCTCAACTCGGAGCTCAGCTTGGATCAGTAAGCTCTTGACACAATAACGGCTCAAAAGGCACGGTGGCTTGGATTATGGCTTAGGTGACTCAACACAAACAAAAGACACGAGTCTTGGGCTAAACAAAACAAGTTAGGTTGGTCCCTTGGTGAAATGCATCGATCATAGTATTCTATGACTCCAAAACGACGTCGTTTAGTTCAAGGTTTATAAGGCCTTAATTACCTTTTTTCTTTTTATAACCTCTTTTCATTTTCTTTCTCTCTCTAGATAAAAGACCTAGTGGTCAAGTTCTACAAACTTGGTTGGACATCCATCGAGATTTGAAAACTTTGCTAGTTTCTTAAAAACTGACTAGAAAGTAACCGAAAATTGGGTATTTTCGCCAAAAAATGGTCAAAAACTTCAAATTAAGCTGAAAATTTTAACTATTTTCAAGAAATTTTAAAACTTTCATAAAAAATAAAAAAAAAAATTAAAAAAGGCCAAATCAACTTTCTATATCCTAGGATCTCTAAAACACTACTTAGGGTTAACCAAATTCTTAAAACTATAACTAAAAAAAAATAAATACTTATCTTAAAATCTCTTCCAAAAAAATAATTCTAATCACTTTGAAAATTTTTTTTATCTCTTTGATTACTATGTTTCTATTGTGTGTTATTCTCTTTACTTGTGTGATCAGTAGGGTTTATAGAATAATCTAACAATAAGATTAGGCATAAGATCAATTGAAAAATTTAAAAATTTAAAAATCTTCTTTTTCAAAATAACCCTATCCCATTCATCTATTTTATCTTGGTTTCAGGGAATCCTCATATTAACATAATTTCAAAATTCAACCCTGCTTATCTTAGAGTTTTATTAGGATTAGTCTTCTACTTTTATTTTTCAATATCTTTATCTGAAACACAACAATAGGAAACATGTCAAATGAAATGATCCATCAGACCATAATCCATAGATCAAAATCCAAAGCTTGACTTAAAAAATGGGTGTTTACAATAAGAGCTTACAACCATATAAGTATAAGAATAGGTGTTATAGCCAAATTTTTTTAGTTTAAAAATACCTTTTTAAAAGATTATTTAATTAAATTTTGGTAAGTTAAATTTTACTTCTTCATACATCTATTTTTAGAAAATTTTAGATATGCAAATTCATAAATTCCTTGAAATTTGGGGAAAAACATTTACGTCATTCATGATTTTCACGCAAAAAAAAATTCCAAAACACAATATTTTTCATATATAAAATGTAAACAAAAATCAAAAGCTTGATTTTTTGACTTGATTAAGTCTGAAAATTGTGATTATATGGTTTGATTGAAGGTTTTAGGCTTACTTCTTCATACATTTATTTTTTAAAAGCTTATGAATTTACGTATCTATAAGCTTTTAAGAATTTACAGATATACAAATTCGTAAACCTTTGAAATTTATAGAAATGTATTTTCATTATTCACAATTTCACGAAAAAGAATTCCATGCACTAGATTTTAATTTACCAAAAAAATGACACAAAAAAAAAACCAAAAATCAAAAGCTTGATATTTAGGGCTGATTATATTAAAAAATTATGATTGTAGAGTTTGATTGAAGGTTTTAAATTTGATTTTAGTTTAGGGTTTGAATAAAAGGGAGATTGAATCTAAGAAATGAGAAGAAATATAAGAAAATAGGTGTGAAGGGTTTTTAAGGAAATAAGATAATAAAAATTTAAATTTATATTTTAAATGTAGGATGTAAATAAAAAGGGTGTTTTTAAATACACCATAATTTTTTTAGAAATTATATTTACTATTTTAACTTTAATTTAATTAGGGTTTCATAAGATTTTATTTATTCTGTAAGATGAAATTAGTAAAATTAATTTTTTTATTAATTTTATAATTTATAAAATTTTAATAATTATTTTTTCATTTATTAAAAATTTTTAATAAAATTATCTTTTTTGTAATTTTTTAAAAAAATTTGACTTCCTCATTTTAAGGAAATGAATTTTCAGTAAGTTTATAATATTTTAAAAATAAATTTTCAAAAAATCATAAAATTTATTGAATATAAATATTTAAAAACTTCTGAGAAGGGTAATTAAATAATTTTACTTACAAAAATTCTTTTTGAAATTAAGGGGTGTACAGAACAAAAATGGTGGGGCATTTAGCAGCACCTTTCATATATTCCTTTAAATTTAGGGAAAAATATTTCTGTCATTTATGATTATCATGCAAAAATTATTTAAAAACACAACATTTTCCATATACGAAATGTTAACAAAATCAAAGGCTTGATTTTTAGACTTGATTGAGTTTGAAATTTGTGATTATATGGTTTGATTAAAGGTTTTAGGCTTACTTTCTTCATACACAAAATTTTTAAAAGCTTCTAAAAGATTACGGATATGCAAATTTGTACAATTTTGAAATTTGCAAAAAAGTATTTCCTTTATTTATGATTTCATGAAAAAAAATTCAATATACTAGATTTCAATTTACCAAATTTTAACAAAAATAAAAAATTTTGATATTTAGGCTTGATCAAATTCAAAAGTTGTGACTTAAAGTTTGATTCAAGGTTTTAAATTTGATTTTGGATTAAGGTTTGGATAAAAGGGAGAATGAATCTAAGAAATGAGAAAAAAAAAAGAAAATGGGTGTGAAAGGGTTCAGAGAAATGAGAATAATAAAAATTTAGATTTATATTTTAAGTTTGGAATGTAAATAAAAAGGGGGCTTCTAAATGCATCACAATTTTTGTTCTTTATATCCTTTTTTTTAATTTTTTTTTGTAAATAAAATTATTTAATTACTTTTTTCCTAAGTTTTTGGGGATATCAATATGCTAAGTTTTATGATTTTTCAAAATGTTAAATAATTTGTCGAAAATGGATTTTTGCTTTAAAATTTTAAGCAAAATTACAAAAAGAATTTAATTAAAATTTTTTTATTAATTAGTATAATGAAAAAAATGTTATTATTAAGAAAAAATCATAAATTTGAAAATTAATAAAAAATTAATTTTATTATTTTGATATTAAAAAAAAATCTTACGAGATTTTAATTAAATATTTCATATATTGATGTTATGAATGATGATAAAAAAACTATCAAGTCTAAATAATTAATATGTAAGAGTTGAAAGTTTTTGAAAACTATACAAGCAATATTATAAAATACTAAATAATTTTGTCAAAATCTAATATGTTAACAAAAAAAATTTATTATGATAAGTAAATAAAGATATTTATTTAAAAAATTCAGTTTAGTTAGAATTATTATAAAATTTTAATAAACAATAAGAAAAAAATTTATTAAAAAACTAATAAATTTTAAATTTATAAAAAATTACATTTACTATTTTATCTTTAATTTAATTAGAATCTTATAAAATTTTATTTTTTTCTCTAAGATGAAAATAATAAAATAAATTTTTTTTATTAATTTTAAAAATTATAATTTTTGTAATAATAATTTTTAATTACACTCATTATTAAAAAATTTAATAAAATTATTTTTTTGTAATTTTTTTAAATTTCAAAATCTATTTGAAAATCTATTTTCAATAAATTATATAATATTTTGGAAATGAATTTTCTAAGAATTGTAAAACTTACTGAATATGGAGATTAAAAAACTTATAAAAAAGATAATTAAGTAATTTTATTTATAAAAAATAAAAAAAGGGATGTAGAGAGAAAAATTATGGTGCATTTAGAAGCATCCAAATAAAAATGTGTGTAAAGAGTAATATTTTTTTTTTATGTAAATAGAATTTCTCTTAAAAAATATTTTTCATTTTTTCCATATTGTTCTTTATTATTATTTGATATTAACAAAAAATAATTTTTCTTGTTCATGTTTTAAACGAAATCCACTTTTCAAATATACAAAAAAACGCTCCGAAGAAAATTTCTTAAAACCCTAAAATTTTGATCAAATTAAAAAAAAAAAACCAAATTGCTGTATCTAATCAATGGCGAATCTTCCAATCGTGCAATTCGAGAAGAAAATCATAGAAACAGTGGAGCAGAATCTAGTGGTGGTGATAATAGGAGAGACCGGTTCGGGAAAGAGCACTCAGCTCTCTCAGATGCTCCACCGAAAAGGCTACACCGATTCCGGAATCGTCGCAGTCACTCAGCCCCGCCGCGTGGCTGCCGTCTCCGTTTCCAGGTACAGTTCCAACTCAAACTGTCTCTTCTTCTTCTTCTTCTTTTGGGGTTTATTTTGCTTCGCAATAAGAAAAAAAAGTGAGGGAGAGAGAATAAAAACTAGGTACTGAAATGCTTTAGGAATTTCAGACTATGTAAATGTTTGCTGATAACGTGTCGTTTGTCATTGGAGGAAACTGAATCAATCCTTTTCTTCTAACTTTTTTATGCTGTGTAGGCGAGTTGCGCAGGAGCTTGGTGTTAGGCTTGGGGAAGAAGTAGGTTATGCTATTCGGTTTGAAGATAGGACTTCGGAAAGAACACAAATCAAGTAATCCGTTTTGGCTCAATTAGTCTAATTTTCGATTTCAGTTTTTGTATTATTGTTGTTATGAGTTGCCGAGTCTAGTAGTTTCTTAACTATGGGTTTATGAAAACTGCATAGATACCTTACTGATGGAGTGCTCCTTCGTGAAAGTCTGTCGAACCCGGAACTTAATCAGTATTCTGTTATTATTTTGGATGAAGCCCACGAGAGGAGTCTGAACACGTAAGCTTTACTTTCTATGCTGTTTCTTTTATGTATATTTTGATTGTATCATTTTTCATTTGGGTTATGCTATAGTTATAGTATCATTCATTTCTCAGGGATATTTTGCTGGGGTTGATGAAACGTTTGGTTAAAAGACGCGCCTCCAATTTAAAAGTTCTGATCACATCTGCAACCCTTGATGGTGAAAAAGTGTCCAAATTCTTTTCAGATTGTCCCTTGTTGACTGTCCCGGGAAAATTATTTCCTGTGGAAATATTCTACAGCAAGGAGCGCCCTGCAAGCTATCTTGAGTCTTCACTAAAAACAGCTCTTGGTATGGTGGGAGTTTATCATTTACCACATATTCTGCTGTTACAAGCTTTTATTATGCATATATGGTAGCAATTTCTTGTTGTTTAACAAAGCTTGTGCCATTGTTTTCTGCATCTAGATCTGCTTAATTACATGGTTAATGTACAAAGAAATACTAAGATTTTTGGTTTCTTGTACAGTGACTGTTATCCTCCACTAAGCATATGTTGATTAATAGCACTATCGGTGCATCCAAGTCACTTGACTACGTGTGCCTAGGTGTTAATGCACAGTGCATATCGACTACATCTTAATCTTGATTTGTAGGGAAAATTTTAGGTTTCTGAAATTTTCCTGGCAATCATATTTTGATCTTGTGATGTCTTACTAAGTAATTGGTTTTGTCAGATATACATGTTCGGGAACCAGAGGGTGACATCTTAATATTCATGACTGGACAGGCAAGATCTCTCTCTCTCTCTCTCTCTCTCTCTCTCTTCCTTGGGGATGCTGATTTAACTTGTAACTTCCGCTTGGTTATACCATTGATTCACTTGTGAGTTTACTGATTTTTTTACAATTATTCTATTGCTTATTAAAGTTGAGTGGCCATTTATAGGATGATATAGAGAAGTTGGTATCAAAGCTGGAGGAGAGAGTTCAGAGTCTAGAGGAAGGCTCCTGCATGGATGCCATAATCCTTCCCCTCCATGGTTCCTTGCCACCTGAAATGCAGGTATGCTTTCTGTCTCAGCTTTTCTTTTCTCCACTAGGACAGTGTTTTCTCAATTTTTATCAACAAATTTGGCACAATCGTGTCTCCTTTGTACCGTTGGAAATGAAATTAACTTAAGCTAGATGGTCTTCAGATGCAGATATTAGTGATTTTGAATTTGCATAATTTTGTGGTTGACATATTTGGGTTTGCTGTGTCTCAACAGGTGCGTGTATTCAGTCCTCCACCTCCAAACTGTAGGCGTTTTATTGTTGCCACAAACATAGCTGAAACTTCTTTGACAGTTGATGGTGTTGTGTAAGCAAGCTTGATACTTGTAAAATGTTGCTTGTTAGTGCTTGTCTTTGTTTTGTTAATTTAAATTTCCACGATGTGACCTCTCTCCTTGCCAAAATTACTTGTTTCTACCCTAATTCTTCTTCTTTTACATTTTAAGGGGCTTGATAAGGGTCAAAATTTGTTAACATGCAGAGAATTTTAAAATGCACTGTTTTCAATCTCTACCTTTTTATGTGTAGCTTGTGCTGATAAGTTGGCAAAGTTGGCAATGTAGTGATGAAATGTCCATAGAATCATTGCCAACATCAGTGACTTTTTATCTGTTAAAACACTTTTGAATGATTCTTCTATAGAGATGTAGGGCTTAGCACAACACAAAAGGCAAGAGCATTAGGTTCAGATTGTTGTCAGCCCTGCTTTTCTTTTCTTTTTTTCTCCTGAATAGAGGATGTGGAAAAACTAAGAAATAAATTAGTGTGGAAACTGAATGTATGTTGGAAAACTGCTTATTGAGAATTATACAAGAATCTTAGGTTTATATACAACTAACTAGGGGTTAAACTAGAAAACGAAATCTTCCTAAAAAACTAATCCTATAATTAAGGGATTGTCTTTTAGGGATACAAATACTTAATTCTAGAGATACAAATATAAATATACAGATTACAAGATTACAACCAGCTGTAAATAAGTGTTTTCCCACACTCCCCCTCAAGCTGGTGAATAGGTGTTTTCCATTCCCAGCTTGGAAATAATTTCTTGAAATGTTGCACTACTGAGATTTTTAGTCAACACATCTGCAAGTTGACCCTTGGTTGATACATAAGGTGTACAAATCAACCCATTGTCTAGTTTCTTCTTTATGAAATGCCGGTCTACTTCAATGTGTTTGTTCTATCATGTTGCACAAGATAGTGTGCAATGCTTATTGCAGACTTGTTATCACAGTAAAGTCTCATTAGTCCATCCCATTTGATCTTCAAGTTTTCTAGGATAATCTTTAACCATAGTAGTTCACAAATTCCTTGAGCCATTGCTCTGAACTCTGCTTCAGCACTTGATCTTGCCACCACATTCTGTTTTTTACTTCTCCAAGTCACAAGATTACCACCCAAAAAAGTGCAGTAGCCTGAGGTGGATCTTCTATAAGTTACTGAACCTGTATAATCAGCATCTGTATATGCTTCTAGAACTAACCCTGAATTTCTTTTGAATAAGATACCTCTCCCAGGATTGGCCTTCAAATAGTGCAATATACGTTAGACAGCCTGTAGGTGCACTTCTTTAGGACTATGCATAAATTGACTTACCACACTCACAGCATATGCTATATCAGGTCTAGTATGTGAGAGATAAATGAGTTTTCCAACTAATCTTTGGTACATCTCTCTATTTACAGCAGCATCTTCATTACCTTCTCCAATGTTATGATTAGGATCTATAGGGGTATTTGTAGGTTTACATGCAAGCTTCCTAGTTTCCTTCAAAAGATCCATCACATATTTCTGTTGTGAGATGAAAATACCATGCCGTGAGTGAGCTGCTTCAATTCCTAGGAAGTATTTCAATCTCCCTAGCTCTTTTATCTCAAATTCTCTAGCCAAACATTGTTTTAGAGATTCTCTCTCTTTTTCATCATCTCCAGTTACAATTATATCATCAACATTCACTAATAGAACTGTGACTCACCCTGAATCAGAGTGCTTGATAAACAATGTGTGATCTCCTTGATTCTGTTTATATCCCATTGCTAGCATCACTTTTGGCAAATCTCCCGAACCAAGCTCTAAGAGACTGTTTAAGGCCATATAAAGCTTTTTTCAGCCTGCATATTTTGTTTGCTTTTAGATGACCTCCAAATCCCGGTGGAACCTTCATATATATTTCTTCTTCCAAATCACCATGTAGAAAAGCATTCTTTACATCAAATTGTTGAAGCTGCCAATTGTAATTTGCAGCCAATGATAACAAAATCCTAACTGTATTCATCTTGACAACTGGAGCAAAGGTTTTCTGGTAATCCACTCCATAGGTTTGAGTGTAGCCCTTAGCCACTAACTTGGCTTTATACCTTTCAACAGTACCATCTGCCTTGTATTTTACAGTGAAAACCCATTTACACCTCACTGGATTTTTTCCTTTACGCAACTCTACCAGTTCCCATGTCTGATTTTTCTCTAAGGCCTCCATTTCTATTTTCATGGCTTGCCTCCATTTCTCACTGGATAATGCCTCAGATAATGTAGTTGGAACAAAAATAGTGTTTAGGCTCACAAGAAAATTTTTGTGGGATGGTGAGAATTTTTCAAATGACACAAAATTAGAGATTGGGTATAGTGGATGCTTGGTACATTCTCTGGTTCCTTTCCTAATGGCAATAGGCAGATCATAATCACTAATTATAATTTTAGGAGATTCATGCTCATTTTGAGAAACAGAGTAAAAAATTGTAGTTACCTCATTTCCAGAGTTAGGAACAGGTTCTTGGACTGGCACTGGTTCAGGATCTGGAACTTTCCTTCTTGAGTACACCTGTAATTCCTTCATAGAATCAAGAACAATATTATCCTTTGTCACATTTTTCGTATTTGGAATGGGTTCAGACTCAAATTCAGTGTTTGATTTGGGCTCAGCAAAAATAGGTTTCGACTTAGAAGAATTAATGGGTGTAAATGTTGAAGAATGGGGCAAATCAAGCAAAAAGAAGTCTTTATCCTTATCTTCCATGAATGAAGTCTCCCCCTGAAGATAAGGTTGAGTAAAAAATGGTTTATTTTCTTCAAAAGTGACATCTGCAGACACATAGAATTTTTTGGTAGGAGGATGATAGCACTTATATCCTTTTTGAGTTGAAGAATACCCCACAAAAATACACTTAATCGCTCTTGGATCCAACTTTCCCCTGTTATGACTGTGAACATGAACAAATGATGTACAACCAAATATCCTAGGTGTGAGATTGTTTGTGGTATTGAGGTTGGGATAAAATTGTGAGAGTAGTTCCATAGGAGTTTTAAATCCCAAAACCCTTGAAGGTAACCTATTTATAATATGTGTGGCAGTGAAAACAACTTCCCCCTCGTAAAATTTAGGTACATTTGCTTGAAAAAGAAAGGCTCGGGTTGTGGCTAATAAATGGCTGTTTTTCCTCTTTGCCACTCCATTCTGCTGTGGAGTATTAACACAATATGACTCATGGATAATCCCCTCTTTTTGGAAATAGGTAGATAAACTCTGGTTGAAGTAGTCTCTTGCATTATCAGAACTAAATCTCTTGATTCTCACTCCAAATTGATTTTGGATCATGTTTTGGAAGCTTAAAAACACACTATTCATTTATGATTTGGATTTAAGTAAAAAAACCCAAGAGACCCTGGTACAATCATCTATGAATGAAACAAACCATCTTGCACCAGAAATATTAGGAATTGTAGAGGGACCCCAAATGTCACTATGAATCAAGTAAAAGGGAGTAGAACTTCTTTTGTTACTGATTGGAAAAGACATACATCTATGCTTTGCAAGTTCGCAAACCTCACAATGAAAATCTTCGACATTTAATCCTTTGAACAAAGAAGGAAACATGTTTCTCAAGGTTCCAAAAGAAAGATGTCCAAGGCGAAAATGATAAAGCCAGATTTTGTCTTTATTGGAAGATTTTTCAGAAAGAAATGACAAAGGTAAATTATTCTTGATACTATTTGTGTTATTTGATGTCTCAAGATAGTATAGTCCATCTTTCTCCTTAGCAAGTCCAATCATCTTCCCCGAACTCTAGTCTTGAAATTTACAATAAGAGGGATAAAAAGTTACTTTGCAATTCATATCTCTGGTAAGTTTTTGTATAGATATCATATTAGTAAACAATCCAGGAACATGAAGAACATTTTTGAGAACAAACGAGGGATTAACTTGAACATCTCCTAATCCTGCCACTGTGGTAAGTGAACCATCTGCAACAACAATTTTCTTATTACTAGGACACAGGTTATATGTACTAAACTTTTGTGAGGAATGTGTCATGTGGTCTGTGGCTCCTGAGTGAATGAACCAAGAACTCGTAATAGGCTTAGCCGAGACATTTAATCCATGAGAACCGGAAGCTTTACCTGAATTAGAAACCTTACCAAAGAACATACCACAATAGGCTTTTCAAGGATTTTCAATAAGTTTCTCAGCTTTTCAATCTTTTCTCTGTCGAACTCTCCTTGTTTTTGAGACATCTGTAGTACTCCAGTGATTTTTTCAGTTAACATTTCCTCAAATTGGGTGGTAGTGATATCTTTCTTTGAAAGGGTTTGGCAATGAAGGCCTAAACAGGATTCGGCAATGAAGGCCTAAAAAAGTGGGCAATGAAGGCTGAAAATTTCGCTTCCCAGGAAGAGCCTAAAGCTCTGATACCATGTGGAAAAACTAAGAAATAAATTAGTGTGGAAACTGAATGTATGTTGGAAAACTGCTTATTGAGAATTATACAAGAATCTTAGGTTTATATACAACTAACTAGGGGTTAAACTAGAAAACTAAATCTTCCTAAAAAACTAATCCTATAATTGAGGGATTGTCTATCCTAATTTTAGGAATACAAATACTTAATTCTAGAGGTACAAATATAAATATACAGATTACAAGATTACAGCTAGCTGTAAATAAGTGTTTTCCCACAGAGGATAGTGTAGGAAATGAATTGCATGAGTGCTACTAATGTGTCCAAAAGATCATTAATTTTGGTCCTTATGAACCAATAATTTTCCTGCTTAATTTCCCAATATTATGTGAATGTTTCTGATCTTGGCAAAGCAACTACTATTAAGTCATGATTATGTTTTGAAATAAAAATGAAGTTAATAAAATTGCCAAATATAAACCAAGACGTGATGTAATCCTTGGTCACTATGTGCAAATAAATATAGTACAATTTAGACATAGCAGAGACAAGGCTACTCTAAAAATCTAGTGGAGGACTTTTGTATTATATATGTAATGATATAAAGGCATGATCAAACATATCAATAGAAGAGTGTTTCTTCTTCTTAATGAGAACACAAATTTATAGTTTGGTTTACTATCTTGCTTCCATTTGTTTCTTAATTTAACTGGCTTCAATTTTCTACCTGAGGAAGGTACTAAGATTTGTTCCTAAAGGGTCCTGATAAGTGTTAAAGCTTATATATAGCCAATAATGAATATATTATTATGATACACTGTACTGTGTATCTAATTCTACCAGCTTCTTTTACAAGATCAATTGCATGGATACTTTAATTGGCTTCTCTCTACACTAATTATCTGTATATTGATAGGTATGTTATTGATTCTGGTTATGTAAAGCAACGGCAATACAACCCTTCAACTGGAATGTATTCCCTTGATGTTGTTCAAATTAGCAAGTAAGTAGATAACTTAATGTTTCTTTCTGCTTTTGCAGCATATTCACGTGTTCCAAGTAGCACAACTTACAGTTTTGATCCTATTTTGGTCTTTATTTTTTTGCAAGTTCACTTTCCTTTATATGCATGATTTTGCTCTTATTTTGCATCAACAAATTCTATGTTCTTGTCTTTCTTCTGTCACTTGAGTGACTGATTGTTAGTATTCTTCCAAATGATTTGGCTTTTCTTTCCCTCCTTTCTTTTTGACATCACTTTTTGTTTGTATGATTGGAGGGTACAAGCTAATCAACGTGCAGGACGAGCTGGAAGAACACGTCCTGGGAAGTGTTACCGTTTATACCCATCCAGGGTTTATAACGATGAATTCCTTGATGTAACAGTTCCTGAAATACAGCGATCTTCTCTTGCTGGCAGTGTTCTTTATCTAAAGTCGTTGGATCTCCCTGATATCGATATTCTAAAGTTTGATTTTCTCGATCCCCCTTCTAGTAAGAATGCATACTTATTGTGCTCATTTTTTATTTGGGCAGAAAGAAAGAACAAGCAACCGAGTTGTCGCTTTAAAATTTTCATTCTTTCAATATCTAAATTTGCAGTTTCTGCCAATGTTTAGATTTTGGATATTGATTAAGTTTGATTGGTGTAACTGTAGCTGAGTCATTAGAAGATGCTTTAAAGCAACTCTATCTGATTGATGCTATTGATGAAAATGGATCAATCACAAGCATTGGGCGAACAATGGCCGGTAAGGATTCATCTTGCTTACCCAGTATTACCATGCTAACAGACGTGTTGCCATTAGTTGATAAATGCATGCATAATGTGGTAGATGTTGCTAGTATTTTTTTTTTTTTTTTATGCTTCACAGGATCATGCTTATGATATCTATGGATTTGTGAAACCTGAAACTGGGGCCTTGGAAGAAATGGATTTGGGTGCAGTCAACTTCCTGATAACTAATTACCAACCCTTTTCATGGGACCAAACTCAGAATAGCCACCATAGATTCCAATTTAACTCACGTCTAGAACTGCCAAGCATGAGTTACTGTCTATTGTAATGTAAAAGAATCTTATTTACCTATAATTACTATTTCTCTTTTGGAGTTAAATTTCTACTCTTTATGGTGTTTATCACAGCTACTTATGTACATATATAATTTCATTAATTGATTTTTTGTCAGAAACTGAACCCCTTTGTAGATGAGCTCACTGCATGACTTTGTATTTGCATGCAGAGCTCCCATTGGAACCTTCACTTTCGAGAACCTTAATTGAGGCAAATGAATATGGTTGCTTATCCCAGGCTCTTACTGTTGCTGCCATGTTATCAGCAGAAACAAATTTGCTTCCTGGTCGAAGGTTATGTCATAAAAGTCTTTATGAGATTCCTCTACAAGGATGCTGCCTATGCTTTTCCCTTTATCTTTGATTTTACGAGCAACTAGTTGAACTTGTTTCCTAAACAATGCACACTATAATTTAAAGTTCCTACCGCATGCTCATTAATACCTTGTTTGGTGAAACCAAAAACCTTTTAGATGTTTCAACTAAATGTCAATACTCTATGTTCTTATGTGTTTGGTCTAATATCCTTATGTTCTTCAAGTTTTCTCTAAGGCTCATTGGATTTACTGAAAAGGAAACTGAAATTGTTTCACTTATTTTGTGGGAGACAGACTTGATTTTAGGGGATGGTAAGGTTGGGGGCTAATGATATCCAATTCCATCAATGAAAATGAAGCCTCTATTTCTGTATCTGCAAAGTTGTTTTTTTCACTACTGAATGCTTAGTGATAGATTGTAATAATAAATAACATAAATTTTCTCTACCTGCAGCAAGAGTAATGAGAAGAAAAGGAAACACTCTCCTTTGGACCTTCCTGATGGTTCTGGTTTTGGTGATCACATCCAGTTGTTACAGATCTTTGAATGCTGGGATGAAAATGACTATGATATTGGCTGGTGCAAAGATTATGACTTGCAGGTACCTTCCTATATTCCAATTGAGAAAGCATGTATTTAGAAACTGTAAGACATTAGACATGTCATTTGGATTGTTTAATTCTAAACTCTGTAAAGTCACCACATAAAGTGATGTTATTGCCATAAATTTGGCTAGCCTTGTGACTTTTTCCATGTATCTCATGAAGGAATTAATTGCTTTTGTTGGAACAAATAATAGAAATCTGCCTCAAGTACTTGATGTGTGCGCATACCCTGTCAAGTTTCAGATGGATCTTTCTCCGATGAGCAGAAGTGCCCTGGATTTTGTGGATACGTTATGTATCTTTGATCCTATTCTCATGCTAAAGGTGAATAACATTTGCCAAACTTGATATTTGCAGGTGCGAGGAATGACATTTGTCAAAGAAGTTCGAAAGCAGTTATCTCAGATAATGCAGAAGATAGCAAAGGGTTAGCATTGATTTGACTAAGTGGGGATTTCTGGAAGTTTTTCTTTTGTTAATTTGACTTGGCTTTACTGTGCATATTTATAACTCACATATTCAACAAGAAGTAGATGTGTTTGATATGTTTGCCCTTCTGCACCATAAGTCTGGTACTTTAAATAATAGTTTGAGGCATAGTAGCCTTAGCTTCTCAATCCAGATACTGAATATACATTAGATGAAACTTCCTGCATATTACTTGCATTTTCTGTGGCATTGGTAACTGGAATGCATGCTTCAGAAATCTTGCAGTTAATAACCCAGTCTTCTACCATCCTGCCTTTGTCAATTTCCTTCTGTGTAGATGTTGCTTACTTTTTTTATTGCAATAATGATATATGTATCTGGAAAACAGGGTCTTCAGATGTTCAAGCAAATCAAAATCGGAAAGGACACCAGAATTATAGGAATTTGAGGAAGGCATTGTGCATAGGCTATGCAAGTCAGCTTGCTGAGCGGATGAGGCATCATAATGGCTATCGAACACTGGGTTTTAAGTCCCAACTAGTGCAGGTATCAACTTTTAGTAGTTTAGTCCGGTAGTTTTATATCTTTCTTTTATTGAGTTTTAGCCTATGGGAGCAGTATGTATATTAGGTGGCTACAATTCCTTGGTTTAAAATTGAGTTTGAAGACATACATAGTCACCAAAGAATTTTTGAAAGTTAATCTGTTATGTATTATTAAAGCAATACCATTGACTATTAAAGTTCAAAACCATTGTTGATTCTTGATTTTACAAGTCTATTGTTGTTTGAAAAATCCCTAAAAGCAATTGCTGTTGAGATTAGGTGCATCCTTCCTCTGTGCTAAGGCCAGATGACGATGGATTATATGCAAATTATGTTGTCTACCATGAACTTATTGCTACTTCACGCCCATACATGCGCAATACGTGTGCTGTGGAGAGGCAATGGGTGATACCGATTTTAGAGAAGCTTGAGAAACTTAATGTCAGTAAATTAAGGTAAATCAGATTTCGAGACTTATATCAAGGCAATGGTTCTGTTCTCTGATTTAATATTTAGTGTGGACAGATTTGAGCTTACCCCTTTTCTGTTTGTCGTGAAGTGGTGGTGGATTGGGTCATGTAGAAGAGGGAACTGAAGGAAACATGTTAGACTTGCCGAAAGGGAAAGCTGATATTGTTACAGCTCCTGAAGATCGCGAAAGTAAAATTCAGGCAGCTAGGGAACGCTTTCTTGCTCGCAAGGGAAAGAAATGAGCTTGGATATTGTGTTACCGCTGCAGTGGCTGCTTGGTTACTCATGGGGCCTGCCAATTTTGAAAAAGGTTGACGAGAAGGAGAATCATGTTTGCTTTCTCTCCCGGTTCCTAATATTTATTCGTTTGAACTCTGCCAATAGCATGCAAACCGTATACTCCTTTCGTCCCATTTCAAGTGTTCACTTTTCTTTTCTGGGAGGTCCCAAAATGAAGTCTTTTTTCCATGATTAGGCCCCGGTAAATGAGAGTTCGGCGCACTGCTTACAGCATGCTGCTGGAGGTAACTTTACACTGTATTTTGATTACTTCGGGTGAAGCTGCAAATTTTATTCCTTCACACAAAATCACAAGAGTTTGGATATAAGCTGATGGTGGGATTATCTCTACTGTTGATGTGATTCTTGTTTAATATACCCTATAATTGTAACAAATTTCTTTGCATCCACAGATGGAATGAAGATGGGATAAAGGCTAAGTTTACCGTCACTTTTTTCCTTTCATTGAACTGAGTTCCATTAATTTGCTCCGAAGGAGATGGAGAAATGTCAGCATTAGGTCACCGCAAGACGATGGGATTTGCTAAATTTGCCTGGGATGCTAAAAGATCAGGTTGACAGTCCAATGCCAGGTAGTGGGCCTTGCTTTAAGGAAATAGGAAATGGGAATTTCAGAGGGGATCTAATCACACAATCCAATGCCCTGAATTTTCCATCATACTCCATAGAAGGTTTTCTATCTAGCCCCTGACCAAAAAGAGTAATTTGCATCGAAATCCACCAATGTTTATCTGACAAATATCCAGAGCACCTAGGTAAACGGGCTTGGTTGGGCCAAGGAAATGTAAAGGATGAGTGGCTCAACTTGGATAGTTATGATTGGGTTTAGCTCATATGATTCGAACCCATTTATATGTTTTACAAACTTTCTTTTCTTTTTTAAAAAAAAAAATCTTGAGCGATGAAATAAGTAGATCCGATGACATAATGAAAAAATAATGTGAAAAATACACAAATAAATATAATTTAAATTTTAATAAAAAATTTATAAAAATAAAATATATTTTTTGCTTTATTTATTTACACAAATTGTGATAAAATTTTTTTTTATTTTAAGTATATTAAGCACAAAATAAAAATAAAAGACATGAATTGTGAATGTAAAAATAGATTTAAAAATTCATGTATTTATATTATATAAAATATTAAAATTTGTATATTCGTATTATGTTTTATATTTTATATGAAAATTATATATTATAATTTATATCATTATGAAAACATGAAATATATAATTAGATTTTGTTAAATTAATATATAATTATTATTAAAATTTTAAATTATGTAAAATGCTATTAGTATTATATTTCTAATTTTATTATTATTTTATAATTATAATTATAATTATATTAATTTTGTTATTTGAAGGATTAATTTTTTTGATATTTCGCGAGGTTGTCTGCTAAACGGCCTGCGCTGGATTCAAACATTTCCGGATTAAAAAAAAGAAAATTGTCAAAAATGTACTCTAAGTCCCCAAACGAAGCGAGGGCAAGGCAGGGGCAGAGGACGAAAAGAGGGTAAAACAGAACAAAACAAAAAGAGTGGGAACTGGGAGGGAGAAACAGAGAGTGCTCCAACGCCCAAGAAGGCAACTAACAACATCAACATTCAGCACCAGCAATACCAACCCACCAGACCAGCCACTCCCTCACTTAACTTCACTTAACCCAAAATTGAAGATACAAACACGACACCTTACACGGTTCCACCTACCCTCCTCTTCATATAAAATCTCTCTCCATATACATCACTTTGGTTTTTCTTACTTTAATTAGCATTTTTTTTTTTTTCAGAAAGAAATGGCGACTTCTGCAGTCGCTTTGGAGGATCTTCCTTCCGTTGATATCATGACTGTACTCCTTCGTCGCTTCAAATGCTCCTCCAAGCCTGACAAACGCCTCATTCTCATTGGTTCGTTTCTTGGGGCTGTTTTATTTTCTAGTGTTATTATTTTTTATAAAGTTTTGTTCTTAGTGTTTTGAAGGTTTAATTTTGTTTTTTTTGGTGGTAGGCTTATGGAAAAATGTGTATTTATAGAATTTGTTATGAGGTTCTTGTAATGTTTAGCTGAATTTTATGTGTGTTACCATTTATGATTATTGGACCCGTTTATTGTTTGTTTTGGATCTGGCTTTAGTTACTGACTGTAGTTCAGTTCAAACCTTTTTTTGTGTATTCTTTTGTGTTCAATTTGTACGAGGCTATGAAGTTTCACTTCTATAGCTTAATACTACCAATTAGTTAATTTTTAAAGGGACTAGAGTTGACCCTTCAGCCACAATTAGATTTCTATGGAACAAACATACCAAATGATATGCAAAGATCAGTGCACTTTTTTTTTTGGAAGGGGGAGGTGTTTTGGGTGATTGAACTGAAAAATTTGATGAACTGCAGGTCCCCCTGGATCCGGAAAGGGTAGACAGTCACCCATAATTAAGTATGACTACTGCTTGTGCCATTTAGCCACAGGTGATATGCTCAGAGCTGCAGTCACTGCCAAAACACCTCTCGGGATTAAGGCCAAAGAAGCTATGAATAAAGTAAATCCTTTTTCTTCTCATTGTCTAATTCCTATAGGCTTGTGACTTGTTGTCTGTTCATCTAATTGCAGATTGTAATATTAGTCCATCCGTTTTGTTCATGTAGGGGGAGCTTGTCTCGGATGATTTGGTGGTTGGGATAATTGATGAAGCCATGAAGAAAATCTCATGCCAAAAGGGTTTTATTTTAGATGGTTTTCCAAGGACTGTGGTTCAGGCTTAGAAGGTGGTTTTGCTTTTTATGTCATATAGTAATTTCCCTTTGTTGTTTTTTTTTTTTCTTTAATTTTGTTCTGGCTTTGATACTTTGTCAGTCTCTAACTATGTTTGTTATCTTTGATACAGCTTGATGAGATGCTTCAAAAGCAGGGAACTAAGATTGACAAGGTGTTGAGCTTTGCAATTGATGATTCTATATCGGAGGAGAGGATCACCGGTCGTTGGATACATCCTTCCAGTGGTCAAACCTACCACACTAAATTTGCACCTCCCAAAGTTCCTGGTGCTGATGATGTAGGTGTTTTTTAATATCCTTTTGATTTATCTTTTCTATTATAAAATGATTATAGATATTGATTGAATCTGCAAGCTCTATTACTTTAGAAACCTTGACTGATTATTCAACTCACTGTCACATTTATCTTGTCCTTATACTTTTGCCTGTCCTGCAAACAGTTTTGAGTTCATTAAGCAAAAAACCAGTATAACATGCATTCTCTTGAATACACTCAAAATTCTTTCTTAAGTCTATTGGGATTGATGCAAGGCAATTTACCTCCTTTGATATTGCTTTCATACTGGGGTAAGATCTTGGGATCAATCTCTTAAATAATTTCTTTAAAAAATTCGGAGAATTTTTATCCCATATCTAAGATGAATATGCAGATTCTATGGTTGTCTTTTGAGATATGATAATGCACTCTCTAAGAATGGGGTGGGGGATGAAAACTTTGGACCTTCTAAAGCCTCTGGACCTAGGAATCAATGGCATAGATCTGTGTACTTTACAACTTGAATATTCATATTTGATCACCATATTTGTCCAAACTTTGTGATATTATATATACTGCCAGTCACTGGTTCTGGTTGCTTGCACCCTTTATCTCATCTTGTTCTTACCGTTAGCCTTTGATTCAAAGAAAAGATGATACCCCAGCGGTTCTCAAGTCAAGGCTGGAGGCTTTTCATAGGCAGACTGAACCAGTATGCTCTATTCCCTTGTGGAATAACGATAGAATTCTTTCACTCTTTTTTTTTTTTTTGGACAAAGGAAAATGGAATTCATCGACTCTTTAGTCATTGCAATTTTACCTTTTTCTGTGGCTCATCATTTTTGTTTTACTGTATGTCCATGTATTCAGGCCCTAGGTGTTCTAGAGTTTTCATAATTTACCCGCATACTGAATTCTCATAGTGGAGCTTCCAAGTATTTTATCTGCAGCAAATTTGTTTCAAGACTTAACTTTATATGGTATCAATGGTTTTTTGAAGTCACTGATTTTAAATGGTCTTTGTTTACTTTATCCAACTCATATCTTTTCCAATTTCTCTAGGGATTTTTTTGTCCTTTTATAGACAGTTAGTAACTGCATTCTAGAATTGGAGCTTCTATCTTGTGTTATATTTGTGATAAAAAAAAATCAAAATTTGAGCTCATCAAGTATCATGATCTTGTAAATTACTGATTTAGATGGGCTTTGGGCCCCCTTTATTCAATTTCAGGTTTTCTGCACTTTTTTAGGGTTGTATTTAGGATTTTTTTCATCCTTTCTCCCTTTCTCAAGATGATTTTATAAACAAATCCCTATTGTTTGACAAGCAGGTTATTGATTATTATGGTAGCAAAGGTATTCTTGCCAATCTTCCTGCAGAGAAACCCCCAAAAGAGGTCACCTCTGAGGTTCAGAAGGTTCTCTCCTCATAGGACCTGCAATTTTTTTTTTTTGTTAACTTGCTCAAATTAATCCAATGCATTGTCGGATCGGCAAATCAGCAGTTTTCATTTCAAGACTTTGAGCATCTGCTGGTTTTGAGCCAAAGAGGTGTTTTTGGTACAAAATAATAGTTACTACAGATTTTGTAGTAAGAGTCTGACGTGATAATTTTCTGATATATGGTCATTGGCCTTATTTTCTCAATTCTTCTTTCAAATTGATTACATTCTGAATTTTGTTGTTTTTTTATGGTATCAAATTATCCTATTCATTGTGTTTTTGGGCCCAAACCGCCCCATGCCTTTATATTTTAACATTCTTTATTGTTTTACCATTTAGTCATCTGCTCCTACAAATTACAGAGAGTTGGTAGATACAGAATATGAGTGGTATTGTTCCAATGGTTTATTTATTTTTTAATAGGACATGAGAGTATAGAACTTGAACTTACTCTTAACCCTACTCTTCCACTTGAGGCAAGCCCAAGTAGCAATGGCCAGATTCTTCCCTAACCAATCAAACAGTAGCTATTGGTGGTTCAAATATTCACATATTGTGTTGAGCTTATCTAGTTTCATTTATTTTTATATTTGGGGCCATCGATCGAATATCATTGAAATTAAGAGGTCAGAATTAGCGTTGGAAAAAATCTCAGTTGCCAGTAGTTGGGTCAAATCAACCATCTACAGAAATTGTTGAAAATGTTCAACAATTTCTCTGCTAAAATAGGGGAAACAAATAGAGGAAACCATAAATAAAAGAAATAAGAAGGATATCCGCCTTATAAACAGAACAGGTGCAGCAGGCATTCCTGTCTGATGAATTGCGCGTATATTAAGGCCTTAATAGTTGTCTTTTATTTATGTTTCTGCTATCGTTAGTGCACCATTTTCTTTGTGCAGAGCTCAGAATCAGAAGCAAACTTGTAAATTGCAATTATCCCCACAAAACATTTTGAAGCAAAATCATATTTTATTAACTGAAAATTCATATTTTATATATATAAACTGCATTAATCTTCTCTGTTATTTGAAAGTAAAAAATGCCAACAAAGTAACCCAATGAACTAATTCACTTACCTCTGCTCTGCCATTGACTTTGATGAAACTCAAGAGATGGTGACGGTTGTTGAAGGCTACATCTCAACACATCATTTAGCTGACTGAGACGACCATCCATAGTTGCTATTTCTAGTTTTTTTTTATAATTTTTATTAGTCACTTCCTTTGTTTAACGCAGCAAAATTTAGCGATAACTCTTCATTTTCTTTCCTTTGTTTTCTTTCATTAGTCAGATAGAGCAATGAAATGTGGTTCATGATGAGAGAACAAAGGAGAATTACATCATCTAAAAATTAAAAATAGTATAAATATTCTGTATATTCCTATTATTTTAAGAGCAAATTTGCTAAATTTATTTTGATTATTTGTGATTATATGTAAAAATTTTTCAGTTATACAAAATACATAAACAAGAAGTCAACAACATATAGCAATTTTTCTATCATTAGCACTTACAAAATGGCAGAATTCTACAACTTGGAGGTAGGACTTGATAATTTGATCATCAACTCCTTCCTCAGCACCTTACCTGAGGCATTCTTTGGCAATGAATCAATGAAAGTTACTCTTCGTATTCTCTTGTATGGAGAAACCTGAGATCAAATGTTTGAGAATGGTAAAAAGAAAAAAAATGATGAAAAACAAGTGGTTTGATTAGAAGCAAAGGATGTTCTTCATTTCAGACCTGTTGAGCAACAAAATCCTTGATTGTTGATTCATCAATGTTGCTGCCTGATTTTCTTACAACAAAGGCCACTGGTACCTGACCCGCTTCCTCATTCGGAAACCTGTTAGTAATTTGGAGTGTCAAATCAAATGTTGGCACGTTAAAAGATTTATCTGAATTGCCGACAAAATTAGTTCCGATAAAATTAAAAATAATGATAGCGATAAAATTTAATACTGTAAAGTGAAATTAAAATCAATTATGAGAATATATGTTTGAATGTAAATGCAACAGTGACTGAAATTTTCTATTTTACTTTTACATTAAGACAATCGATTGTCTTATCTAGGGTCAGTTATTCACCAAGCCCTTTCTCTTCCAGTCACAAACTGAAAGGTAACGGGCAACTGCACCGTGGTGCTATCCAAATGCAGGCCACGATGCAGTTAGAGCTGAATTTCACGGCACCATAGCGGTGAAATTCAAAGGAACCCTGAGTCAAGTTTGGTCGAAAGAATGATAACTAAAGTCACATACGGAACAACAGCAGCCTCGACGACATCTGGATGCGAATTAAGCAGATGCTCCAGTTCAGCTGGGGCAACCTGTTCCATTGACAAAGCAAGAACATTGAAGACCAGAAAATTGAATCAAGCTTTTTGGATTTGAAGAGCTCAGGAACCAACCTGGTAGCCTTTGTATTTGATCAACTCCTTTATCCTATCCACAAAAAACAGGAAACCATCATTGTTGATATAGCAAAGATCACCAGTTCTTAACCATCCCTCTGAATCCAAAACCGCAGCAGTAGCCTCTTCATCATCAACGTAGCCTGAATCTCCAAACAAAAATGTATACAGAGTAATCCACAACAGATTCTCCTTTATTTCTTGCAAGTTAATCAAGACTGGGTTCGACTCATTCATTGTTACTCGAATAGCGAGTCGAACTGAGCTCAAGTAGATTAATACACGACTGAAGAGATTCGCAAATCTAATCAAATACTTAGTAAATGATAAAATATAATATTTAATATTAATATTTACAATTTTACTGTACCTAATGAAGTCCGAATGACTCAATTAAATTAAATTATGAGCCAAATTCGAGCATGAAAAAAAAAAGTTTGGTCAAGCTCACATTGAATTTGGAGCTTTGAATTTTCGAGTCAAGCCAAATTAGAGCCGGACAGTGTACCGTTCCACTTGATTATACTCCTAAATCAAGATATATATATATATATATTATAGAGAAAGTAGTAATTACCCTTCATTACATTAGCTCCTCTAACCCAAAGCTCTCCAGGCTTGGAAGGAGGCAAAGCAGAACCAGTATCAGGATCGACAACTTTAGCTTCACAGTTTGCCATAAGCTTCCCCGTCGCACCTTCTATTCGGCTTTCGTCGGGTTCCATGGTGGCAAACACTCGCCCCGTTGTTTCAGTTAGCCCATATGACTTCATCCACAAAAAGCAAGAAGTTCATTCATCAAAGCTCATCATATTAATGGATTAGCACTCTAATTAAGTGTTACCTGCGCCAGCTGAACTTTAGGCAGACGTTTTTTGAACCTCTCGATCATACTCTTACTCAAGTGAGCTCCTCCGCATATGATGACTTCAAGCGACCTCAAATCATAGCCATCCATTATATCAGCATCTCTCACCATTGTCACAACCAAAGGTGGAGCCAGCGCCAAATGGCTGACCCTATATTCCTCGACGACTCTGTACATTTTTCTCACATCAAATTTCCCACCTCCTCCCATTATCACCACGCAGTCCCCCGACGCCACAGTCCTCAAACTGACCGCTAACCCATACGCATGAAATAATGGAACCGTACAAAAAGTAACCATGGGGAACTTCCTCCCCGGACTCATTCCTCCGGCAATATTCGCTGCCCAGTTACGGTGAGTCAACGCAACTCCTTTTACCCGACCGGTTGTGCCGGAAGAGTAGAGAATCGTGGCCACATCTGATTGGTTCACTTTGAATCCTTCTTGTTCCTTTTTCTCACTTTGACATTCCATTAACGACTCGAATTCAACCGAATCTATAGTAACGACTCCATATTTAAGCGAAGGGATTTTATGAACTGAACTCGACGAGGCAAAAGCGATTACCGGTTTCGAAAGTCGGATTTGGTGGTGAATCTCGGGGATTGTGGCAGCTGGGTTGACGGGAGAGATGACGATGCCGAGAGAGAGGAGAGACAAGTAAAGAATGGGAGTGTAAATATTGTTAGGGGAGAAGACAAAAGCACAGTCGCCTTTGGAGAGGCCAAAGTGATTGCGGAGAGAGGCGACTAGGTTTTCGAAGCGGGAGATAAGTTCGGGGTAGAGAATACGTTGACGCGTGGTGGCGTCGATGAGAGCGACAGCGTTGGGGGAGGGATGATACGAGTTGAGCAGAGAGAAGATGAAGTCGGTAAGTGAAAGGGGTGCGGATTCGGGTGGAAGTGAAACGGGAGGTCGAAGGCTGTGGAACGTCATGGTTTTGGAGCAAAGGCCGGAGTTTATGTCGACGAAGTTTGCCATCGTAAATTGGAACGGAGAGCAGACATGCAAGGATGGAGTTTGGACTGTTTTATAAGCTTTTGCTTTTCCAGATGATGTATCATTTTATGTATTTTTAATTTCCAATTGGAGAGCGGCAGCTGACCGTCCATACGGATTCATAAAAAAATTATCCATATGCAGTCGGATACCGTTAGAGTTTGACTTTACTTTTTTAGCAAAATCTTGGCATATTTGCCTCACGAGTCATGCCCCTAAAAAATTCATTTTTACATTCTTCTATTTTTATTTTAAATTTTTAATTAATTTTTGTATATAAGATTATATGATTTTTTATTCAAACATTCTCAAACAAAAACTTCCCAAATTTCTAAAAAACTCTACCCTCTTTTTTTTCTTTTATAAAGAAGACCACAACGGACAATAAAAAAACACATAAGATTAAATTTAAATTCTAAATTTATATTCATCTTTTAAAAATAATAATATAAACCAATTGAAATAAATTCTAGTTCTTACATAATTATTGCCTCTTTCTCTCCACTTCTTTTCTTCACATAATAATATAAACCCTAAAGATAAAGAATTAAACAAAGATGCAATTAAAATTTTTTTGTTAGAAATCTCAACTAGAACAAATAAATTAGGCAATACATAAAGTTTTTCATAAGCGATTTTTAATTATAAACAAATGTTTCGCGGACGTTATATCTTATTAAAATTTGCGATTAAATCTCACAAAGAAGTGATAACAATGTTTTTTTTTTTTTTTTTGAGTAAGACACATTCCTTGACCTTCAATTTCATTAATTCATTATACTGTTAAGATTTTGATTTCACCGGATTAGATACGAGTAGTTTATATATTATTATTATGTGGGTCAAAGCCATCGGTCGAAATATGTAAACCTTTGTGATGGAGAATTTTACAACCAATGTCACGAAATATAATTCTAAGAACAGATTTCTATCAGTTGGGGTCTTTAATGTTGATGATAAGGCAGCATTGGTTTTAGCCAAAAACTCCTTTTTTATTATTTTTTTATTTTATTTTGGCATTCGATGGTGTAAAGCCTCGATCTCGAACATGGGAGCGTTTTCACAAGTTTTCATTTCCACAATCGTTCTGTTGGGGGAGGAGAATAAGTAGAGCTTCTACCAAGTTTTTCTGATTTGTTTAGACGAACAAGAATTGATGTGCACTCTGAAGTTCTTAATAAAACTGCAGACAGAAATGCAACTAGCGGAGGAATACAATAAACAAAAATAGTGACAAACTCAAGTTAACATTCAATATCTCAAAACAGGATAGAACATATGCTGCAGCATCCTTGTCTCAAGAGGACAACACAATTTACCAAAACATACTTTCATGGAATGACACGGCATCAATTACATGTGAAAGGAGTTCATAACATGAAACAATAGAGCCTAAATTACCTAAATGCAAACTTGTCCTAAGGTTGAAGCGAACATGTAGTAAATGGATGCCCAAAAATATAGTAAAATCCTGTTAGCAAGAGACTTGGTATATGCAAATTACTAATGTACATGTATTTATTACACCATGCAGCATCAGAAGCACAGGAATATATTAACCATGTTTAAAAGAATTTCATAACCCCAAAAGTAAATTACAATTATTGGTTGGTAGAATTTTTTTCATCCAAGAACGTTACTTAAAGCGGCAACCACGCGTTGCCAGTGACCAGTACCGTCATATGAAACAGATAAAATAGTTATTAAAGGCTATTGTCTCCATTATACATGATCCTGAAATATGCCAATAAACATAAATTATGCATTCATAAATTGTTAGGTTTGTACAAGTAAGAGCACTCTGTTTAATAAACCAGCTAGTGGAAGTAAAAAATGGTAACAAGGGCAGATGTTAGTTCTCGGGAGAGACTAGTGAAATACTCTCAATTGCCCTAAGCTAATTGGAAATACTCTCCCTCTTATCCTTCAGCATCCTCCTAAAATTTTGTACACCAACTAATTTAGAACAATCACAATACCATTTGCCCCCACAAATTCTTCTACATCAATCACCCCCAGCACTAATCACTGTTGCTCATTCATGAATTACAACAAAGTATTTTAGTAGAATGTATAAACTCTATGAATATATATATCTAGAAAACTTGGGTTCACAAGAGAATCTCCTATTTATGCACTAATTAGACATTCAAATTCCATACTAGAATCTCGCACTAATTAGACATTCAAATTCCATACTAGAAACTATCACATAGATCAATTTGAAATTAAAGTATTCTAAGTATTAAGGCATTCAAAAGAAAACACTTCTAGTACAGCCAAGGTAGCCACAGCAACGATAATACTAAATGAAAATCTAGCAATCAATACAGTCACATCTAACATTCCAACTATTAGGAACATAGAGAATGGGAGGTTAGAGGAGAACATATCTAAGAAACAACTTTAACCTGACTGTTCCATAAGGTTAAGACAAACTTCTAAGGAAAGCTAAGAAAGTTCATTCTTTCTTCATTCACTTATATAATGCCTTTCATTACAATTACATAGAATCAAATGCATCTTAACGATACCATTACATAAAACAATGAAAAATGCTAGTATAACAGAAAAGATAGAGATATTGAAGTGAACAAGTTAACAGAAAAGATAGAAATATTGAAGTGAACAAGTTAACTGAAGAGAAATATTATTAAAGTGAAAAAGTTAATCTTAAGATACTGTAACAGACTAAAGTTTGTATGGTACCTCTACAGAGCCTGAAGGAACAACTAATTGGAAGTTAGATAAAATCCACAATATGCAGGTGACCTCCTCAACCTGCTTGCTTTGAGACTGCAGTGACATTTGCAGACATGTCATAAAAGATTCCAGAGCTAATTACAGCTTGAATCTCTTAGACCATAATTGAAACATGATAAAAATAGAAACAGCAAATTATATGTTAACTTTGATGTCTTCAGGAGATGTTCCAATTGCTGACTTACACTCAACAGGTAAACTAAATCAATGGAGTAAAAAAAAGAGGGCTTGAGAATAAATAAGAGAAAATTAACTAAAGGTTAAAAATCATTTAAGTTTAAAATTAGAAACATAATACAACTCAACCAAACTCATTAACTCATGGACCTAAACTCACAGCTTAACCTTAGTGAATTCCAAGTATTTACAAAAGCCTAAATTGAAAGAAATTAGCATGCTTAAAACAACTCATTTACTTCTCTAATTTAAGTCCCTTTCATCAGTGGCCGTGGTTAGAGGGAATAGGTATCAAAATTCATATACAACAACAACAAACTAAGCCTCATATCCCATAACTCTAAGGTTGGCTGTATGAAAAACAAAATGAGAATCAAAATTCATATATTTTTACAAAAAAAAAAAAAAACTAAGGCCAACTTAAGCACCAAAACTAGTCAAATTGATCATCCAAGGAAAAGCACAAGCTCTACATTTTGGTATGATCAGATAAAATGAAGATAAAATAAACTATATGTTCTTTGACTTAATTAGTGATGGATACCTTCTTCCCCTGATAACTTGTCCACAGTTTCAGACAAACAGTCACAAACTGTTAAACTGGTATGCCAAATCAATAAACAAATAAAGAATTTATGAAAAACAGTTAAGAAACCAATTCCCCTATTTGACAATAATAAATTGGGTTTTATACCCTTTTTCCCCATGAATGCACACAACCACAAAATCACAAATCTCGAACATCTCCATAGGGAAGAGACGAATCATTTGCAATATCTCAACTCTTCAAATTTTCTTTTCAACTCAGAAAAACAGTCCTACAAAACCATATACATAACAGTTGTCCTAGAAGCAATTTTAGACCTTGGCAATTCTCCTCTGCATCTCCAAAAAAGTTACAAATAATTACCCTATAAAATTAGGAAATGAAAAAAAAAAGAAAAAAAAAACCCACTAAAATAGGTAAGTTGGCACCACAATTTTCATACTGCAGAGGCAATTCCTCATGGATGGACAATATATAACTAACCCCATAAAGCATTCCATAGCTATTGGATTAATAAATTACCTTTGATGTACAATGGTTACTGTCAATTTCTTCATCAATGAAAAGCAAAGAACGTCCCCTCCACTTCACACCAACCATCTCTTGCAAACACAATGTCAATATTAAAAAAGATGGAACTGATAGTTGGAAGAAATCCATATTGTTTTTATATTCAAAACCAGCTATAAAGGGAATGTTTACATCATTGTTCCAATAAAAATGTTACACAATTTCAGCTGAAACTGATTTCTAAAAGAAGAAAGGCTGATATGCCACACCTTGCGATGCAAGCTGTCAGATGCATTTTTATATGATGACCAAAGCTGGAAAACAAAATAACCAGCAAAACATCTGGTTCACAGGAAGAGGCAAACAATATCTCTAGCCAAATCATCATCAATGCCTGTTAAAAAAAGCAAGAATGATCGTCTGACAAACAAAGTTTGCAACTTCCGTTGAATACATGTCTCTCACCTCAATCATGGCCATCTACCAATAATGTGAAAATCTAAAACATGAAGATCAAATGGCACTGATGGATGAACTTTCTCTCAGCCAAACAAACCACCAGTCCCCAATTGCCCTTGCTGCAACTCCTTTCTACGTTGCTCTTCCAAAGGATCTGGACTCTTCAACATTTTTCTCATGCGCCTAAGCATGATAACAAAAGACCTTATTTAAAACTTAAATAATAGATTAAAACCCAAATTTACTAAAATAAAACAGAACTTGTGATGTTTTCTTGTTTCAGTGGCTCAATACCTGTCTTGAGCATGTTGGGCAGGGAAAGTGGGCATGAAAGCTTTAGTCTTGGGAAGAGGAACTTCACGAAACCACTCATGGTTAAAAGCAGCTTCAGCTGTTATACGCTGAAGGTGACACCACAAGACTCAAAAAATCATCCACATATATACGACAAGGTAACCAAAATGTTTATGCAAGCCAAGTTATTTACCTTCTCCGGATCATAAGTAAGTAGTTTATTCAACAAGTCAAATCCCGCATCAGAGAGAACAGGTGTTCCAGTGAATGATGTCACTGCAAATTTCTTGCGCAACAGATTATACCTGAAAGGAAAATATCAGTAATTAATACAAACAAAAATAAATGCTGTGTTACTGAACTGTCACCAATGGAGGCCAGAAAGCCAGACCAGAATCACCCAAAGCTGGAAGCCTGGGAAAACAGTGGGAAAAATAAGAAGACCTGATATTACACTCAACTGAATCTAAAATCAATTTATAAAAGATCAAATACTTACTGATGCTTGACAAAATTGACCTTGACTCCAGGCAACGTGGAAAAACTGGGCCATATTGTCTCATTTGGAGTGCCGAGGGTTTTGAAAATCTGCAACCATTAAAACCCGCACAACAAATGCAAGATCATTAACCACCATGGGAAGATTGAACTGCTCCAGCAATAGCAAGGCCAAATGATAATGATTAATGAAATGTGAGGCCAACTAATTCAATTCACCTTGTCAAGTTGATCAAATTCAGTTTTCCCATTGAAAAGTGGTTCTTTCGACAGTAGTTCAGCCATAATACAACCCAGAGACCACATGTCAATTGCAGTGGAATATTGTCTTGCTCCCAAAAGAAGTTCAGGTGCCCTGCAAAACCAGCATGAAAAGTCTTAACTACTTGAATCCCAAAAAATTTAAATGCTCAGATAATTAATCAGGCAAACTTAAGACAAGTTAACAGTGAAAAGAAAAGGCTTAATCCTAAAGCTTACAAACAGTAAAAACAGGCTAGAACCCTACAGCATATAGGATTTACACTTTTCATTAACCAAAAAAAGAGAAGTCCAAATCATAGTTTATCAAGTCATGCTCATACTTCATCAAAGGCTTCTCCATGGAACTATGAACTCAAGGTTTTAGAGGTATTACTATTCAACATTGAATAAAAAAAAAAAAGGAAAATTTAACTACGTAGGGATGTTTCTGCCAGTATTCAACAGTAGACAACCCAAATGCAGAATTCAGAATTATTTTCCAAACATGGCATCACAAACAGAAAATGAAAATTAAAAAATGGGAGAAGAAAATCTCCCATATAATTTATTTCAATGGAAAATAAGAAACTTTAACCGTGACATTCAGGAAAGCAATTGATGGCATGCATAACTCACCTGTACCAAAGAGTAACAACCAAATGAGTATATGGTTTTAATGGGCTTCCATATTGACGAGCCAACCCAAAATCACAAATCTTCAGTTCACCTTGGTTATTTAAAAGCAGATTAGATGTCTTCAAATCTCGATGGAGAACCCAGTTATCATGAAGATACTTGACACCCTCCAGCAGTTGAAGCATCAGGCATTTAACCTCACTTTGGCTGAATGGTTGTTTCATTGTCTCCATCAGCCCCTTCAAATCATGTTCCATGTATTCCATCACCATAAAAATACTATCAAGGTTACCCCCTACAACTACTTCTTTAACATCTACAATCGATGGGTGATGAAATGAAAGAAGAATGTTTATTTCCCTCAGAGAGGTCAGAGGAAATCCTTCCCTTTCTTTCTCCATCTTTACCTTCTTCAACGCCACAATTTCCCCGGTCTTCTTGTCCCTAGCTCTAAATACAACACCGTAAGTACCTTCATCTATCTTATTTAGTCTCTCGAATTCGTCAACGCTTCTACATCCCTGAAGCATGTTTACACTTCTTAAAGGATAAGCTGGAGGTTCTGGTGTCCCACGTGAATCATTCTCATTCTCAGAATCTGTATCAGACTGGCTAACACTACTGTCATTTCTATCACGTTCAATGTCAATCTCCATGTAATCATCCTTCTCTGAATCATTATCATGGTAATCATCCTCACTTCCAGACTTGGAACGGTCACCTCGTTCATCAGATTCAAATGATCTGGCTCTAATTCCCTCAGACCCCTCCCTCTTAAGCTCCCCAAGCTCTGGAGTTGCTGACTTATTCCGTAATCGGTTATGGGATGATTCTGAAAGAGGCAACTTTTTCCTCCTTTTAGGCATTTCCTCATCTTCTAAAATTTCACCCTCATCACCAGGAGAACTATCACCTGCTGCCCATCTTGAGGAAGATATATGTCGAAATGGTGCATAATCTTCATCTTCTAGCTGCCTAGCATCCTGATCATTAACCTGATCTTTTGGTGGTGACAAATCCAAATCCTCTGAAGACTGTAGTGTAGAGAATCCAACAGCTTCAGCAGCTGCAATTGGTGAAGGAGACTGTGATTTCTGGCTTTTACTTTCCCTAACAGGAGATATCTGTACAGCCCCACCAGGAATGATGTTAGGTGACTTGAAGTGAGCATCGGGCAGTGTTGGTGGAGCTGGAGGGACAGTGACCGCTGGTGAATTCCTACTTTTGGAATAATTACTTAACTCCTTGTCGCCTCTATCCCAAACTATAGGTGAAAACTTCCTCTTCCTTCCCACAGAAGAACGAATCCCATTCTCCATTACCTTCGCAACCTCACTATCTTTAACCATTGACTCAGACTCAATGGCATCTTCTGACCCACTCTCACTAGACAACTCACCAGGCTCCTTATCTACCACCCTATGAGAGAACTCACATCGAATAGGCCCATGATTACCTCCGCCACCACTACTGCCACCAGAATCACTTCTACTTGAAGAGGAACGATACCCACCATTTACCACTTCCCTCTCCTTAATATCCTTTTGTCTAACCCTAACTCTATCCCTAGCTTCCGGTACTCGACTCCTTTCAGTATCATGGCTACCATTCCTAGATGGCTCATAATCTTTAGAAGAAGCAAATTCCCGCCTTGTCACCTCAAAATCAGACTCTCTGTCTCTAAACTCATAATCACTATAACCCCCATGCCTCCCAGCAGCCATGTGTAAATTTAAAAAATCCGAAAGCCTAATTCCCAATTCAAGAAATTCCCGCTAAATTGTTTACTTAAAAACCCTGAACCCTCGAAAACAACCAAGTTAAAGCCCAATTTTTTTCCAATTTTTGAGAAAAATTAAAGCCCAAATTCTAGGGTAATAAATACGAAATTAACCAATAAAAGCAGTTAAAATAACCAAACAAAAGAAAGTATCAGATCTTTGAATTTCGCACTGTGTAGCTCGACAATTTTAGGAGGAAATAATTGGATTATTGTGGAAATTAAAGCAAAAGACGAAGAGGATAAACCCTAGAAAGATTGGTGAAAAATTGAGCGATGCATGGAATTTCTCAATCTCAAGACCAAATTAAGAAAGTAAAGAGAACTGAGAGTGGCGAGAGCTTACCGATTAAGACGGAAAGAAAACACGGACACAAGGGTAAAACTCGGCGATCGCTGTTTAGAGAGAGAGAAACATAAAAAAATAATTCAAGAGTGGGTAGAAATAAAGCCTTCGGAATCGTGGGATAGCTAGCAGATAACTCTTTTTAAACCGAAACGTTGTGTTTTATTCTTTGGATATGCGATCGCGATTCGCAAAAAAAAATATATATATTAAAAAAATAAGAACATTAAAGTTTTTTAATTTTATTTTTAATAATTTATTTTATTAAAAAATTAAAATAAATTAATCGCATCTTCTAAATTTATTAAAATCAATTAATAAATTTTACATTAATATAAATTAATTCCTTCTTAAAAACCCAATCAATTCTCACTAGCTAGAAATACTTACCTTAATGAGGAAGAGATTAACCCTGAAACTTGGACGACCCTACCAGTGCCAAATGCCTTATGCAGCTGACCCAAATTCTCGTCGGCCAAAATTATTTTTTTTCTTACTTCATTATTCGTATGGGGAGGGGATGACTAGAGTATTGTTATTTGCACTCCAATAATTATCCAACACGTCTCTTATTTTTAATGTTTTATTTTTCACTTAATACACCTCACACTTCACACTCAAAAACATAAATTATCAAAAATTTAAATATTACATCTCTCTTTTTCTCGTATCCTATCTCTTCTCTCTTTTCTTAATTGATTTTAAGCCCTAATTAAATTAAATTTTAAAAAAATTTCATCCATTTGAAATTAAAAAAACATAAAATTAGAGATAAATCATTGGTTTTTGTTGTTTTTTTATTTGATTTCATGTTTAATTTCATAAAATTTCATATTAAAATATTTAAAAATATATTTTTAAAAAATTTTAAAGATTTTTAAAAATAAATATTCGAACATTTTTAAAAAATTTTAAAAATTCAAAGTTTTTGAAAATAAATATTAGAAAGTTTTTAAGAATTTTTGAAAATAAATTTTCAAAAATTTTAGTTGTGAATTTTGATAAAAAAAATTGAGTTTTTAGTGGGAAGAAAAAAAAGTGAAAGCACCAAACACGTTTTTGGAGAGGAGAAAAAGAAAACAAGGATAAAGAAGAAACAAGGAAAAGGGGCTAATGGAGATGGAAAAAACTGAGAAAGAGTAAAAAAGAAGGACCCAATACGTTTATGGGAGGGAGATTAAAACGTAATTAATTTATAAATATTTAAGTAATTTTATTAAAACCTAAATTTGTAATAAAGACTTTTCGGATGCATTGAATAGTTTTTGGGTGCAAATAAAACCTCTCACGTGGATATTCAATCACTCAACCTGAAATTACACTTTTGCCCCCATTTACTAATTGCAAAGTCTGAAAAGAAAAAACAAGTTTTTATTTTTTTTCCCCTTTCAATAAGTTTGTTACCATTAATAGAGTTCAAATTCACCGTTAATTTTTATGAATTTTTTAAGAGTTGGTTTAATATTGTTATTATGATTGAAATTTTTAAATTTAAAAAAAAAGTAGTAATAAAAGTGTGATTAAAATTTTAAGTATTTATATTACTGTGAAAAAATATTGTCATTAATTAAAATAATTAAAAAATATATAAAATGCTAAAATATTATAATATAAAAATAATATAGTAATTTGCTAATTTACCGTACCAAACATATATTTTTACTGCAAAAATACCTCATAAAAATTTTTAATTTAAATTTAAAAACCAAACATTTAGATTAAAAAAGTACATTCTTTTATTGTTTAACATTGTCAAAAATAGGTTTTAAATACAGAAGATATTTTCCAAAAATACTAAATTAAACCCTAAAATATTTGGAGCCTACAAAGCATAGAAGCCCGTTGGCCGGGAGGAAAAGCCATCCAGATCGAGCTATATTTTCAATAATCATAATAATGAATATGAATGAGGGAGAGGGTCTTAATTCCCCAAGGTAGGACCCGATACAAACAGGAATAACAAACAAGAACTTGGCGATGGAGCAAAAACACGATCCCCCCCTCCCCCACCCCCCACTGCCTTTCACTAATATCAACCTAGAAGAAAAAATAATAAACAACTTTACAATTATGTCACCAACATCAGGTGGTGCTTCTTACAATCAATTTTCCAACCAAAGAAAACCAATTGCCAACAAATTCAAACAGCCTTTCAAACACAAAACTATTCAAATACAAACCAGCTGGTGGAGTACTGCGTGTTCGGTCTGAATGAAAGACTTAATCTCACATTATTGAGCAGTTGCACTTGGATTCTAGCTTCGGTGGCTTCATACTGTCCATCTTATTAGGAAGACCAACATTGCGAATTGAAGATTCATCGGCATTCTCATCATTTTCAGTCTTGGTAGATGGAGATTTTACATCGGTTTCTACCCGCCTCTGCCTGACTTTATGAGATTTTGAAGTCCGTCTACCAATAGTCCTCCCCCGTAGGTCCTTCCTGTCAGAAGTGGATTTCCCCAAGATCGTCACTGTTGGCCTGGAACCTTCCAATGGCACTGAAGTTTCCTTTTCAATGGCTATGGTTGCAGCCTGGTACGAAAGATCATGGACAATGGAACTGCAGAAAAGTATTGTCTCGGTCGCTTCTTCAAGTGTCAGGCTTCTAGCCTTACTTCCTCCACGACATTCTACCAAGACAGTTGACTCCTCTGTTAAAAAGCATAAAGGTTATCAGACACTAAACAAAATCTCACCGCCTGTCTGCCACTCATCAGAATCAAACTTTAACAAAGAATCATATACCGTGAGGCTGTAAGCACTACTACATATTTAAAAGTCATCAGCATCAAGAAAAAGAAAATATAATAGTTATGCAATCTACAAACTCGATCATATCATTTTTAACTCTAAACACGGTGGTCAAGTCCATTTTATTCTATAAGTATGACAAGAATTAAAATAATTGTAAATAAATTTTTTTTACTAGTTTGGCAGTGCACACACTGACGACAATAATAACATGGTGGCAAGAAGATCTAACATGATACCAAGACAAGTATATGATGATAAAAATGATTTAGTGAATAATGGTAACCTTCATTTACAAAATATTATTAGTGGTAACTGCCATATAAGTAATTTCTCCCAAGATCATGAAATGGTAACATATACTTTGGTCGTAAACTAAACTTAAAATGCTCCCAACTTCACATCTCTTATTGAAGCCGAAAAACCTCCATCCGAAACAAACAGGGCTTGGAAACAGGCTATCCTCACATCTATTATAAGAACAGTAATGGATTTATCCACAGCTTTCCAAAAATTGGTAAGCAATTGGCTGCTCCAAATTACACCTGTTCAAAAATGATGATAAATTTGATCTATCACCCTAAGTAAAGTGACAAATTTGGACCTTGCCCCAAAAGAAAAAGAAGAGTAAAAAGGCCATTGATTTCATTCCAATTCCGTCAAATTTCATCTTCACTTTTCTGATATCACAACACACAAAGTAGTATTAAACCTTTATATTTTGATATTTTTGATGCATTCACACATAAACTGGTAAGAGAAAAGGAAAAGTGATAAATTTATAGCTCTTATTGTTGCTATTTACTACTCTTATCAATAAAACTACAAGAAAGCAACAATAAGTGAAGAACAAATAGATATTGCTAACTTTTAAAATAAGTTGCATGGATAGTTATTGAAGGATTAAACATAGCTGTACCATACATTGTTTAACAAAATGGTAATTGACAAACCAAAAAAATTCCCATGAATGGAAGTGAAAGTTTACTTCAAGGAAAGTTGAAAGCCCTAAGTAGATGACAAGCCTCAATGAAATAATTAACATACCTGAAATGCCATCTGCATGATCTGATGCGTAATGCTCCTGACCAGAACCTGTAGTATCCACATCTGAAGGAATGGCAACTGACACGTCCATGGATCCCTTCTTGTTTCTCTCAGAGTTTGGAGACAAGCCATCAAGATTTGAACCACATGAGCTCTGACAGGAATTCTCAATTTCTATTTCTGAGATTGCAGCCAAAGAGATGTGGCCAGCAGCCTTAGCAGCATCTACTTCATCAGGACTAGCACTCAGCATTCTATGTTCTTCAAGAGAAGGATCTAGAGTGATAGCTAATGATTCAACAACAGAGACAATCCTGGCATTACCTGGTAAGTCATCTCCATTTTTATATGCCACACAGTCTTCAGAGGAAGGAAATGTTGCTGCTGAATTGTCCTCTAACAGTTCTGATGTTGAAGTATCAATTGTTCCACTGATTTCATTCCACGCAATACCATCTTTTTTGGAAATGGCAGCATCAGTGAATGATGAATCCGCTGAATTTTCTGAAGCTACCACTTTGGCTTGAGAAACTACAGCTATTTCCTCTTCTTCATCAAATTTCAGACTGCCAACAGAACCCTCAAAATTTTCTTCATTTGTGCTTGTTGCAAGACTTAAAGCTTGGTAATTATTGCTTGAACTTCGAGACAATGACAAAGCAAAGCTTTGAGCCTTCACATTCATGTCATATCTGTAATTCTCCAACTCATATTTTTTACCACTTAACTGCCGTTGCACACGTGTATCTGTCTGTCTAGATGAGCTAAAATCAACAGAGGATGATGCAGAGATACTGCCATGTCCAACAGAACTTCTGAAACTGTTAGAACTAACTCTTGCATAAGACAGATCTTCATAAGGTATGGTAGCAAAGGTCCTACCTAGAACAAAAGGACCCTTGCTGCTGCTTGACTTCTTCAACAGCACTGAAATGCCCGCAACTTCAGAGAACACCTTCAAGCCAGAAAGTTCATCAGAGTACTGCAACTGCTGAGCTCCAGTGTCCCTATCAGGTAGGGAATAACAAATGGTTGGTTGGTCCATCTCTTGCTGGTAACCGAGCTTCTGCTCACCTCCCTCTGCCAGAGAGCTTCCCAGAGAATTTTCTGGAGAGAAATTTTCACTTTGCTTAATATTTTCTTCATGCCAGGAAATGCGTGGTTCAACTGCATCAGAAACTTGCAACAATGAATCAGATGGAGGAACCAAGGTTTCCAATTCATGAAATGGTTTACCTTCAGAAATTTGCATGCACAACCCTGGGGAGTTCTCTGCAGTTACCATTGTCAGATCAGAAATATCACCAGCAAGAATATCATGTTGCCTACTGCAATCTGTGCAAAGACTGATTTCTTCTTCAACCTGCTCAATAACACGAAACCTGCAACCACATTTAGAACAAACTTTTGTATTTTCAAAACTATCAACTTCTGAAAGATCACCCCTGTCACATAGAGCATCAGAAGTTGAACTCATTTCCACTTCAAGACCATGGTAACTTAACTCCTCAGAGTGGTGAGGGTCACATTGAATTGCAGAGTCTCTATCAGCATCTTCAACAAGAATATTAAGCAAGCCATCACGTCTTTCAGAGCTAGCATCCTGGTTTAATACATCCATTTTATCAAAGGCAAAAACTTCTTTTTGAACATTGGCACAAGGTACCTTTCTGGATTCACTTGCCATATCATCATGTTGGTGGTCACTCCCTTCAGTATCAAGCACAGCACTTGTACCTTGATCAGAACTTGCATTACTGCTGGTGGTAACAGATGAGTTCCTTGACATCAAAGAACAATATGCAGAACTTCCCTTCCTAGCATAGAAAGTGGTACTTGGAACACTAGATAATAGAGGTCTGAACATATTTGGAGGACTCTTCCGATGATCCTGTATCAAAATGTTGATTATAATAAACTATACGAAGTATGTTGATGACAATGCACTTTTATTTGCATTAATTATGCATGAAAACTTCCAAATGAGAGCAAGTACACGTGTGAGAAGTAGAGAACAAGACACTACATGGATTTTGCCACAACTCACTTTAATTTCTTTTTGCTTATTAGTAAAGATAGACTATCCAGAATGCACTAAAATTTCCTTTTTCTTTTTGCTTTGACACATTAAAGAACATCAAAAGAATGCTTATTGATCAAAAGTTTATGTAAATATAAAATGTGATTTGTAGAATGAATTCACTAAATTAAACAGGAAGTTCTACAGTTTGAATTTCTTTCCCCTTTTAGATATGCCAAATTAATATTAAACATTGATTTTTCAATAGTTATCCAACCAAAAACTTCATAGTCATATCAGATTTTAACAATAAGCATATCAAACACATCATTTGAAATTATACCATTGCAGTTGCCACCTATAGATATAGCATTGTATTCAAGCATTACATGGGAATTTGAGACTATTCTTCTGAGAGACTAACACTACATTCCAATGGAATGAAAAGACAGTTAAGTACTTATGTTGACCTTTAATATCTCTTCTTCCATTAATAACACCGACCACATCAATAATGTATTAACAAAAAGGATTGGAGGAGAAACACCTTGCTTTTTCTTAAATTTCCTTTTCTGGATGGCAGTCAGAATGGAATTAAATAAACTAATAGCAGACACTGAAGGGGAGGTTCATAATACAAAGCAATTGTTAGAGCAAACAAATTAACTACTTATATTTTAATATTATATAAGGATCCAAACTGCCATAACCAAAGCATGTTGACCTAAAGAAAAGTAATAAAATACCATTTGACGACGAGGAGAGTCAAAGGATTGTTTAGGAGCAGAACTTGGTGAGAACATTCTAGCTGATTTCTTGTTAAAGGTCCGAGCCTTGTTATTTGGAAATGGACCAAGCCTCCTTGAGACTGAATGGCTTGATCCACCAAGAGGAATAGATTGTAAGGAGTCTATGTCATCATCATGAGATGATGCTACAGAGCCTTTACTGTATGAACTAAATTGGTCTCTACCATGACTGTGTGATAAACTGGCACTTCTAGAGGCAGTCGGGGACATTGATTGCCTGCCAAATCTTGAGTCCCTGCCAATTCTAGATGCAGGTGAGGAACCCCTTACATACAATGCTGGTCGATCAGCCAGAGAAGTACGAAGATTAGGGGGTGCCTCTAAGGAGAAACCCGCGATATTTGACTGCCATGCCTTTATTTTTGGTGATGCAGAGTTTCCCCTACTTGTCCTTATAGGAGAAGTTCCCCTTACCGCTGACATGGCCACAGTCCCACTGGAGCCTGCACTTGTCCTTCGAGGAGTAGGTGTAGAAGACCTTCGAGCAGGTGTGGAACTTTTACTGGGGGGAGGAGATGGTCTCTGAGTTGGAGTAGCTGGCCGTATTGGACTGTGCTGAGGTGCTGAAAATGACCTTCCCCTAGAATGGAATGTGCTATTCCCAGACCGAGGTGACGGGCTTAAACGATTTGGACTTGCACTGACCCTACTGCTTCTGTGACTGTTGTCCATCTGCATATTGATGCATTAGGATATGGGGCAGGGATTTTGAAAGAGTAATCTATGAGTTTCAATAGGAAACCTAGAAGGAATATTAATGAACATAGTTATGTTTATACACATAGTTTCATTCCATAAGAGGGGCACGATAACCTACTGGGGATGATCTTGATATGGAAATGGGTTGACTTTGAGGTCTACCCCTGCGAGCAACATTAACTGGTGGTGGCTCATCGTCCAATGAAGGAAAAAGAGGGGTGTCAGGTGGAGTTAATAGCCTTCAAAATCACCAAGATAAACACTCTCTCAGAACCAAAAACTTGGACAAGTAGAAATAACAACTCAATAGCATGATAAATGAGATGAATGAAATAAAATGATCATATAATAAAAATTGCTTGCTTAGGCAATCGACAATGACTTTTCCAATCTACACTGAACATGGGCAGCACCAATTTACAAGAAGATTATGTTACTATTTCGGCTTAGTTCCCAACAAAAAAGTTTGTCGTGTTACAGTTCTAGAAACAAAAAGTTTGAAAATCTTGAAGAGGAACCATGACTTTACCATTCATAGTCATTTTTCTCCCCATCTGCATTAAGGAGTTCATTAGTCTCTCCTCGAACAGGAATGGAGATTCCAAGCTTGAAATCTGAAAAATGCTTCAGTTTTGCCGCTGCAAACAATAATTAAAAACCAAAGGAAACAAACAGTATTGTTAGTCTGCAGACGCTAATCTACATTCCTAAATTTACGGGCAAATAAACACAAAATAACTGAAATGAAAAGTCAAAGCAGAAAATTACAAAATGAGTCTTCAAAGTCATCCGAAGACTGAAGCAGGAAATTCTTCCTTTCTTTGGACTGCATTTCATTGAACAAAGCGAGGTCATCATCCTTTTCTCTTACAATCAAACCGCTCTCGAGACTACGCCCCCGTTTGTGGTTTTCCCCTCTCATCTCCCTTCCTGGAGAGTATCTCAACGCTGGAGAAGGAGGCATCTCTGCTGCCCTAATCTACTCTTCCAGCAACAATCACCTCAATCCCCCAACTTATCTAGAAATTAAGCAGCCATCCTGACCCATAACTTACTCCAAATTTGTTGCCTTTTCGTGTTTCCAACGAACTAATGCAGTCAACTTCCAAATAACATTAAACAAAGGCACAAAGCCTCTTTCTAAAATAAAATAATTGATAGAAAATCTTTATAAATAGTCAAAATTTTGAGAATAACTGAAATGGCCGTACATTCCAAAAGAAGAGCTACCAATAACTGAACAACAACCACCAAATTGAGATGCTCATAACGAACACAACTTCCGAAACCTAGATTTCCATCAATTTAACAGTGGAAATACCTTCAATGAACAAAACCCTAAATCAAAGCTCAAAATTTTCAACCACCAGTAACCGCTAAGCTAAGCCTCTCCACCGTTGCTCAAAATTAGAGTGCGGAAATTAATTAACCACTTTTAAAAAGTGCACGTGAAGTTCCTTTGACTTACCAAGGAATCCTAAGTCAAAAAATATCCTCCAGAGGAAAAAACGAAGCTCGTTTTGATTGCGATTGAGATCTCAAATTGGAAGAGAAAAAAATACTGAGCTTAAATGCCAATTACAATGCGACGAGTGTTGCATGAGACACCAGGATCTAATAGCATTTAATGCCTTATTCTTCTTTGAGAAAAATGAGAGTTACAAGACTCAGATCGGTGACATAAAGCAGAGACCGATCGGTTTCGAACCGAGACACCTCGAATTTTCTCGCATTTTTCTCTCCTCCGAAAAATGAGAGAAACTGGAATTTCGAAGAGAGTAAAATAACTAACTTCGGCTTTCTTCTTTTCTTTTCCTTTCTTTTTCTCCTTTTTGTTGGCTGTTTTTCAGATTTGCTTCTTTCCTCCGGAGCAAGCTTTCATTTTCGTTTTCATTTTCATTTTCTCTCTCTGCTCTGTGAAATTTTTTATAATCATTTCTTTCTCATTGTTTTGCTTGGTTTTTTCTTTTTCTTTTCTTCTTTTTTTAATCTTTTGCGATTTTAATTAACCTTTAATTAATTTTTGTTTTTACTGCTTCTGTTTACGCGAGTCGTAATTACTATTTACAGTGGACAACAAACTACTGTAACTAGCCGTTGGAATTTGTGAACGATTCATACGGTTACTAATTACTTGGACTTCCGTTTATTTCTCATCGCAGCCATTAACCCAAAAATTATATATTTCAGTTTAATGTATTAAACTCAATATGTATTTAAAAAATATATAAAATCGTAATTTTTTTAATCAGATAAAAAAATATAAAAAAATCCTCAAGCTATGTTTCCTCAATTGGATTTTTTTCTAATAAATCCTCACCTGCCCATCCAAACATAATTTTAGTACATGAAAAAGTTTGTTTCTTTATATAAATTATATACAATATGTTAACACTTGCATAACAGTTGTATAATCGATTAGTAAAATGTTAAATTTTTAATTTTAATTATTAAAATTTAAATTTTGATAATTTTAAATATATAAAAAAAATAGAAACAATAAAAAAATATAGGCAACAAGTAGCCATTACAGGCAAAATATGATGATTAGCTAATGTACAAACATGAAAAGATTTAGATTTAGAGTCAGAATGATGTCGTTGTTATTGGTAGGTGGAGGAGAAAACTTGAAAGGCTTTCCTCACTATTGAATCCAATGATAACTACTCTTTTTCTATCCATCAAAGGGACTGCTTTCCAATATTTATATATAGCATTTGCCATTAAAATAATGCATGAAAGTGTTATGTCACTTCTCAAAGTGCGTTTGAGCTCACTCATGTTAGATACACAGATATGCATTCTCTATGTCTTATCATAGTGTGTTAGTAGGCTTTATTTGTTTGTCAAACTCATCGTTTGAAATTTTGAGATTTGTTTTTTTTTTTTTTTTGGTTAGGGTTCATGAACAATCCATCTATGGATTAAATATTAACTATTAAATTAGGTTTACTATCAATTATGGGTCTAGGATTTGATATTCCCTCTCACTATTAAATTTCATATAAAAATTTCACAAGGTAGTTGCTTTATTTTTTCACATAAAATTAAAATGAAGTTATTTAAAAATTTAAATTTATTAAATATTATTTTTTAATAAAAATTGCATTAATCGATTAAATTAAATTTAAAGATTTTTTTAATTACACCATTAGTACATAAATAATAAGTAGTATATCTATATGGATTTGATACATTAAAAAATCATCACTAGTTGTCAAAGGTTTTTTATTTATATATATATATTTTTACATTATTAGGGAATCTAAGAAAAAGTCAAAAACACGGAAGTAGTTATCTTAGTTTGTTTATTAGTAAAATTTTTAAATATAACATTAATCATTTTATAAACGAATGTATTATCTTAATCATGAGTTTAACATTATCTTAATCTGTTTTAACTGTTCAATTTGCATTTCCTAAAGAAAATATTTAATATATGATTTAGTCTTTAAATTATATCATTTTTTTATTATTTTGTGCGTTAAAAAAAATCACATTTAGCTATCTAAATTTTGTTTTCATCAAAAATTTTGCCTCACGCATTAATTTTGGCAACGGCAAATTAAGATCACCAAAAAAATCAATAATATCATGATACATGATATATTTATTAATTAATATTTATCACATCAATATTTTAACTAATAATATTAATATATAAAATATTTGGTTGAAACAAATTGAATACTTAAACATACTTTTTTTATAAGTATTAAATCATTAAAAATAATATAATTCTAAAATCAAATTACATATTAAAAAAATCATTTACAAGTATTACACTTGTTTAAATTTTGGATTTAAATCAAAATAACTATTTTAAATTTTAATTGTTTATTAAAAATAAAAAATATAACACTTATGCTAATGCAATGGGATCTACAACGAAAAAAATGTAATATATATACCAGAAATTAGAATTATCTTGTCTCATTGAATTTTCCAGTTTGCTTTTGGTGGTGCACGTGAGGCTCGTGGGTTTCCGTTCATCTAATTACAGCTGCCAGAAAGAGAGGATGGACTTAAGTCTCACTTCCAACACACGTGGCGTAGGAGTGACCGTTCTTTCATTAGGTCGTACTTTAATGTAGATCCGACGGTAATATTAAACTATCAATCATGTCGGAGTTTAGCTGTTGAAGGTGGGATGTCAGGGGAAAATCTGAATACACATTACCAACGGTTGACTATAGTCTTTACACCTGTCATTCTCTCAGAAGCTATCCTAACCCTGAGCCCTGAGGTGCGAAACACCTTATTCCATTTCATTATCGACTCCAAAACGCTCCCGTTGCAACATCGCTTTAGGAGCAATAACTAAGACGACGTCGTGACGTTGCTTTAGGCAATGAATGAAAGTGGAAACTCGGCGAAGTGGTGATTCAGTTGGGAAATAGTAAAGTTCAGGGGTTGTGATCTGATGTGGGTCGCTTTAAGATCCCGATATCTGCATCTATCAGGAACATCGTTGCCTTCGTCCTTTCTCACTAATCCATAGTGGAAGCTAGTGTTTTCAGGTTTCAATCAGATGTTCTCTTTCATCCAGTGTGGAGAGCGGTAGCAAAGAGTTGCTGAGCCTGCAAGAGGTGGAGAAGGTTCTAAGCGATGTAAGAGCAGATGGCGTGGCGGTGATTCCGGTTGGGAAGCAGTGCGATTGGGCCGATTTCATGGTGATTGCCACTGGTAGGTCCACGTGGCACGTCAAGAACATCGCCCAAGCCCTAATTTACAACATATAGGTGGTTAGCAGTTTCTGTTCTAGGAAAATCTTATAGAAAATAAAGTATCCAAATCTATATATTCTCACTATTTTCATGCAAATTCTGGGGTGTTTCTTTTCTTTAGGCAGAGTGGTAGTTCATGCTCTTGATGAGAAGGCAAGAGCTTATTACAATTTGGAAAATCTTTGGATTGTGTGGATGGTCCAGAAGGAACCAGCTGAGGTAAGCGTGTAAAATGAAGAACTTTAACTTTTGCTATCAATTTTTTCGTGAAACTGTTTAGGCCGCAGATGACCAGAGATAGTCAGGTTTAGCTTCTCTATCCGGTAGCCCCGATGCTTGTGTCGTGCAATTGTCTTTGTTTTGTGGTGTTATACCTTAGGAGAACATTCCAGAACCTTTCTTGATTACAGACAACAGTAGGTCATAGAATTCTAGCCCGACTTTGAGTATGACAGAGAATGTGTCAAGATTTCAATTGGTTCGTTGTGCCGGCAAATAGAAAGCATTTGATTGAACATGGCATATTTTACATTAAGGTGCACCAAAATAAAATTAGGGTCATTAGTAAACTTACCACTTGTGTATGGACTATGGACATATAGAGTAGAGATATTCTATTCACTTAGTCCCAATAGCAAAATAATTGTCGTATTTGGTTCACAGTTCACCCGTAGGATTGTCAAAATGCACTTGATCTGTTAATTACCTAATCTTCATCTGGTTCATTTAACTGAGAAGAACTCCCAATCTCGAGCCCTCTCGTTCTTGCTTTTTGTAGCATTTTTTGTCAAATCTTTCCTGCAGATGCAAAATATCTTTTGGTTGTCAATCTCTTAAACTAATCTTTCCTTAGCGTTTGTTTCAGGAGTTAACAAAAGTTTTTGTAAAGGTTCGTCGAATTAGCAATTCCAAAAAGCCAGCCCAGAGAAGTGCTTTACCAACGAAGTTGTAGTTTGTTTGTACATGATAAAGTTCTTTTCTTGTTGTACTTGAAACTATAGATTGATACGTGATCAATGGTTCTTTTTGGAGCATGTGTTTGTGCTGCTATATTCAGCTTTCTGACGGCCTGTGCTCTGTTTATCAAGGAGAAGCCACCTTCCTTTGCTCCCCTTTTCTCTGGTCCCAATACTTGTGACTGACGGGCCGCCCCAATACTTTAAGCCTTAGCCTTTAAATTTTCCCCTGCTTTTTGAAAGTGCAAATTGAGTTGCATGCAGGGACAGACTGTTCAATGATGCGGCATTTTTTCTGTTAATGTATTTAAAGGATAAGAAAAAAATAAATAAAAAATAAAAAATTGAAGCAAAATTGTAGTATTCTATTCGGTTCGAATAAATTTGGTTCGGAAGTTTGTATTCCGAGTAAGTTTTTTGTATTTGGTTTGAAATAAGTTTAAATATTAGATATATATATATATATATGTATATTAGATTTGTAACTGATTTTGGATGGAGATGTTAAAAATTATATATTTTTGTTTGTTTATAGATATTTTAAAATTTTATAAAATAAAATAACTATTTTATATTTAAATATATTAAAAGTCATATTAAAATAATATATAAAACAAAAAATTTAAATTTTAAAAATTTATGAATCAAATTAAATCGATAGAATTTAGTTTGGATTAAATTAAGTTTAAATAAAAATTGATTTGAATTTGAATTAAATTTTAAAAATTTATAATATTATGTATTATTTTAAAAAATTAAATTGAATTTAATTAGAATTATTATTACTTTTAAATTATATTTTTATCGTATTTGTTTTATATTAAATATATGTAAGATCAAATTTCGTGACACTTGAAATACTAAATATATAATTTTTATTTTTATTAAATTTATATAAAAATTTTATTAAAATTTTAAATTATGTTTTTTTATGTATTTTTCCTATTCTTATCATATTACCTAGTGGTTTACCGGTCGCTAGCTTACAGTTGAGCTGATTAACCTAATTTACCTCTAATTAATTCAGATTTACAATAAAATGCCGATAAACGTTCATTTTACTGCATTGCCATCCAGCCTATATTACCGCTTTATCTCCGGCAATTCAACGGCATTGGTTTTTATTGTGATTTTCAGGGAAACAAAGACCCATTGCTGAACAATCATCAAATCCACCGACGAGGAAAACAGGTCCTACGAATTGAATAACAGCAGTCCACACTCACTTCGTTGGCTTCGCCCACTCTTAACAGTCTCCGAACTTCCCAAAGCAATACAAAACCAAACGCCAATAAACATTTTTATCTCTCCTCTTTCGGCTTTATATATAAAGGCATCACAATCATTTTTCTCCGCTTCATTTCTGGCTACTCTCTTCGCTTCTCGTTCTTATTCTCTTCTTGCAGTTCGCGGATTCTACGGAGCTCCGATTCCGATGGCTGCTGTTGCTGGATCCAATGTCGTTGCCTTTAAATCCGCCGCTAAATTTGGTGATTTTTGTGACCGAAAAAATTTTCAGGTTCGGCAATGGTCTCCAATTTCTGGCGGAATCGGATCGGTTCAGGCTTGGCCGTGCATCGGACTCCAGCGCAGATCGAGGAGATCGTTTGCTTCCTCCGGTAATTGTTTTCTTTTGATTTTAAGCACTTGTTTTCATCTTTATGGGATATTTTCTTCTCACTTCGCATAAAAGCTCAGCATGTTTGTGAATTAAGGATACTTAATTATAGTCAAATTTATTGTTGGAGCTTGTGGAGTTTGTTGTTTAACAAGTTTAACTGATAATAAGCCAAATTTTTTAGTAATTTGAGAGATTATTGATAATTTACGAACGACATATTTCTAGTTAATTTGGCTTTTGATATTTTTTTGGTTGTTTTTTCCTTTTCCAGGTGTAAGAGCTCAGGTTGCCACTGTTGAACAAGCTAGCACTGAAGCAGCTCAAAAAGTGGAAGCTCCTGTAGCCATAGTTACTGGAGCTTCTAGAGGCATCGGTAAAGCGGTTGCACTGGCCTTAGGAAAAGCAGGTTGCAAGGTGTGTGAGTGTACTTTTTCAGGATCTTACTATATTTTCGAAGGGAAAAGTATTTCTCTCTTATTGTCATTACTCATTACCTTAAAATTTGAGGTAAAGCCATAGGATGAATGTTACTTGCCGCACCTGAAGTCTTGACTAAAACTACAAATCATAGGATAACTTCATCATATGATGCTTAAAATCTATTGTTGAAATAATAATAATAATAACAGCTTTCGTTTGCAGTCCGTTCCATGTAGTTCTATATCTTGAATATGGAACTGGTTATCAATCTCATCAATTATTAAAAGTAAACTGCTAATGATTACCACAATCTAAAATAAATGAATTGTCAAATCTTGTTTAAACTTTAACCATGCTCCATTATGCACTGCATACTGGCCTGAAGCCTTTCATGTTTCTTTCCTAATAATAATTGCATCTCAAGTGTCCTTCAATTACTTTAAGAACAAATGTTTAAACAACACTATTTGTTTTGAAAATGATAGTTGTTGATGCCTTTGTGCTATTGCAGGTCCTAGTAAATTATGCCAGATCATCAAAGGAGGCTGAGGAAGTTTCAAAAGAGGTGAGCAATATGCCCTTGGAAGAAATTTATATGAACACTTGAGTGGGATTTTACTTCTTTTTTTACAGTTTTTGTTGCAGAATTTTTGTTATCTAATGCGTAAGAATTCATATTAGTAAGCTGCCATTATGTTTTCTAGAATGGAGTCTTTCGTTCTACTGACAGATGAGAGTTTGTCAGCTGCCTAAAATCTAATTCTAGATTCCATATTTGCTCATTTTTGCATCTGCTCATATGCATCTCATTGAAAAAAAATTCACAAATATCTTTTTTCAGATATAATAATTGAATTTTTTATGCTTGACCTTTTGTCACCTTTAGTCTTTACTTAAATCTTGCTTTAACCTTTTACCAAAGTGCCTTTATGTTTTTTTTTTTTTTTGTTGGATATCTGTAATGGTCTTTAACAGTGATTAAATTATACCGAATGGTTTAAATGACTAATGTAAATAGTTTGTGTGACTGTTTTGCAGATTGAGTCGTATGGTGGTCAGGCTGTTACTTTTGGTGGAGATGTTTCAAAAGAAGCTGATGTGGAGGCAATGATAAAAACTGTGAGCGAATGTTCCCTGTTCATATTTTGTAATTTAATTGTAGATACATGTTTCATGACTTTATATGTGCAGGCTGTTGATGCATGGGGAACTGTTGATATATTGATAAACAATGCAGGTTATTGAAAATACTTTCTTTTTGCATTAGTTATTCAATTGTTGATTTCAATCTAGTCCCTTAATCTGATGACCATCATTTCAGGAATTACTAGGGATACTTTGTTGATGAGAATGAAGAAATCACAATGGCAGGAGGTTATTGATCTGAATCTTACAGGAGTGTTTCTTTGTACACAGGTTGGAATGCTGGACATCTGACTAATCATTCCAGTGGATGCTTGAGTCATTTATTGGAACTGACTTACTTTTCTCTTTGCAGGCAGCAGCCAAAATCATGATGAAGAAGAAAAAGGTAATAGGATATTTCTGATTTAAAGGTCATGGGTAGTATACTTGCTTTGTCAATTTGTTTGGAATTGAACTTTGTACATCCAAATTGAGAGATTGAGCTACAGCCTATAAACTTGAGCCTCAGTATTTTAACATGTCATAGCTTCAGAGATGCATCTTTCCTGTTGATACTTTCTCTTTTGTAGTGTCAGAAATAAAGTAAGAAAATTTTTTTATGCATGCTTCAAGACTGTTGTTTTAGAATATGTATCATGTCTCAATATATGTTCTAATTTCAGGGAAAAATAATTAATATAGCATCAGTTGTTGGTCTTGTTGGGAACATTGGGCAAGCCAACTATAGTGCTGCTAAAGCAGGAGTTATTGGCTTGACAAAGACTGTTGCAAGGGAATATGCCAGCAGAAACATTAATGTAAGTCCTCCAGAGTTATTCCACTTTCATTACTGTAATAAGAAAGATCCAGGGTTGTGTGTTTTGGAGTTATGTTGCGCACCTTTTTCAGGATGTAATACTCCAACTCTTTTCTTGTCTAAGATTTGCCCCTTCTCTTAAGAGGAAAAAGAATTAGAATATGCAATGTGGGATAAGGTAAAGAAAGATGAAAGTCAATGTCTTGAATATTCAGTTATTGATGTATTATGAAACATGAGGAAAAGAAACAATAAGGGACCGTCCTGATATGGAGCTGAGGGAGTAGGGTTTATGCTGCTAATGCTGGGTATGCTTACTCTGACAATGTTGTATAAAAATATTCTTCCAGGTCAATGCTGTTGCCCCAGGATTCATTGCATCTGATATGACTGCCAAGCTTGGGGAAGACATTGAGAAGAAAATCTTGGAAACAATTCCCTTAGGTGAGAGATGATTATAAAAAATCGAAGTTCGTAATTTCCATCTTTGTGGAATTCTTGTTAGTGCTTCTTAAATTGTTAGCTTTCTGAGCCCTAACAAAGTCACCAAATATTTGCTAGCTTTTGTTTGAAATGTCTGAGAGTTCTTATTGCTGCTAATCTTGCAATGTACCAAATAGTTGCATCTTTGTTGATTCTTCTATACTCGTGCAACTTTCTTCCATTGCCTTTATTACTATAAACATTTTCCACTGATTCAAATTGGATGTTTTGAGTAGTAATGCTTAGTAATATTTGCAGCAATGTTAACTATTTCTATTATGGATACAGGTAGATATGGTCAACCAGAAGAAGTTGCCGGACTGGTGGAATTTTTGGCCCTAAATCCTGCTTCAAGTTACATCACAGGACAGGTTATAGATCTATTTTATCTTTATGCATTTTTGTATATTAATTTGTATGGTGGATTTGACGAACTCACAAGTATCCATGACTCCACTGGCTTTCTATAAATGATGCCTAAAGATTAACTAGGCTGAATGCTACAATGGATTGCATCTTGCCCTTGCATGCTTGTGTTGCACTTGCTTTCACTAATTTAACCTCAGGGCTTGGCCATGCATTCCGCGATATAACTTTGACTTGGGATTATGAATCTTTATTGGTTATTTCTATGCTTAGTGTTGCCTTGGCTGGGCTTAATAGTATTTTCTTCCCTTGCTACATGTTAGCATTACATGGTCTGGCTTTAATGATTTCCTTGTCTCTAACTTATTTGTGAGCTATACGCTAGGCCAAGCTTACTGAATATTTTTCTACTTGCATTCTTTTCTTGGCCTCGGCATTTGCTTGCTCTGGTATTGGCTTGCTTTTCTTGGTAATTAATGAGCTTCCACGAGGAGGATTGACCTCTATGGAAACACTAGGACAAAGACTTTGCCGACGTGCAAAATTACTGATTAAATCAATCCCTAGCCTTTGATGGTCAAACCACATCATGTCCCATGGTCATTTCTGACCTTGTCGTGGCGAGTGCTTTATCTTGTGATTTAGCTGATAGCCTGGGCATTGTTGTCATGCAGGTGTACACCATTGATGGTGGAATGGTCATGTAAAATTGCTATCACATCGTTTCAGCGGTTGGTTCTTAGCGACTACAGCTGGACTCTAAATTAATATAACCTTGTTTAGCGGATGCTTTTATTCGACAGTTCCTTTTTTTAGTTATTCTAATAAACAATAATTCCTGAATTTTGGCAGCATACAACATAAACATGTTGTAAACCAAACGATGAGTTATGTAATAGTTTGTAAGCTTCATTTGACTTGGCGGAAGCGTTGTTTATAAGCAGTTTGTCATCCTCATCCATGAAGTTTTAACATTTCAATCAAAGCATCAGAAAATTCTGTTATGGGGGTGGCTGTGTTTTTCTGGCCGGAATAGGGGCTCATATGACCATGGTTTTGGATTCTGGAACTTGGTTCCCTCAAAGTTGGATTCGTACTCCAATGGGCAAAATGATTCTAGCACAATTAAACCGAAATAGGTAACTTGGCCAAAAATTTTCATAGCAAGTATAAAGTGTTGTTGAAGAGCATGCTGGGATGGATGAAGGAAATCATAAAAAAACTTTCAGAGATACTTGTTCAAGTTAAAGAGGATAACTTTGTTACGGGAGCCTTACGGAGCCATTTTTATGGTTGGAAATGAAAGATGAGTACGAAAAAGGTAGAAACATTAAAATATCGGGATGGACGAATATTCTATGGGGCATAAAGGATATCATATTAACGTGTAATTGAAAAGATTTCTGATTTACTCGCAACATCTTTCGTGTAGATTTATTATATTTTTAAATAATTATATATTTGTATTTAAATTATCAAGTCTATCTTGATGTACTTAGTGTTGGGTAGAGACGTCAAGAAAAGTAACAAAGAACATAACTTTTCTTTGGATTTAAGTAAAACCTTTTTTTTTTGCCTTCGAAAACAATTTCTTTTCTTTTTTTATAGGGAAATTTTTTCTTTTTTGATAAAGAAAATAAAAGTTGACAAGAAACCACCGCTTTTCATCACCGTTAATTTCTTAGCCGCCTGTTACTTAATAATTGCCGGCTACTTATGAAAGGTTCCCAAGTAAGGATCCAAGTCCCCTCCTCAAAATTCCAGGCTTTCCCCCCTTCTTTTATTCCCCCTTCTTTTACTCCAAAACCAAAGCCAAAAACTGGGAGTAACACCCCTAACTTCAGTTTCACTCCCAAGCGCATCCCGGTTTCCTTTATAAGGGTAAGTCTTCTAACTCTTACCTTATTTCTATACTCTCAGAAGTCTCAGCAACTCAGGAACTTCAGCTATTTCTGCTAAGGAATTTCCATGGAGACCTTACCCCTTCACAGGCCAAATTTGCCGACGTTTTTCTTGTTGTTTCTGTCCATTTATATCTTTGCTTACCTTTTAATCTTCCGCAACTGGGGTCCCAAACATCGTTCTGAAGCTACAAGCTGCTTTATGTCCTTGGCTCATGGAACGCCTGCGGTTTTCATGGCTGTTAATGCGTTAATAAACACCCCATCCCCCCGTACTTTTGCTTCTCCAAACTCTGCTCTAGATAACATTGTACTTGAATACAGTATTTCGTACTTCTTGATGGACCTTTTCCATTATTTAGTCTTTTACCCTAATGATATTCTCTTCATTCTCCACCATTTAGCCACATTGTATGTGTTTTTCACATGTCGTTACATGGTTCATCATGGGGCATTTGCCCTTCTCGTCCTGCTTGTTCTTGCTGAAGTCACAAGCCCTTGTCAGAACGTCTGGTCTCTTGCCGGTATCCGAAGAGCTGATGTACCTGCCGCTGCAAAATTGTACGAGCTTTTGTCTCCTCTGTTTTATGCTTTCTATTCTGTTGTTAGGGGGATTCTGGGGCCGTTCTTTGTGTATAAGATGGGGTTCTTCTATCTAAGTGGGGTGGCTGACAATTTGATTCCAAGATGGGCTTGGGCTTCTTGGTTGGTTGTGATTATCACAGCAATCTTGCTTAGCATAGTTTGGGTCTTTGATCACTGGACTCACTGGTATAAACGAAGAAACTATAAAGCTGTGAAGAAATCGGTCTAGAATTTGTGGGTGCTTCCAATTTTTTTTTGCTTGATGTGGTTGGGAGTTGAATCTTGGGATTTGAATCTCGATTATTTAAACTAAAAGTAGTCAGCATTATATCAACTGTTCATGCAATACGATTGTCGGATGGATGCTTCAGCCTTTGATAGAGTAGATACTCAGATGAAGATTATAGGTGATTGAAGGGGTACCTGACAATGTAAAAAACTCAAATCAGTGGCAATGTGTACAGGAATTTGATGTACTTTCACCATTAAGTTTACGAGTTAATATAATCTAAAATTTAGAATCCTTCCTATGCTATAAGAATTCAGCTTATACCGTACCAAAATTTTTTTTTTCCTGCATCTTACTACTTTTGGAAACCTATGATGTGGAAATTGGCTGAGAACTTCGATTAGAATAGCACTTAATAGAGCCAATGAAGGTATTATTGGCTCTGACGAAGTGAAGATAATTTCACAAATAGATAGGAAAATACGTACCAATGGTTCTTCATCTGGTTTGAGCTAAGAGTACATGCCATAGTACGAGTATGATACAATTGACGGTTACATCATACATGAACATATATAAAATGTGGTAGGGACAAGTTACCATCTCATTCTCCTCTTCTGTCTCGTTCTGCAATTGATTTGCTTTATACTTAAGTACTTTATAACTCGAATCTGTTAATCCACTATCCCTTCTTTGCTTCCCTGGGGCATATGATTCCAACCCGATGTGGTGGACCATTACCATTTCTCGAATCATCTTAAGAGGAAGACCACTTGTCTAAGGTATGGCTTGCATTAAGACAGTTCAAAACTCATATGCCAACAATTGAAGCATTGATCTTATCAGAACTCCCTTGGTATTTGAGCTCTACAAAGGTGCCTCCGCCTTCTCCCTTTGCCAGTCTTCCGGGATTAATACAAACGCATTTTTTCATTTGTTCTTCACCTTCACTTGTTCCCCCAAGAGATAACACCTGCAACCAGAGAGAATATGCAGGAGGCATGAGGATTACATTCTTTTATCATTTGTAGTAGTATATTTCAACATTTGTTGCAGAAAGTTAGATATTGGAGCCATGTTTTCTTCTTTTTGCTGTTTTCAATTGAAGTTGGAACTGAGCAGTTTGGCGTCAACGAGTTGTCACTAACCTTGACAAAGTATTTGATGTCTGAAGGTAAAATAAGAAGATCAGGAACTGAAGAAATATGAAGAGCTTCAGGAGCAAGGGACAAATCCAATGGGACACCTTCTGCTGGTGGATATAGCGGATAAAAGCTGTCTCACAAACATCAATATAGGTTAATACACATTATTTTAAGTATGAACCAACTAACAGATTATCAATTGAACGAGTTTCAACAAAGATGACTTTTTAAAAGATACCTGCGTTGGCTAAGAATATGACTGGCAAGTCTACTCAAGCGATCACTAGGTGTTCCATCCATTGAATGTCGTGACATCTCCTCCCCACTAAGATGTTTGAGAATATCTACTGTGCAGCAACCTATCTTGACCTGAGACTCGAAATTATTATGGAATAAACTGATACATGCTCTATCACTCCAGTTTAAACCATCTTGATTCGGCAAGTAGTTTAAAAGTGAAGGCATTGGTCAAGAACAAGCTGGACAGAGAGGTAAATATAGCGACAGAATAGATAGAAGTTGCATAAAGTTTGCCATTGCTTTACCTCATCTGCCTCAAAAATCCCTGGATTTTTTAGACTGGTTATCTGGACAAGAATGAAGAAACAAGATCATGTTAATTATGAAAGCAAATTGTGGAAACTAGTAGGAAGTCATCATTAGATCAACAGATGAACCGCTCATAGACTATTAGTACATATAATATACCTGATGTATATTGTTGAGAGAATCAAGATCAAATGCAGGCTGCACAAAGTTCAAATACAAATTTCAGCATTAGCTTTATTTCCAAATATCACCAAATCAAGCAGAGAAGTACAATTGATTTTATTTGGCAAAACAAGTGACCTGAGGGAAAACAAAATCATGATTAGCATCTCTTACAGATGGAATGGTAACCACCCGAGCATCGGGTCCCATATATTCCAAATAATCTTGCACCTGAAAATACCAATGAGACAAAATTCAATAAGCATAATTACTAATTTTTAGAATTGGAGTAAACTTTTGCTTTATACATACCCTTCTAAGAACCTCCATTTGGAATATTTCATCAAAACTCAAGTCAACAGTTCCTTTCTTGATCTGTGGATGTTCAGAATCGATAAAAGGTCCTAACTGAAAATTATCAATAAGTCAACAAAAAAAAGTCCCCTGGTTAGTCAAAACGGTAAAATTCTTGAAAAACATAGTAAAAAATGCAGTGAGTTCACACCAGTATAAGCAACTGCGGACACTTTTTGGTTGCATAGGCAAGCAGTTCTGTCAGAGGTTCGAATAACAAGTTGTCTGTAGTAGTGAATGGACCAGCAGCAATAACCTGTTCAAACATGCATCACATTCAAATAATCTGTTAAAAAAACAGAAACTTCAGAGAAGGGGAATCATCATTAAAAAGAATTCCAAATTGCCACGAGTGCTTGTGTCCAAAATTTAAAGCCTAAGATTCAATTGGTGGTGATGCAACTTTTGATGAGATGCAATTAACAGTGTATTCTAAGATCTTTATCTGATAAAGAAGATTATCCTACACACCATTGTTATCTCTGTGGGTGCGCAGGAAAGATTTGTTGCCTGAATCTCCTCATCTAAAGCTTGCTTCTTTGCACGAGGCAAATTCATATCAGCAGCAACAGATAAAGGAACAGAATCTACCAGCTCTGAAGCAATCAAACAATGCCCACTAGGATTGTGACCCTTGATGCCTACCACCTGAATAGAAGAAATATTTCCAGGCTGATCTGGGATTTTTCAACACAGCAAACAAGACCAATAATACTTTATAATGTTTATTACCTGGCCTGGAAAAACAGAAAAGTGGCTCAGCTTATTTAATTCTAGTCGAACATGTTGCCCTCCAGAATGCTCAACACTGTCAAAAGGGTAGGAGACTTAATCAAACATTAAGCAACATAAAAAAAGGTTAGAACAGCATAGGATAAATGCTACTTCCTAATGTGAAAAGTGTCAAGAGTAGTTGGGTCCTCCATCTACCAGGTGACGCTCTTAAATATAAACTAACATACACCAAAAATGCTTAGTACCTAATCTTGAGAAACTCAATAAACTGAGAAAGAGAAGACCTATCAGTCCTGATTTAGGTTGAGTAAAATTATTATGTCAGCTAAATTTGTCTCAGACTGCTTGGTAAGATAGTTCTATTAAAAATTTAATTACGTAGGCACACATGTTAAAATGCTTGATGATTCCTTTGTTATGTGGCTGAATCATCAATAATAAAATCCTCTGTGATCTTGACTACATCCACAAAAGTTAACACATCAAGAACACCTATTTGTTTCCATCCTAGTTGATTGATGTACATGGATACAACAAATGGAAGGCCCAGGACATTTTACCTGCTTTGCAACAAGATGGACTTATCATTTAAATGACCCTCACCATCACAGCAGATCATTCCAATGGCAAATATGCTCCTCTGAAGCAATAAATTTTTTTTAGATGGATGGATAATTACAGACTATCAGAAAGATGAAAGGCTGGTGAAGCAGCAAACTACCTGTGACGCAACTGATGGATCCATTGGTTCTTCGTAAAGCCTAGATGCAACAAGGGCAGCTGCATGCTTTCTAATACGGTTTTCAAGTGCATTGAACTGTACCAATGATATGCCATCTTAGTAAGATACATATTGCAGATAAAAACAACAAATGATTTATGCTATAATAACTGTCAGATACCCTGTCTTCAATCCTGTCATACATGAACCAGCAACCTGGTTCTGGCCCCGATCTGTGGACCACCAATGAACAGCTTTTATGAGGTCGAATCCTTTGAATAATGTCATCCTCAAGATTCTCATGATTGTGGATGCCATTCACAGTCTCCGTAGTAGGAAGATTATCAATGTTGAATTTCACCACAAATTTATTACTTCGCTTCCCAAATGGTGTCACTAGTTTTGATATCCTCCCAGAAGAATAAATGCTCCCATTTGTTTTATGTGCTGAGTCATAAACATCCAAATGAAGTTTCTCAGATTTGTCCGTTGGAGTTCCAAGAATAACTTCTTTTGTATCTTCATCTCCAGCATCTAAAATCCTGGGCAATCGCATCCCATTATTTAAAAACTACACTTACATCAGAAACTCTACAATATAATCCATAACACCGCACTTGAAGCCTGGTTATGCCCATTAAAGCAACATAATAGAATTACGCATTTAACAAGTTATCCTGCGACTTTTCCTTAAAAAAAGTTATCCTTGCCTATTCACCGATTTCATATAGACAGGCAGGTTCAAGCGCTTGCTGCATTTAAAATCACCAAACCAAATAGAAAAAATACGAAAAGGTAAACATCCACTAATGCCATATGAATTCTATTGGGGGATTCAACCACAAGGAGACACAAAATTTTTATCTTCTAATGCCCATTTGATCAAACAAGCAAGATGAGCAAGCAAATGCCTTTTCCCCTTTTCCAATTAACTTTATACAATTACAAAATACGCAGGTGAATAGATTGTGTACATAACAAGATAATAAGTAAAATGCTCACATTTCGACGTCTTTAAAAGAGTACATATGCAAACCGGGCTCCTTTTTAACAGCCGTCTCTACTTGTTCATTCTGCAAGTGACCTAAAAACCCATCCATTTCTGCATCCTTTACTACTGACTCATCAAGTTGTCTACACCAAAAGTAGCTTTTAATCAGATTATTACCACTTCTATAATAAAATTTCAAAGTTAAGCAAAATCAAACCAAAAAAAAAAAAAAACCCATATAAGAAATTACTCCCAAATTTCTCCCTGCACAGTAATTCTAACAAAAGAAAAGAGGGTTAGCTATATCAGTAAAATTACCGATTGAGATAATAAACCTCCCAGCTTGAGACGAGATCGGAAGGCTCGAGACTGTAATTTTGACAAAACGTAAGGCCTAACCCAAACAAAAGTTGAGATCTTTTCAGCATCAATTATTCAAAAATGAGAGTGAGAAGAGGGACAAAATTGAAATTAAAAAAAAAATTACATTTCTTGAGTATCTCTTCTTCGTCGTCAAGAGTGAACCCGATTTTCAAGAACTCTGCTTTGATCTCCTCTTCCATGGCTCAATCCTCCCTCTATCTCCCTCAGCCGATTTCTATCAATCTAGGCTTTCCCTTTTTGCGGATGCGAGAAATGGCGGGAAATTTTTGCTTTGGAGAAGTAAATGGGGAGGGAGCTTTGCACTTTCGCGGGGTTTTCGTGTCCAATTTACTTTTACCCCACCCTTTTCCTTTATTACAAAAATACCTCTACAAAATGGACCTGTTCTATGGCCCGAAAACTACAATAGGGCTCCGTCCACCAGCCCAGACATTTTCTTCGCCTAAGCCCTCATTTTTGTTTTTTTTTTTTTATGGAAACATTATAGGAAAATTTAAAAATTAATCTGAAATTAGAAATTGAAGAGTATTCTTTTATTTTGATAAATTCAATTAATGACTTCAAATTACAATCTTAATATACCTAAGAAAATCAAATATTAAAAGTATTTTAGATAAATTTCTTAACATTGGGGAGTTTCTAAAGATTGTCCGTAAGAACCACAAAGAATCAAATTCTAAGGAAAACTGCTGAATACAAATCAAATCAAAAGAAATCGATTACATTTTTGGATTTTGAAAAAATCAAGTAAGCTAATAAATGAACAAAAAAAAAAAGAATCTGATACAACGTGCTAACAGAAACATGAAATAGCAAGAGGGGATAGAATTTCACGAGAAGAACTTGTAGTCCTTGGCTGAGATGATGATTGTCCTCAGCCCTCCAATTGGTGACAGAATCATCAGCAAAACACCAAGAATAATGCATACCTGAAATATTGCATTCATGAAAAACAAACAAACAAACCAAGTGTCTGGGTTGGAAGTTGAAATTTTAGAAAAGATGGTTGAATTTGTCAGTTACTTACCCAGTTTATTATCCAAGTTAAGCTGAATCTTTTGGGTTTGCAGATGATAAGCCAGATGATGCATGGGAGCTGCAAAGCAAGACGTTTATACAATTTTATACTCTAGTGGGGGAGTTGTGTTTGGTTTCAAGTTAACAGGACGAGCGAGTCAAGAAACAATTACATAATATGTTGTTGGTGCAAAAGCAAATCCTCCAAAGAAGCTGAGAAGACCTCCAAAGAATGGGAAGCATATCCCAACCAACATTGTGAATGCTGCAACATAGGAAGATTAATCATGGCAATATGACAGGGTAAAACTCAGATTCCGTGTAGGAGAAATGGAATGTTTGGGAATCCGGAGTATATCTTAGTTAGTTCATGCAAGCATCCAACAAATCTCGAGCTTAAATTTCTATACCTGCAACCTTTTCTCCTATTCCTAGATTACGACTTGTAAAATAAATGGAATGTATGGGAGTTGGGACTATTTACCAACATATAGAGTGCGACTGATCAAGCGAAGCCTTAAACAAGGTGTGAAACGCATTGTCTTGACCAAAAAACTCTCCATCATGTCAAACACTGGAATTGCATAAATCTGCAGTTTATCAGGTTAAAGGGAAATTCGGGGTTAGATACATTAGAAGAATGAAGAATGGGAAATTTGATAGAGGAGGTACCAAATTCTACCTGATAGCTACCAATGACATGGATGATTACAAACATGTTAGCTGTAGCAATAAGCCAGGTGGGTTTCTCCAATGACAAGAGGATGTTATCATCGATCATGTTTCCAAAAGCCCAGTAACCTAAAAAAGCAACAGGGAAGTAGCAGATTGCCACAATGAGATATGCAACAATGACACCCTTCCACATTGGGCCCTTGGAAGGCTTTTCAGGAGTGGAAGGAATTGTTGCTTGGATCTCCAAAACCACATTATGACCAGCATAGGCAAAAGCTACTTCACCCAATCCAGCGAGGAAGTTAAAGACTCTCCCGGGGCTGCTTGAAGCCTTGTATGAATAGTCCACATTTGGTTGAACACCCTTAGCAACAGAAGCTGTCCAGGCAATGGTAGAGTAACTGCATAGAAAAAGAAATAAACCTATCAATTGATGAAACAATATATAGCCAACAATTCGTGTGGTCTATTGGTAGAGTGATCAGATTCAGATCTTGGCAGCCTCAACTATATATAAAAAAAAAACAATAAATAGCGACAACTCACTGGAAATGCCCCTAACAATTTATGTGATGATATTTACCTCAATGACATAACTGCTGCAGCCAGTGAGACACCAGTTATAGAGTTGAAGTTGGGGAGATGGGAGAGAACGAAGTGGACAGAAGCGAAAATCATAATGAAATATGTGAGCTTGATGTCTTTACAGTTGGGGCAAACCAAATCATGAAATTTCTTCAACGACTGGCCTCCAGTGACCATGTAGACAATGTCGACACCAACTTCTACAGTTAATTGTTGGGGTACGATGATCCAGAGCCCAAGCTTTTCACCAAATGCATGCTGACCTAGCTCATGGTATCTATCGAAACGCTTACCAGGGACCATCTCGTGCATTTCAACCATTTGCCAAAGGGTGTATAATGTGATGATCCATGACAAAATCATTATAGTAACCCCAGGACCCCTGCAATTCATCCAAGTCAATAAGATGTATAAAATCGGTCTCATATAATCTAATTGCTCTACTCTGCTCAAATTTAATGCAAAAGTTAGCTGATTCAGGAAGCACCAAAATCAATGCTGGAAAAACGCAAAACCCTTGATAACAACAAAAAAAAAAAAAGAAAGAAAGAAACATACCATCCAAGCTCTGCCATGGCATATGGAAGGCTGAGAACACCAGCTCCAACCATAGCAGTGACATTGTGGAAAGCTGAGTACCACCATTTTGCATTCCTGGAGGAAGTGATGGGAAGCCAATCATCGATGGCCTTGTCATTGTCTCTTGTACTACTTTCTGACTTATCATACCCCATCTGTTTTAATTCTTCTCCTCAACGAATTCAAAAATGGGCAACCTCAAAACAAATCTGTGTGATCCTTAAGATGAAGAAACTATATACATATATATGCAGTGGGACTCACAGAAGTAGCCAGCATATTAGGGACAGTTGCCCAGCTTATGCGGTATGATATTAACAGTATGCAGATTTTACTAGGAATGTAATGTAAAGTTGACAGTTGTTTTCTTAAGCTGCCATTTCTCTTCGTAACTGAATCTTGAATCTTGTTACTTTGACAGGTTTGGGATGTCAATGGTTTGAATTGTCAAAATGGTATAATTTTTGGATTCTGTTCTGTCCCAAGACTCAAGGCAGTTTTATGGTAGATCTAGCGGAATGGATAACCGTATGAATGTATTATAGCTTCAGTAAATCTCTCTTTCTGGTAATGCATAAGTAAAATGTGTGGATTAATCAAACTTTACACTTCAACATTCTTCCAAAGGAATAACAATAATAAACCAAATCTAAGAAAAAAAGGTTAAAGAAAAATAGGGAGAACTCAAAGAATAGTACTTCCATGTGATCTTTTAGTAGAATATTAGACTTTTAATTTTAGAAACTAGAATCAATGCTTGATAGTCTCAAGTAAAAAAAAATGAAAAACCGTTCAATCAACTTATGTGGTAAAATTAATTAATTAATTAATACCATTAACTTGGTAAAATTTTAGTAACATAATAAAACTTTTCATGGTTTTTGTATCCAATAAAACAAATGATTGGATTTCATTTTAAAAGTAAGCAACGTTCTGTGAGTTTCATGACTCCCTTAATACAAAGGTGGCAAGGCAAAATAAATTTTTGAGGAATTCCTAGTTATATAAAGTACTATATATTTTTTTCTTTTCAATGGTAATATTAAGTAAATTTGCTGATTGGTTCCTGAAATCTTCATTTTTATCAAACCTCACTCCAGTGGCAAGCACGTAGAATCTTGAAAAAAAATATAGATGAAATTTATTAGTAGTCATTAGTAGATATAAGCTTCACTTTCATGGGGGAAGTTATAAAAAGATCTTGTCTTGGATTGTATTCATGAAATTTAGAATCTTTCAACCGTTCGGAATATATGCTCAACAAAATACATTTTTTCTTAATTTTGAAATAAAATTAAGAGAATAAAAATAAATCAGATAATAATGCTTAAAAGAGATTAGATAAAGCAAATAAGAAATTTGATTTTGTTCTATTCTTTTCATACATTAGTTTCCAGGATTTTTTGGAGTAATAACGAGAAAAATCTGTCTTGCAATCAGACCAGACTAGAAAAATAATCTCATTAATTACTTTATTATTATACAAGTGATATTATTTAACCTTATGTTTTCCCAATTGTAGGCATTAATTTGTTTAAATAAAATTTTAAGCTATACACTATCACAAATCTACACAACTTTTGAGCTACATATCACAATCAGCAAAATAACATATGATACAACTCTGCCAGATCCAAAAACTTATGATACAGCTTGGATGTTTACAGATACTTAAAAAATCTGGCTTTTATTTTCAATATACGACTTGAATTTATTCAGATCTTTTATACATAGTTTATGCACTCAAACACTGGACATTCAAGATTAGGAAGCTCATAGAACAACAAATTCCTGGGCTGTTGGTGGTCTTTACTCAAAACTGCAATACTTCCATGAAGCTGCATCAAGCAACTAAAGAACTGACACTTTTAATGCTGTGATCCAGCCGTGTGTGGGTTCTACTATCTTCCACAGCTAGGCCTTGTGCTCCGAAACAGAAATACTGGTTCATCAACCTCTTATCCGGTGAAGTTTGCTTCTGATTTATTTGTGTTGTTTTACCATTAAATGATGGATTTGAGAAAGAATGTCCTGCATTTTGAACACCCTTTTGTTCATCCATTGAAATAAGTGAGGCCACAGAAGACCCCGAAAAAGGACTTGTTGGTGATTTAAAGGGAGCAGCCAAATGCGGTGCTGCCTGGATCACACCATGAGTTAACTCTGCAGCAAATTTCTTTCTGGTGGATCGGCTAGGAAGATCACTCCTGAGAGAAAATGTCCTCTTGTTGTTTGGAAGAAATGAAACTTTGGAGTATTTTTCACGAAGTGGAATATGACTCTCTGGCCAATTTCTACAAGTACTCATAGCCTCCATAGAATCTTCATCTGTTGATTCTGTGCTGGCAGCTTTTCTCTCCTTCTTCCTGGGCCATTGGAGAAAAAATTTTAGGCGCCTTGCAGTATGATTTATGGAGTTTGACTTCTTGCTACCTACTGAGTTACTTAAGTTCAAGTCATTTAGTTCACTCAGGCATGAACTATATTCCACACTATCTTGATCACAACCTGCATCATATGCATTCTCAGAACCGGCATACAAGAATATCTCTGCATCAGGAATTCTAAATGAAGTTCCAGGACTGGCACCTATGCCCTGCTCTCTTAGATGGGAAACAATGGCACTTCTTGCAACATTGTCCTGACAGTTGGAGATTCCTCCGGCTGCAATTAGTTTTTTGGTTAAAATTTCTGACGATACTGATTTAGGCTGTCTCTTGAGGAGATCTAATGGGGTCATGCCATCAGCATCACTGACATTCAAATCAATAGATGGCACAGTCATGAGTAGCTCCACCAGACTAGATTGAACATTCTCCGTTACAGCCATATGTAGAGCAGTTCTTCCATCCAAGTTTCTTACATTGATGATGTCTTGAATGTCGACAACTTCACCACTTACTAATTTCTTCATGAGCTCAATCTGCCGGTCTATTCTTCGGAAGCCTAGCGTTCTAAAACCAGCCACAGCTACATGAAGAAAAGTATTCCCATAGTCGTTCTTCACAGAGACCAAAGTTGGAGATGCGTGAATCAGTAACTCCACAACCATTAAATAACCCCAATAAGCCGCCACGTGCAATGCCGTGTTCCCTTGATTATCCATAGAGGTTATAATCTCAAACGATGCTACAAGATCCTTCACTACCTGCATCGAAAAAGACACGAAAAGAAACATGACAATTTCACAGGGCTACAGGGTAATTGCAGCTGCTGACAAAAAAAAGTGAATTAGGTTCATAAATGGGCCAATGAAGTTATCATCTTGAGCCTATCATACACCATTAATACAGAGAACTATACTTGGGCCCATCATGTTAAAGAGCCTGCATCCTGGGACTGGGGCATGCCTTTGAGAGATATCCAACTGTTTACAGCTGGACATCCATATGCCACCTAGGTTCTCTGAGAGATATATTGAATAAAAACCAATTTTTTGCAATTCAAGCAAACTTCAATTTGCCCTGACATAAAGTAATTGTTTACACATGGAGAGCATCATGTCAAAATGATGCCAATCACTGACTTTTTGGGAAAGGAATGGTAAACAATTTCTGGCATTCAGGACTTCTCTTTTTTAGCCTTTAACACCATCAAATCACACAAAAACGTTATCTAAACTCTCACAAGATGCAAGCATTTTTTGAAATGTAAATAATATCTGCTAAAAAGCACAACTCCTAATTCATTTTCCATGGATTGCCTTTTTCAGCCCTCACGGGAATCAGTTTATACAGAGGAATGATGACTGTCAAATATAAATCACTACCTAAAATTGTTGAATGATTGTCCACTACTAGGTGAGGTTGAGTAGAAACAGCAGAGAAGTATGATTCAGCAATTGAACTTGAACTAAGACAAATAGACACAAGGATTTAGTGCCTTACCTCAGCCTGTCCTCTCCCAGAGGCTGTATGCAAGATAGTAGACCCCTGCGCATCTCTATAGGCCAAAACATCACTACAATCCCCAAGAATCTCCATTAAAATCTCCAAACTCCCACCTCTAGCTGCAGCATGAACCGCTCTATTCATCATTTCCCACTTAAAAACCAACCGAGTTTCACTCAACTCATCCTTTTCTTCTAGTTCACTGCTAAGGCAACTCCTGGACGACACAGCAAAATCTAGCACCATCCTGAAAAGGTCAGAGTTTTTGCTCCTAGCCGCTGCGTAAAATATATCAGTGACCCCATATTCTCCTTCTCCAAATACAAGAAGAGGGTCTCTCTCTAACAGTTCCATAACAAAATCCACATCACCAGCTGAGGCAGCAGTGTACAAAAGCCAGCCTCCATAGCCAGCTCTAATCAAGGTATTGTTGCCTTTCTTGGTCTCACATTCTTGAAGAAGTCTTTTTGCAACATGAGAGCGGCATTTTGCAACATCATCAAACTGAGCCTCATCGTCCCACACGGTTTCGAGACGGCGGATTCTGCGGAGAGAAGTGAGCTTGATGAGAAGATTGGTGTCAAGATGGAGAAGCTCAATGACCAGGTCGTAAAGGCCATTAGCAGCTGCCCAATCAATAGGTGACGCGTACCACCATTGGTCTCCAGTGCTTTCCCAGCGCAGAGGGAAGTAAGATGGCGGCATTGTAGTATTGGGTTCACTAAAATTATCAGCTCTTATAAGATTTCAGCGAAGACCCAACAGAGTTTTATGGAAAAAGGACAAATAACTCAAGAGTTCAAGTGGAAGTAGAAGCAAAGTGAAACGGGAAAGACAAAAGAAGATGGCAAGAATGCTTGAAACTGAAGATCAGCCATGCCATAATCACTAAAGATGAATCTGAACGTGGGAGGCGATGAAGCAGGTTCTTTAAAAGGGAAAGTTTGAGTCTGAATGGATAAACATAGAAACTCATAAGCTCTATAACTACTTACACTGTTTGCAGATGAAAACAAAACAGAAAAAAGACCAATTGAAGCATAGATTTTTGGTCAGGTTTTTATGGTGGAGGAAAAAGTAGCCAGGAAATTGCAAGGAAAATGTTTCCTTAGATTCCTCTTGTCTTGTCCGTGAAAGCCAAGTGAGCATGGAAAGAGAAAGATAGTAATTATGTAATAATGAACTTAAATCAGAAAAATTTCAGTTGCGGAATCTGATTTAAAACCAAGTCCCCATTGAGCTAATCATTTTCAATGCACCAAAACCGAGTAAATGTCACGTGGAATGGAAGTGGCTACCCCTTCAGCTATCAGGTCAGGGTATTAAAGTATTTGGCACCATGCCCCAATTGCAAAGCTGGTTGGTTATGAATTAAAGCTGCTGCCTTCCTCAATTGTGAGACATTGTTAGGGTTTTTTTCAATCTCTGGAAAATAGAGGTTGCAGAATTGAGCATGGACCTAAGAACATTCTGGGTGTATAGAGAGTGAGCTGGCAACTGGCTAGTAGTTGGACTGCAGGGATTGGGAGACCATTTTTATTGGTACAAAATCATGGCAGGCAATCACCTAATCAGAAGCATTTGAGGGTAGAATTATTTGTCTCTTTATCATTGATGAATGCAACCTTAGTTAACTAGCCATTGTTCTTTAGTAGGCTCATGATACCAATTCTTCATATTTCTAATTTTTTGGCCGTGAACGATCAGAAATCTATGGTGGGAAAGTAGTTTTAATTTGGTTGAGCCTACACGATACCAGTTAATACTCTTTCTTCCTTGTTGAATGGTTGGATTTAGTTCTAGTTCCCCTTAAACATAAGCCAAATATAAATAAAAATTAAAATAAATAATTGAAATAGTCAAACAATTCATCTTCTGCTAACACGTTTTGTAATAATCTTAACAGGTTACAGATATGATAATTAAATCGAAAATTATTACTATTTTCGTACACTTCAAAGAACTGCCGGCTCTTTGGCTAATATCACTGATTTTTAGCCTAATTGCACAACCTTGGACGTGCTGTTGCACCCATCTCTTGGCTGATTACTGGAATGCACATCATTGTTAAGCTTTTTTTTTTTTTGGCGATAATTTCATGGTAAACTAACAAAAATATCAGTTATCTATGCAAACAGATTAAAGCAAAATCTCTAACATCAAAACAATTTGAAAGGCATAAAGGACATATATTTACCTTGTTGGATTCCATGTTGTCTTCACTATTCGGTATAATTTGATATCAAATATTACCTCTTTGGATCAGGTTGGGGAAAAAAAGTTGGGTTTGATATGACATTTTTTTTCTGTTCATCCAGCACAAGACTTTGGACAACTTCATGGGGAACGGGCTACGAAGGAAAAATGAAGGAACATAAAGGACAAGAAATTGGTCATTTGGTCGGTACTTCTTGAAAATCACCGATGATTAAGGGTTTATTTGGATGTAAGGCATGATGTTGCTTTATGATTAAATCTTAAAAATTTGATCATAAAACGCAACTATGACGCGAAATCCTTTCTGCTGTCAAAAACGAACATGAGGTATATGGTATGCAATCTCAGTACACGGTAGGGAAGGCATGAAGGGCTGCTGGGCCAAGAGCAGAGTTCTTTATTATATTTTATTCTACTTTTTTTTGTAGTAGTTGCAACATTGGATCACGAGGTTCTGATTTTCAGTAAAAAAGCTACTTTATTATCTAATAAAGACTCTGACAATGATCATGTGATGCTGCCTCCCCATTCACCAAAGAGTCAAATTTGACAGCCAAGAGGCAGGGAAAGAGAATGCAACCGAAACCTATGAGATCTAATTTTATAAATCACAATTCCATAATAGGTTAACCCCACCGCCATGAGACAAATTATGTTGATCTCAGCTTATTCTGCTAACCTGTGCTCTCTGATCTTGGCGTTGGTCACAGTAGCTCTGTTTTGCAGTCATGGTAGCTAAAGATATCAATACAGTTTCTCACATAATCAAAAAGGGATAATGTCCTATTTGATTCCTGAATTAGTATAATTTATTAGATTTGGTATCTAAACAAAATTTTTTTTTAATTAAGTACCTAAACTATATTTTCTTATGTTAATTTATCTCAATTATTAATACGGTTAACTCTAAACGCGATATAAAAATCTAATAAAATATTGACATGTGTAAAAAAAATTTAGTTAGCGCTACATCATTAATACAACATCAACATTAAAAGAATTTTTTCAAAAGAATCTAAAAAAGTTTTAAAAAATTAAAAAAAAATCTATAAAACACAAGTTTTTAAAATTTATTTAAAACATTTTCTTTAAAAAAAACTTCAAACACTCTTAATCCCCGACAGCATTGACTATTATTAAACCCAAAAATCATTGGCTATCCACTATATCGACCGTTGTCTATCGTCGCCAACCGTTAATCTTCAATACTGATTTAAGCCCATATTTCACCTACTGATTCCTTTCGACCTCCTATTTCATGTTTCGGCCCTAGTGTTTTTCAAAAACAACCTCTAAAAGTCTAGATCTAACGTCAAAGATTTGGCAAAATTTTCTTTTTGCTGGTTTTTGCTTATCCGATGGCCCTTATCTTTTATCGCGTTGTTTCTCTCCTTAAAACCCTTTTACTCTCTAAAGATCTAGCCTAAAAACCATCCTAAACACCCAAATCTGAATCTTAATTTCAATGTTAAATTTTTTTGGTTCGGCTATTGTTTTGTGGTTCCCTTTTTGAGGATTTTTTTTTTTTTTTATGTATGGAATGTATTATGAGTTATGACTTCTTTTGTTATATGTTAAGAACTCAAGATTAGAGGTTACAAGTCACAGATTTTTTGAAAACTAAGGGGAAAGGCTAAAAAGGTACTAGAGATTGGCATTGATGCATGCCTTAATCTTGAACACTATATGCTAAGAATAGTGAGGTCCAAGTTTTTTGTGTGGATCCTAACAATAAGATGGAGAAGTATGATCAGGCAATAGCAACAGTTGGTTTGTGATCGAAGAATTTTCAATTCATAAAAACTGTCATGCCCCAAGATCGATACATAATATGGTCATATTACCTTGAAATAAAATCTCAAAAGTAATATAAAGCATTTTTTCTTAATTATTTTAAAATTTTTCAATAAAATAACCTGTTCAAAAAAATTTGTAACTTTAATCCAACTAATGATAAATCTCCATATCCCCTAATGCAAACTAATAAAAATACTAAACCACTTTATAAAATCTTACTAGCCAACAATGTCTCCAATGTCCGAGTAATTTTCAATATGATTTTTTAGCTTTTTAAATAACTAAGCAAACTTATCACTTATTCAAATGTAAAGAAAAAGTAAAAGAGGAATGGGCAAACTACAGTTTAACAAATATAGGCTCACACATCTTATCGGATCAAATATCGTTTTCATACATATTGTATATACCATTTAAAACATTCGTCAAATCATAATATCAAAATATTTCAAAAATTATCGTTTTGTTAAATATTTCATAGATTATAAATCAATATCAAACATATTAATTTATAAATCATTTCAAAATATGCTATTATTCAAATAGTATGATCAAACCAAATCATTAATCAAATCATGGATTAATCTTTAGAAATCATCATAAATCATCATAAATTGTTAGTTCATCATTAGTTATGGTCACTGCTATAACCCATGACATTGGTCATATTGACAATTTCATCATCATAATCATTGCTAACTATTATAACTTATTAGCCAAAGCATAATGCTAACTACTATAACCCATTAGCAGAGCCATATGATCATGGCTATGTTAACTACTATAAACCATTAGCCAAGGCCATAAAACTAGTTCCGGTATCATTGATCCCACTTTTCAATGATGTAAAAACGTAACTATCATAAAATCATTCCTTAAACATAAATCATTTTCTTATTTCATTAGTATGATCCATCTTTTACATAGCAAAAACACTAAGTAATCATATGCTTAGTCTTATTTTCATATATCGAAAATAATGAAATAAAACATTTACTCATTTAAAAACATACATATATATACATAAGTTGAAAAATAAGTAAAGTGTGTTCGATTCTATTTACCTTCTTTCGATTCTACCATTTAGTTTTTTTCTCAAAATAATTAGCGACTTATTCATGATAATTTTAACATAACAGAAATTAATCAACTCATTTTGAGACCAATTATAGCAAAAACAATTAAGTTAAACAAAGATTAACTCAACTAATTAATAATGATTGCCTAAACTCCTTTCACTAAAACAACCATATCTCAAGACATTCAACTTAGAATTAAGATCTTTTTAATGTTTTAGAAACTAGACTTGATAAGACTTCTAACCATATATGGCCCATCTTGTGATTTTTTGTAGATTAATTATAATAATTTTTAAAATTCATATCATATATTGCTATCAAATAATGTGTATACCTTCTAATAAAAACTATACATTTATTCATAAGAAATTCTAAATTCAATTTTGCTTATTTAGTTGAAAAGTAGACTCAATAAGCTTTTCAAACATATAGCTTAATCTATAATTTATTATATAAAAATTAAGAGGAATTTTGTAACTCTTTTCTCTTGCTGCTACTAGATAGCCTACACATTTTTAAGTAAAAATTAAAATACTCTTCATAAAAAACTTAGAATTGACTTCTGTTATTTCATTGGAAAGTAAATTCAACAAGCTTTTCAATGGTATGTAATAATCATAGCAATATTTTATCTCTTAATACAAAATATTATCTTAATCCACCATTTCAAATACTAAAGTTCATATCGAAATTTTCTTTCTAACCCATCAAATTTATGTTTCCTATTTTTACAGCAATAAAATCATATTACTAAACTTTTTCAATACTTTATTAGACCATAATTAAAGTCTAAATGATTTATCCAAACCAATCTTGAAGAGGGATAATAGATTTCCTAAAAATTAGGGTTTCTTGATTACAAGTGAAACCTCAAGACTCAACAATTAACATTATTGCTTTAAAATTGAAAAAAATTATTTACTCAGCCTATAACTATCAAAGTCGAATTGTGAGCCTATTAATGAAGCAAATTCAACGAAGCAACAATTGGTACCATAAAGAAGCAGCCATAAATTGAAGAGTCTTGACCAATTTGAAAGATCATTAAATGTATTTGAAATAATTGAATTTTGAGTTATTCAATCAAGTAAAATTCAATGAATTCATAAAAGACAACTCTCCTTATAAATTTTGTTCTTACCCTTCACTTGAAATCTTTAAACTTGTTTGTTCTATATATAAAAAAAAAAAGAGAAATAAACTTTTATTATTTTTTCAATTAGTTATCGATTAAAAATAATAGTATAAGTTAACCCTATTAAAATTGAGTTTTTTATTGATACGTCCTTTACCTTTCTAACTTCTTACTAAAAACTCCCTTTACTTATAAAATACTTAAAATATTTTTTTTCGGGTATTACAAAAGCTGGCTTGTTATTGAAATTTATTTTATGATGATTGCTATTTCTGCTGCCTAGGAAACCCTTTCTCCACTACCTTTTTATAATACCAGATTTTGGATTATTATTCTATTGAAAGAGAATTTCAAGTTTGTTTTTACTTTCTTCACAATTATTATGCTTCTTTGTTTTAGAAAAAAAACTTGTTTCTTTTTCTGAATTCTGGACTGTTACATTTATCCAAGTTGTAGAAGCTATTTCATTAAATGATGCTTCTGTTGATGCAATTGTTGGAACACTTGTGTTATGTTCTATTAAAGAAGTTAATATGGCACTTAAGATAGTTTAGCACTTAGGTTTGTCTTCATCTAAGCTTTGTTAGTATGAATTTCTCTGGCAAGCATTCAATGAAAAATATTTCCTTAACTCATTTTCATCAAGAATTTTATAGAAATTTTTTTTTAATACTAATGTTGCATTGATAATATAACACTGATTGAACTTTTTTTACACGTGCCAACGTTTTATTAGATGTTCATGTCATGTCAGCATTTAAAGTTAATGGTTGAGGCAAATTAATACACATAAATATAGTTTAGATACCTAATTAAAAAAAAATTATTTAGATACCAAATCTAGCAAATTATAATAATTTATGAATTAAATGGGACATTATCCCATTCAAAAAATATTAACATTTAAGCCACCATAACTCTTAATTCTAACACAGAGATGAGAGAACAAATATAGGAATGACAGGAAACAACATGGTATTATGGAATCTACAGACCTATTAATCTAAGGTAGACTGAGTTGCTCCATTGGTTCATGAAGTCAATATTATAAAAACTAAAAATATGTACCGATATATGTTCATTTCAAATAAAGCCATAGCTTTCAAGCACATAGAAAGAAAATAACATAATTTAAAGTATCCAACCTAAACTATGAACTAAATACTTCAAGCTGAGACATGTTAAAATTGTCACATCCTAACTTTTGGAGAAACAACACCCAGATTTGAACTGAAGAAAAAAAAAAGAAAAAAAAAATCGCTCTCCTTCTAAAGCTTGCCCTGTTCATTATGCTCACAACAGTGAAATCAACACATCTGTTGTGTACGAGCATGTGCAAACACTCAGACATACGTATAAACACCATGTGGGTCATGATAGATGCAGGGTGTGTGGTCCATCATCAAGTTCAAGCTGATAAACCTTGAATGAATACATATGTAATATGTGATTTCACCTTTTTCTTGTTCTTTTCCTTTATTTTTCAGTTAATATAACACATGTTAAACAAAAACCACCGAGGCTTCAGCCATAATAGCCTTATCATCACCAAATACAGACAATTCTAAGCGTATATTTGGGGGATAGTGAAAAGCAGAGAACTTTTCATGGAGAATGGGATTGAATGCTCACCTGGCCAAGTATAATTTCTTCATGAAACCTTCAATTTTCTCAGCTGCATCATACATATTCTTCTCTTAGGCTTCATCTAAAAGCAAACGGCATGTCTAATATTTTGGTGCTAGTAAGCCCACTCTCTTCTGATTGATCTACAAAGTCCATGAATCAATAGTGAATTGGCCGAAATATCAAGACTAAGTTAATGCTTATTAACCATATCATTCAATAGTGTGCTCAACAGACTATCTATACTTCCAGTTTTAAAGCATGACTTCAGCAATGGATAATACGTCTTTATCTCAATTCAGGTTACCAAAATTTCAAATTCTCCATGTCCTGAAGAAAAGTTAGGGCCCTCTGTTGCTGAGCATGATTGGCAAAGCATAGCAATCAAGCAATTTCTACGTCCAGGTATTGTTGGCAGTTTGGCGTCTCTACGGTTAGTACGAATTTCAATGATAGTTTTGAGGGTATTTCTGCCAAATATCCAAATGGGCTAAGCACTTAAAGGCGCTGGAACTTGATAGACCCCGTTAGTGAGGCCGAAGTTAGATTGGACTCAAGCCCAACTATTTAAGCAATTAAGTCAAGCCCCATTAGATAGACCTTAAACTAAATAGAATATAATTCTAATTATCACATCCATAATATGAAAATATATCTTATAGTTTTTCATGACATATTCTTATTGATTGTGCAAGCACGCAATTTGAGCCAATGGATGAGCTTGAATTTTAGGTTTCAAGCCATATTCTTTTATTAATTTTACTAATTTAGTGAGAAGTTTTTAGTAATTTATATTTTATTATTATTTATCATTTTCTATTTGCCTTTTATTATTAATAGCACATGCTTCATAAGCCGGCAGTGTGCAAGAGTTGATTTGAGTTCAATAATACCAAACAAAGAAATTATAAGTCACACAAAAGCAATAAGAGAATGCATCTCATTTGATGTATGCACACCATCTACTTCATAGTATTAAACTGGTCGATATCAAAAAGAGCAAAACCATTGAAAAGACTGATTGCTTTTATGTGAAAACGCAGAAATGGAAACAGCCAAGAAGGTAAATCTCAGGTTTATTCCAAAGTACCAAGCAGCTTTCAAACACTTGCCATCTTAAAACCAGAACACCAAATCGGATTGGCTTAACTTCAACAAGATGCCATGTGAACAATCAAGTCAATTACACGAGAACTGCAAGAAGACAGGGCCAGTCCAGGAGTGTCATATAACCACGATTTAAAAGGCCATGGATCCCAAAGAAAATAAAGAAAAAGCCTGAATTACCTGTAACCCCATTCGTTGTCATACCAGGTGACAAGTTTCACGAATTTCTCATTCAGAGCAATACCAGCCTTGGCATCAAATATGCTCGACCTTTATACAGGAAAAAAAAAAAAAGGAAAAACACATAAAGATCAACATCGGACATTAGGACAACTTTGTAAGTTGGGATCACCAATGCCTATCTAGCAGAAATATCAAAGATCAACATCGGACATTAGGACAACTTTGCAAGTTAGGATCACCAATGGCTATCTAGCAGAAATATAAAGGGATAAAGTCACAAATAGTCCTTCAACTATAATAAAATATTTAACTAATATAATACTTAGGTTATTTGTCAGGTATCATTAAGAGAACTTAAAAATTTTAAAAGTGAATACACAGTAGCTGTTAAAATTAATAAATTCATAATTCAAATACCACATTAATATTTTACTATAATTCAACAACTATTCATAACATTAGCCTAATATAAATGCAAAACGTAGACATTAAATTATAAATTTAAACTTGAAAAAACCAACAAAATCATTTTAACTTACCTGCTGTCACCAACGAAGTCTGTGGAGACAACATCTTCTTCGATGTAACCCAAAATGCCCTTGAGCTTGCCCTCAGACTCCTCCCTGCAATCATCAGAATCATGGATGAGAAATCAAATACTGATAGCATAAAGACAATAGATCAGGAAATGGTATACATTATAAGAAGACATACTTAACGGCTGCTTTGATCTTTTCATAAGATGCAGGCTTCTCAAGCCTAACAGTGAGGTCCACAACTGATACATCGACTGTAGGAACTCGGAAGGCCATTCCAGTCAGTTTACCATTAAGGGCGGGCAGAACCTTTCCAACAGCCTACATATTCACAATATCATCGAATATATACATATAAGAATAGAGTTGAACCGCTGAATCAGTTAAACTAGCATACCAAATTCCGTAAGTATTGCAAAATAAGAAGGAAATAATCATATCAAATAGAACTTATACCTTGGCAGCACCGGTGCTGCTAGGAATGATGTTGAAGGAAGCAGCTCTACCACCTCTCCAGTCCTTCATTGATGGACCATCAACAGTTTTCTGTGTGGCTGTAGCCCAAGAGAATTAAACAAAAACTTTTACTTAACCCTTTAATCCATTAAAAGAGAGTTAAAAAAAAAAAAAGTTATCACTTGCCAGTGATGGAGTGAACGGTAGTCATGAGACCCTCAACAATTCCAAATCTGTCATTGATAACCTTGGCAAGGGGAGCAAGACAGTTGGTAGTGCAGCTAGCATTAGAAACAATGTCAAGCTCTGGCTTGTAGTCGTGCTCGTTCACACCAACTACAAACATGGGTGCATCTTTGCTTGGAGCAGAGATCACAACCTTCTTAGCACCACCCTGTAAACAAAGATCAGCAACAATATTCCAGTCAAATTTCAATCTACTAATAAAAAAAACCCAACAAAATTACAAGAAACAGACCTTCAAGTGAGCGGCAGCCTTGTCCTTGTCAGTGAACACTCCGGTTGACTCAACAACGAACTCAGCTCCGGTCTCAGCCCATGGAATCTCCTCAGGATTCCTAAACCATCGCACAAAATAATTAAAACCGAAAAAAAAAAAACGCAGCTTAGAAATGGGATTTCTTTTTGTTATAGAATATTTTTTTTACCTGATTCCGAAAACAGTGACTGGTTTTTTGCCGAAGAGAAGGGTTTTAGAGTCTTTGACCTTAACATCATGGTGCTTCCATTGACCGTGAACACTGTCGTATTTGAACATGTATGTCTGCATTTTCCCCGCCAATAATTAAAAATAAATCCCGACTAAAAGTTAAACACAGATTTTAAAACTTAAAACACCGGTGTTATTACCATGTAATCAGTGCTAATGAAGGGATCGTTGACAGCAACGAGCTCAACGTCGTTCCTCTGAAGAGCAACTCTGGCAACCAAACGTCCGATTCTTCCAAACCCTGCCGCATTTCCAATTTTCTCAAGTTTAGCATCTCATGTTTAGCAAAAGCGATTTAACCTTAGTAAAATTTCTAGATCGGATGATTACCGTTAATCCCGATCTTAATCTTCTTATCTGAAGCTGCTTAAATCAAGTCAAACGAAAGGTAAAAACAATTAAATTAATGAAGAAAAACGTATTAACATGAGAAATGAACAGCAAAAATTGATTGGAAAAGAAGTGAATTACCCATTGGAGATAATGACGAGGAAAATTCGAGGGTAAAGATTTGTGATTTTTGAGATAATCCGAGGGTTTTAGAGTGAGATTTGACACAAAGAGGCAGAGGGTTGGTATTTAAAGGGAAAAGGGAGAAATAGGAAGGTGAGTTGTTTTAAAATAGAGCCGCTGTTTTCTATTAGCTGCTGGATTTACTAAGGATTTAGGAACGGCTATGTCCACGCGCAGTATGGGGATCTGATTTTCACTGTTATTGAATGGAGAGAAGCTTGGGGGAGACGGAAATAATCACTTGCTTGATTCAGAGTGGAAATCCGAATTTTCTCCTTTTAACATTCAGCGGCTCACAGCCGTTGGGTTAGAGGAGTCAGAAAGAAGAAGATTTGAATGTTGGCCAATTGAAGTTTTGCATGGTTGGTGGCTCACGTGAGCCTCACTCTGCGCGAAAATTTAGGTATTCTGTACTCTTTTGATATAAATTTTAGGGTAAAATACACAATTGTTGTCTAATTTTACGTGACATTTTTACTTTGATCATTCAATTTTAAAAATTTATGATTTAAGTATTAATATTTGAATTGATTTTTTTCATATAATTTATGTTTTAATCAGTAATGTTTGAATAATTATTTTTTGTCATCTAACTATTAATTTCTTACCAAATATTGATAGGACACATCATATATATATATTATATTATAATATATAAAAATATATGATAAAATGCTTAGATGAATTTTTTTTTTACACATAGACAATATCTATTAAACATTATTTAAATTTAAATATCAAAATTTTCAAAAATAAAATTTTATCTAAAATATATATGATTAATTCTCTATAATTTTTTAAATAAAAAATCTTAATAAATTGTAATAAAAAGATAAAACTTTAAAAAATTAATCTTATTTTATATCTCTTTTTAAATTTAAAATTTTCAAATGGATATTTTTATTTTGGTGACTTTTTTTTTATAATCCTTTAGCCTTTCTTTTTTTTTAATTTATAAACATAAATATCTCTTATTATATATATTTTTTAATTTTAAAAAATTATAATCAATTTATTATGTTTTGATATCTTAATTATAATATATATTATATATTTTTAAAATATGTAAATGATTAAATGATTTAAATTTATTTTTTACATATTTGAATAAATAAAGATAATTTATATATTATACGAGTAGCAAGCTAATTATATATAATGTTAGTAATTATATGGCATGACCATATTAATAAACAAACACACATAGTAATGTTGACGTTGCATATGTATATACACCACGTTGTTAAATTTTTTTAATTTTATAAATAAAATTAATATAATAAGAAATATTTTATAAGATATATTTAAAAAATTAAAAATTAAAAATAAATAAAATATGTCATCTTTTTAATTTTATTTATGAAATTAAAAAACTTTATTTTCAATATAATTTCTCCACATATAATATAAAATCCTAATATTTCTTTTTCTACTCTCATTAATTTAAATATGCTTCCTTCAAATCCAAACCTATTCTATGACAACCCTAAATCTAAATTTCGATCAATCGCGTCGCCTTTCCATCTACTGCCGCTTTTTCTTCTTTAAAATGATTAAGTTATAAGGTTTGAATTTCCTCACCTCCACCTAAATTTCATTGCGTGTGAAAGAAAAATTATTAATTCAATGAACATGTCTCACAAAAGTATACAATTGCTCGTAATGTTTTTCATTTCAATACATATAAGTATATCCTCCAATTTTAGTACAAAATAAAATTAAGGTTTTACTTTATAAAAAGATAGAAATAAGTAAGAACGAAAAATTTATATCTATTTGTCTATTCTATAATTTAATCATTAAATTAAAAAAAATTTTATTCTTATCTATTTCTATCTTTCTATTTAATTTTTTATTAATGAAATTATATGTAACGTAAGAATTATTAAAAGTTATAATTATAATTAAATATTATTATGTTTTAATTCTTACATAATAAATCAATAACAAAAATAAATCAAAAAAATAAATTCAAAATAAATTTTAAATTTTAAATTTTAAATTTCAAATTTTCAAAATTTTTCCCAGCACAACACCGGATGATGAAAAATGATTAGGAGCGCACTTTGTTTTCAAGTCAACGTTTTAGAGCGTGCAGTTTGACATCACTTTGTTACATTGAGCAGGCTTAACCTGAGAAACATGACCTAACCACCCACCAAAAACCAAAAGATTAAATAATACTAATAATTTCATTATATTAATATTAATACAGATAAAGGTCAATCAAAATAAGTAATTAAACCATATGGCAATTTATTTAAGCCACTGATTGTTTTTGACTTGAATTCTCCGCGTGCGCGAAACTTCAGGGCTGAGTCGGCCATCTCTGACCCAATTCGTGATGTTCACTTTATTTTATTGAAGTATATTAATTAAGAAATACTAAAATAATTATTAAGGTGTTTTGCAGAAAATGAATCAATAGTGATTAAATCTTAAAGGGTGTTAATTAATATTAAAGTTTTTAAACTAAATTTTTAGAAAATATATTATTTATAATTATTGTAATATAATTAATTAATTTTAATTTAAAATTATATAAATTCTATTAAAATTTCATATGAAACTTACACTTATAAATAATAAATTTTGTTAATTTTGTTATGATTGAATAATTATAAAATTATAATAAAAATAAGAAATAAAATACTTTCATTTTTTTATTGAAAGTTAAACTTGAGGATTTTAGTTTGATGTCATTAAATAAAAAGCAAACGAGATGGTCATAAAAATGAATTTAAAAATTTAATTTAATTGATTAATATAATTATTTTTAAATAACAATATTTAATAAATTTAAAATACAAATTTAACCCTTACAATTTTTTCTTTCATTTTTAAACTACAAAATTTTTTTTAACAAATAAATTGGAAACTTTCGATGTATTAGACTAGCGTGATAATCAATTTGTGCTATAATTTTATGTGGCGTAAAGCATCAAAAGTCAAAACTGATTCCTTTTTGATTTGTTTATTCCTTATTTGTTTTTGAGCATTGATTCATATTTAATTTATGATAGTACTAACAGTAGTAAAAAATTGACTCTGGAGGTTATTTTTTTACAACAACCAGAATTCAAAGCATGATAGCATGTTTTCTCGTCTCTTTTGTTATGATAGTATAAACCTTTTTCTTTCTTTTAAAAATGCTGTTCTTATTTTAAATTAAGTAGATGAAGACAGACAATTTGATTTTTTTTTTTTTTTGTTTGTTGCTAAGAGGGTTCCTTGAAAACGATAGATCCAACAGGGAGAAAAACACTTACGAGGTTTATTAATGTTTTTTGTCAAGGAAATCTTATTAAATGGACAATGAGGAGCATGGATACTTCTATATTCTTTTACTTTTTGTTTAGGGGTTTTTCCTTCGTAAACAACTAGAATGTAAGGGTTCGATTTCTTTGGGGATCTCTGTCCTGAGGTTAACTGGTTGTGCCTCAATTTTGTTGGGGCGGGAATCATTGGCATTTAATTATGATTAGCTAGTACATACAAGTAATCTAGAAGTAGCAGTAGATTGTCATTGTTCCATTTGAAGCCCTATTGGAAAACCCCCACCACCAGAAAACTTTTTCCTGGCTGGCCCCATCGACTTATTTTATTTATACCATTCCAGCAACGCTCATATCATTGCTTCTCTGTAAACAAACACTTCCGTGATGATCTTCTTCATGCTATAATCTGATAATCTCCTATTGGAAAATTATAAAGCTGCCCAACTTTTTTTTTTTGTTGTTGTAATGTTCATGCTGATATGCTAATTTGATGTCAGAATTCGAATGCGACCTTGCTGCCCCAACTTAGCGTCAAAACTCCCAAAGTCTGGTACTTTTTACCTTATTCATTTGATGTAAAGGCTCAGCTTAGAATCGAATATCAATATCTGTTTCTTCCTTTTACAATTCTGAAAAATCAAATCAAATCAATATTTACTTGGTGAGGAATATCTCCACGAATCATGAAGTTAGGTGTATATATATCTTTGTTCTCAACAGATTTGCATCATTTTCTATTTCATTATTCAGTAATTTGTTGGTAGTTCTTTTTAGCTCAAGTTAGATGTAAGATTCAAGTTAAATGCACGAATTGAGATCAATGTGACGTTTTTGAATCTGATCCAGGGTAACCAAAAAGAACAGGGCTGCTGGAATTCTTGAGAGCTTTGAAGTAGGTGAGAGATATGCAGTACGTAGACTCTCAGGAAGTTTGTCCGGAAGAGGCAGCCTCAGGTTATGCCATCCATCAATAACTTCTACTCTGATCCAAATTAAAGCAAATGCTGAATTCGTCCACATTGTAGGTTAAGAATGTTTTTTTGGCTATGAGATATATTGAATTGGAGAAAGTTGGACAATGATATTGTTTCTCTGAAGAAAGGGCATGAGACAATTGTATTGTGATTGACAAGTTGTTGAGATATCCTTCTTGAATAATAAAATTGTCAGAATTCATTTCTCCGTTTTTTAACATATTTTGCTTTGATAGCCTTATACACAGCAGGATTTACGGCTAGAATTTTTTTTAGAGGTCGTAGTCTAGGGATAGGAGCAAAGGTTTTAAATGTTGAAATTTAAACTTCAGGTTTGCTGAATGCAAAAGAAGTGACTGGATAAATGGCTAAAAATTTCCTTGCTATCTCTTATTATTCAAGGAGCAGTGAGTGTAGCGAAAATAGCGGGTTGTATTCGGCGTAAATGGCAGATCTATAAGTCTCAGCTGAACCAAATGATATCGTCCTCTTTTACCATCCTGGACTGGACCTCTTCCAGTTCTTGACTAATTATCCTGGTTCAGATGAGCCAATCAAGGTTAGCCATTCACCCAGGAAGCTACTTTATGTTTACCCTTGATCCTAGTCCAATATCTTGGAGGAAATGTGAATGCCTTTAACTCTGCAACTTTTGTAGCATCAACATATGAATAGGAGAAGTATGAAATATGAATGATTCAAAAGATTGAAAACAAACGCTTGTAGTCTGATGAACATTAAAATCTTGAAGGTAAATTATTACCCCATTACTGGTGTTATGTTTCAGCAGGCAACCGGGGACACAATTCACGAGGAAGATGATGCCTAATCAA